CAGTATTCCACTGCCCTCTCTGATGGATGACATGTTTCTTCCCTGTTCCGATGACTTGTTTATGTTGCCTGAATGTTGTAATATAGCTCTGGTGTCAGGCTCCTTGCTGCACATTGATTGCACAGCTGGTATAGCCTTCATCCCCTTACCTACCCCATTTCTGACACCATATGACTCTTGTTTATTTCACTGATTGTATTGTTGATTACTGCAGATATGTGTTGTGATGCATCCATCATGACTGTTACGGTACTTGTACTTAGGGGTATATAAACCTATGTACTTTGTCCTGTATCTGCAGTTTTTTGATAGCTTGCAACTCAGCTAACTTCCTTCTCTTTTGTCCTTGTTCTCTCTCCATGTGACTACCTTAATGGATCACCAGAAGACAGAACCTTTGTCAGACCTCAGAGATAACTGAGCCATAGGGGTTATGACACATTTGGCCCATAGACTCCCCCTCATGCACTTCATGCCTACTCCATTTGAAGAAGTCACCGCACTCAGGCATAACAGTAAGCTCCATGCCTTCAACCATTCCTGCTTTAACCAGTTTAAGCACAGATTTTGTATTTGCATGCCCAAGTCACCAATGCCACAAGTCAAGTGTGGCTACAGACTTTGGTGCTGCAGCTGCAAGTGCTGGGAATGTAAGGGTAGGGTCAAGTAGTGGAGATGGTCCTTGTACGACAAGTGCTCCATGACTTGGAGAGTGAGTCCTTGCTGCAAGGATGTAGAGTGAGCCTTGATGATGACCCACACCTACAGTGTCTGTACTGTCAGTGATTGAGCATGTTCCACCTGTGAAGGTGACCTGGACATTTCTAGTGGCAAGGTATGCCACTGAGAGGAGGTTTGCACTGAGATCTGGAACAAAATAGACCTTCTGTAGTAGGATTCTACTGGTCTTCCCATTTGGAAGATCCATACAAAGTTCGATCTGTCCGATGGCAGTAGCAGGAATTGTGCTCCCATTTCCAATGACTACAGGCTGCAGGGGTGAGAGCATCTTTAGCAAAGTGAACCATTTCTGCTGACAGCACATATTTACAGAGGCACTGGAGTCAATGACCCAGTGCATGTGAAGATTCTCGCCATTGTCAGTGGCCATGAAGAGCTGTAGGGCACTGTCTTCAGCAGGTGAGATGCACATGACTTTAGCAACAAGTTTGTCCTCCTTAGGCTTATCCTTTTCAGCCTGTGACAGGGACTTGGCTGCCTCATCAGCCTTCTTCTTGTAGCAGTCATCTTCAACATGGTTTGTCTTCTTGCAATAGCTACAAGCCTTTTTCTTTTTCTTGTCATTCCTCTTTCCCTTTTTGTTAGGCATCTTTGTTATGAGGGCAGTTTGTGCTGAAGAGGTGCAGCAAGACTTCTCTTCTATCAAGACTTGGGAAATGACAGAGTCCAGAGTTAGTTTCTCATTGGACAACATGAGTATAGTGTGAAGGGTTGAGTACAAGGTTGGAAGGGAGATGACCATGGCTATGGCAACAAGAGAGTCTTCAAGGGGCTGTCCAAGAGACTTTAGGATTGCTGCCTTCTGCCACATGGCATTAAGCTGTGTCTCCATTGAGATGTCATCTGCTAGGGTACCATGAAGTAGTTTGCCAATAAGGTAGGCTATCATTTGTTTCCCTTTGCCTTCATAGTGCTCACATAGCTTTTTCCAGACTTCTGTTGCCATCATGACATGCAGAACACCACTAAGTGGGTCGTCCTTTAGAGTAAGCGTGATTTGAGCCCTTGCTTCTTTATCCTTGTAGTGCCAGTCTGCACATGCAACTGGATCAGCTGCTGCATCAGGTGCCTTCAACTTTCCTTCTATGAGCTCCCAAAGTCCACGGACATCTAGGATCATCATAATTCAGTACTTCCATGTCTGGAAGTTTGAACCATTGTCTTCAAGGGATGGTATGTCATAGAGTCAACTGGAGGCTTGAGTAGCTTTACCCGAAGGTGTAGTAGAGGTTACTGTTGAGGCAGAGACCAGGACCTTTGAGGGACCGGAAGTGGATGCTGACAGACCAGACATAGTAGACACTTTGTACCAGACTTGACGTGTTCAACTTTCCTAGGATTAGAACTCACAAGCAGGGCTCATAACCTTTTGGAGGATGATGAGCTGCAGGATTGTCAAGTCTATAGAGAGGAATATGCTCAGACTTCAAGTTGGTTGAAGCTAAACAATTAACTACCTATAGAGAGGAATATACTGTAGGTAGGTAAGTAAGTGTTCCAATATAATGAATGGAAGGAGTCCCACCTCAGACTTCAAGTTGGTTGAAGCTGAGGTGCAGTAAGGAAAAAAATAAACTGCTAAGTGTCCGCTTTTGGATTATGTAATGCTGTGCTCAGTGAACCACAACTAAGGTAAAAGTGATAAACTCCAACACAGGTCAGTGATTTCGAATGAGGCTGTTAGATGAGCTGTTCCAATATCTGGGGCATGAACATACCTAGTATAAATGGACCAAAATGGTCACCATATAAAGTTGAAGGAGTGTAGCTAGTGATGCTGTAGGAATCAGCTAAGTCCCACCCATTGATGACAGGGTGCATAAAGGGTCTTCACAGGATCCAGGCACTTTATGACTGACCTTGGAGAAGTCACTTATGATACCACACACATTCTGCAAATGAAATGCACCCTACATTGCATCTTGATACAGTGTTGGGGTGAGTATGGGGGAGATGGAGAAGTAATACAGTATGGGGCAAGCATGTACTTAACAATCATGCGATGCACTGGGACTGAGACACAAGTACAACAGAGAAGATGGTGAGCCAAGCCAAGATGTGACAATGGATTAAAAAAAGAAATGGACATGATTGTGAAGGGTGGCTGGCCTAAGCAGTGGGGTTGGAAGACATTGAGCCAGAGCTGCTGCCACTCTTCATGAGCTCTGTGAGTTGAATCTTGAGTTGAAGGGTTTCAGCCTCCCTCATGAAGGCATTTTCTTCAGCATTCTTCAGCTTGATATCAAGCTTCCAGAGCTCCTGCTCCCTTTGATGCTTATCCTCCACATCTTTCCACTGCATCCTGAGCTGCTCCTTCCTCAACTCAAGCTCCTGATCCCTCAGCATATACTGCATTTTTGCCAGGTACTGCACAGTCTTACCAGAAGACAAGGATGCTAGTATTGACTCAGCCTCTTGACTCAAGTCGATGACCTGGCTTTGAAGTTGAGACTTGTTGCAAGTGACTGGGAGAGAACTTGCCTCTGTTGATGTTGTCTTGGATGATAAGGACCACAGGGTCCTCACAACAGCCTTCCCCTTGTGGGAAGAGCTAGATGATGATGATGCAGAGGAAATGACACTTCCAGTGGAAGTGGGGGGACAAAGGTATGGCAATTGGCAGAATGCAGAGTGATTATCTGAGAAAGGTGTGTGAGACTTGTGAGGGAGGGAAAATTGAGACTGCACTTCAGGAGTCAATGGCTGAGGATATGACTGCTGATTCATTAACAACAATCCATTAGTGATGTCCCAATAGAAACACACCTGATCACCATGAACTGACACCAAGTCCATGTTAACATCCTCTCCATCTCCAGAGCCAGGGTCTGTGCCCTCCAGATCAAAGATACTATTGGCAAATTCATCCCCCTTGTTCATGACTAGATCACCAACATGAGACATCCTCTTGTTGACTTCACCATCCTCCAGATCTCAATCACCATGCATTTCCTTGGTCCCAGTATTCAAAGGGGTACCCTCATCTGCCAGAGCAGCAGGTGACCCCACTCCCAAGTCTGAGGTCTTCTGCATACTGGATGATTTATTTTGGACAATGGCTAAAAAATCTTCAGCGTGATTTTTGTCTGGCTCAGAATTAATTAGGGTCAGAGTCAAAGGAGGGGTTGCCCTGCCAGATGGAATGCAGATCAGTCATACCAGGGTAAAGTGTTGAGAACAGCTTCTGTAATCATACACATCAGCAACTATAATCCCACTAGATTGATTGATAACTTATGATGGAGATTTGCATAGCTTGCATGACCAGGCATAATGCCTTCCCCTGATTGTTTAAAGCATGCACAGCACTTGCGATATGATCCCCTTCAGCCTAAATGATCATTAAAAAATCACAGATAAAATATGAAGAGGAGACTGATGTAGTGATGTGGTTGCCTATGCTAACTTGGAACTTAGCAGGCACCCACCATGTACATGTCCTTGTAGTAGGGATCATTCTTGAATACAACTTTGGCAATAATTGCTTGAACTTCTTTCTTGTTATGGCCCACTGGCCCCTCATCAGGTGAAGGTGGTGAGACAGTTGTGATCTTATCACTAAAAAGGATTCTCTGGTTTGCAGGATGGGTGAGCAACCAGTTGATGAGTATATCAGTATGAGGAATGTCCCAGTTGATGTTCTTTGGCTGAAGACCTTCTGTAGTAGATGCATCACCAGTAGTGGTGACAGCCTGCTGGCTGGATGAAGCCAGGTTCTTGCCCTTGGTTCTGCCACAAGTAGATCTACTGCTCAATCCATGACCAGAGCCTGAATTCCCAGTGGGTCTGTCAGATCCTCCTTGATGGGCTTGTTCCCTTGAAGATGCCATGGGCTGACCTGAGATTGCTTGCAGGTGAGCAGAGCACCAAATGCATGGTCATAGAGGAGACATAACTTTTCAAACTCTGCAAGACCAATGCCAGTTGCAGATGCCATTCCAGAACAATTCCAGAGCACTTCCAGCACCACCTTGAGCACCACTATTGTTAGCTTCTACAAGATAGTCTTGAAAAAGAAACTGTCAGATTCAGAGCCGGTCGACGTAGAATTCTACCATGGTCTCGCTTGGGTGTGGTACGTTTAGTTCCTTCTTCATTTTTGACCTCACTTAATTTCGTACAGTGAGAATAATATTACGGATGCAATTGACGAAACGTTCACTACAACGGACATCAGTCGTTTCTTTAGGTCATTAGGTGTCTGCCTCATGATCTCGACGTAGCTGTTCTCGAAGGTATGATTATGTCGAACTTTAACTTGACAATTGCCAGTTTGCCCTCGCACAGTGGGCTGACTACGGGAACATTTGCATCAAAGAAGGCAGGCGCGGGTAATCCCATGTCGTTATTTTCGTGTTGTGGTCCACAAAATAGACACGGTACGTGGTAGAAGTAAGACGCATCTCCCATCCGGAGGACAATGGACTGAGACAGCAGAATATTGGAGTCCTTGTCACGAACAACAGTTTGCCGACGAGGGTGTAATCAGGCTGTCGTGCGAGTACTGTGGTCGACACAATACAGTCGACCCTCTGAAGTGTACCTCTCCTCCACCCGGTTGGAAGACTGCCAGAGCCAATCATTGTAATATTATTGCCTGCAGCGATAGCGGTAGTTGCTGCGCTGGGCGGTGCAGTGGTCGATGGTGTTGGGTGAGTGATAGCTTGTGCATTACCAACGTCCACCATGTAATCAAGCAGGAGACGATGGAAGTGCAGATCCCTAGCAGCATTGGTCTCGCTGTCTTGGACGACATGGTTAATACTCTGGTTGGGACAAGGTTTGTTCCAAGTCGTCATTCGCGTATTGTAATCAACAAAACATGTGCGCCCAAGGGGGTCAAGACGGCGTTCCCAGCCACGTAGAAGCGGCCTATACTAATCAACAGTTGAATTGAAGACCCCTCGTCGGGCATCATCCGCTGATCCGGGTGAAATCCCTGAGGATGACTGGCTAGTGCCAAAAGAGCCAACGTCATGTGGAGACAGAGAAATGCCCCACTCGTCCAGGCACGTTAGCAACATCGTGCACTTGCGAGGGTCCAAGGATCGAGACAGGCCGAGAGACGCTGGTTGAGAGGTATCTAATGAGCTTTCCATGAACCTCAAGGTCATCATTATCGTTGAACTTTTTGAGATCGGGAGCAAACATCTCTGAATGCGGGCAAGTCAACACCCATTCAGGCGTGTGGGTATTACCAGGCAAAAGGCTCACTATGACTACCGAGATCGAAAGCTAGGACATCACTGATCCGCACGTTGACTACGCCAAGGAAACCCTGGCTGCGTCTCTTGAATTTGCGCTGATCCAATATCTGAACGACAACAACAGAAGACTCTTTGACATTTCTATTCAGTTGAGATTTGAAAGATAACGATGGTATTGAGTAAAGCTTCACAACTCACATGTCAAAGTTCTCGTTCCATCAAGGATTAAGAGTTTTCTTGATAATGCTCATCGTATGCATCTAAAAAGCGGAAGGCATCTCGTTTAGAGAGCCCGTCGGCAGTGACAACTGAGTTGCAATAGGCATTCAGAAATAGACTCGACGAGTTACAAGACCCACCCGTTACACTGACTTTCCTCGCGTTGTATGAGTGGACATCGGACAAAGCGAGATGTCGTCTTTTCCGCTGGGCCCTTGTGGACAATCCATCGGCAGATGCCGAACACAAACCGGAAGTAAAAAAGTCATACAACAACCGGTCGAGCACACATCAGTCTGGCAGCAGCGCCAACGATGAGTGCGCACCACCGTGGCGATGACTTGGAGGACGACTACGTGCCAGATGATTTGGTAGCATCATCTGGGGAAGAAGAGGATGCTCTCGCGTCACACGTTCCTGCCAGTGACGACATTGGCGGCCTTCTGAGCGCGGACGAGGACGCGGAGCAAGAGTCAGCCGCACTAGCAAAGAGAAAGCGGAGAGAAAAGGAAAAGGAAAGGAAGACCAAAGTGGGTCGATACGCTTAGCAGTAGAGCACAATCCTCACAGGACGTTTCTCATTCTCCAGAAGAGAAAACTGGTGGAGACCAGAGACGACGACGAGGCCCCTTCAGTGGCAGCACAACCTCCACACGAACTCGCTGGCTATTTATCTTCCATTCAAGCCAAGGCATACCCTGCCAAGTCTACACTGGAGCTTCTGGATATATCTATTCCAGGTGAGCTACGAGGGTCTGGCCTTTCTCTCCTAGGTTTTGATTGAACCACTAGATAGAAACCTCAATTGTGGACACGACATCATGGACGGAATCGAGGTCATTGGACCGTCTAGTCGAATTCATCATCAAAGGTACATTGCCCAATGCTAGTCCTTTTCCACAACAAATCTCTGGTACTTCTCTACAGTCCTTCCACCTCTTCACAAGAGGCTGCGGCAGCGGCCGAAAGCCTCTGGCTCACCGACGTTGCTATTCATAGCTGGTGCTGCCTTGCGGGTGGCGGATATCACCAGAGTTCTCAAGGATAGGAAACTCCGTGGTGAGAAGGGTGGGGACGTTGCTAAGTTGTTTGCCAGACACATAAAGTTGGAAGAGCATGTTACCTATCTCAGACGGACAAAGATAGGTAGTGCTGCTGGCACGCCGGCACGAGTTGGCAAATTACTCTGTGAAACAGGTAAGGGTTCCCAGCAAATATGAAATGTATTGTGCTCAAAGTTCCCAGACGCCCTTTCCGTGGCCCAGCTGACGCACATCATGTTGGATGTCTCCTATCAAGATGCGAAGAAACGCAATCTATTTGACATACCGGAAACTCGCGATGAAGTTATCCGCTCTGTTCTTGGGGCACCGGAACTGCTCCAAGGCATCAAGGAAGGAAGGATCCAGGTCGTCTTGTTTTAGCGGGCGACTACTGCAATACATATTTGGTCTCGTCACATACATAATGCGGCTGCCCAGTGGAAAAGTAGTGTAGCAATTGTTAAAATCCCTTCGGGTTGACTCTCAGCGTCAACTAGAGGGCTTGTCAACATCAGCACGAAAAGTATAAAGGCGTGAATACCGACTCTTGTCCACTTCGGCACCTTGTGAATGCCCTTACGATAGCCGCTAGAGGTAGGACTGAATACCGTGTACTTGTCCCGCGGGTGCATTTCATGTTCTCTGGGAAGTTGAAGTGCACGGTCCTGATGGGAAACAAAACATGGGTACGTCGGAGAAAGCAGTTCACGACAGAACATACCAAGGCATTGCATTGGATGCCACTTTCCCGTACGGCTTCAATGACCGCGTCAACTCTCTTTAACCGCGCACGGGCATTTGCTTTCCTTGTTGGTGACAGTTTCCATGGTACTTTCCTGTTGAATTATTAGAGTGTGTGACGAACAACAAAAAGCAAATATACGATACCAGAGCAAACCGCCAAACGAGACGGACGTTGGACGAAACGCACCCAACATGTGTGGTCGGAGGCGGAGGACAGGCCGGCGGGAACCTAATGCCGGCTTCCCATTTCAAACTCCGACTCCCGAGCTCTTTGTGGTACAACCGACAGTGACACGCCTTCGACGATCTCAGCGAGGTCATGGCAGTGGAAACACAAATCATGCAGACTTCTGGTGCTCACGCAATGAACGATAGCGTTGACCTGTCCATGTCCAATGGCACCAAGGAACCCACCCTCCGGTTTGCAAGTGGGCTTATTCTGCCTCCCCCAGAAATCAAATGTGAGGGTCTCGTCGCCCCCGGGGTCCGTGCATTACCAGCTAACATCGATTCTGTAGCTGTTATTGACAGGACTGCTCTGTTTGTGGCCCGCTCTGCCAACCCGCCGATGTTCGAAGACAAAATTCGCGAAAACCAGCGTCAGGATCCCAAGTTCTCGTTCCTCAACCCTGCCGACCCTTATCATGCTTACTATAGGCATCGAATGGACAGAATATCTGCTGGTGAGGAATTGGAGGAGGTTCAACCCGAAAAGGAAAGGACCGAAGGTGTGGAGATAGCTAAACCACCAGAGGACGTCGGGGTCGAGCCTCCTCAACCCCAATTCGTTCTGGACATACCCAACATTACTTCCATTGATTTGTACGTTTATATACGAATCCTATCGCAAGCTCTATATTAACGTTGGATCAATTCAGGGACACCATGAAATTGACTGCTCTCTTCACCGCCCGACGCGGGCGCGGCTTTCTGGCTGCTCTTTCGCAAAGAGAGGGTCGGAATTACCAATTTGACTTCTTACGTCCAAATCATTCGCTCTTTGGCTATTTTAACCGTCTTGTAGAACAGTACCAGAAAGTACTGTACCCGAGCAAGGAAATGTTGGCCCAGCTCCATGAACGGGCGCAGGAGGGTGCCCAATGGAAAGCCCTCGAACAGTCCAGGAAATATGCACGGTGGGAGCGGCTGAAGCAGGAGAAGGACAAAAAGAGGCAAGACGATCAGGAGGCCGAGAAACGTACGTATTACACATTCGATAGATTGAGGCGGTCAACTCAAAAAATTTATAGTCGCGTTTGCGGAAATTGATTGGCACGACTACGCTATAGTCCAAACGATTGAATTCACTGCGGCAGACGCAAACACAGAATTGCCTCCGCCGATGAGTCTCCAAGAGGTTGAAAACATGACATTGGCGCAAAAGAGGATGGCCGCGATGATAATGGAAAACACGGCAGATGAGATAGAGGCACACCGCGCAAGACAAGCTGCTGCAGAAGCAGAAGCAGCCGCTGCGGTAGGCTCGGCTGGTGCTGCTGTGGTTACAACAACAGATAATTTGGACGAGGACGCAGCCATGGAAGAAAGTGAAGATGAGGATGAGGAAGCGCAGCGCAAGAAACGAGAAGAAGAAGAGAGAATGAGAGAGTTGGAGCGCGCCAAGGCCATCCAGGCCAGTGCTAACGTTGCGGGTCCGATGAAGATCAAGACGGACTACGTTCCAAAGCGTTCGTTTACATTTCCTTCGGCCGAGAGGTATCTGCTGACGATCATCACTCAGTCGGCTCTAAGAAGAATGCGACACTCACGACTTGCGCCATTTGCGGCCAGCAAATTCCAGTGGACGAACTCGACGAGCACATGCGGATTGAGTTGCTGGATCCCAAGTGGAAATCTCAGAGGGATGCTTTGGAAGCTCGCAAAGTACAGGCTTCGGAGCTGATGCGCGGTGCGAACGTCGTCACGTCGCTCAAAAACCTTGCAAGCACGCGTGTCGATATATTCGGTACAGGGGCCGATGAAGAACGTAGGAAGAGAGAGGAAGAGGAAGAACGTGCTCGTCGCAAAGAAAGAGAGAAGGTTGTGTGGGACGGTCATACGGCGACCAAAGTCAGCACGATGGACAAATACTCGACGAATGTCAACTTTGACGAACAAATTGCTGCAATTCACCGTGCAAAGGGCCTTGGCCCACAAGAACCTAATGCTATTGGTCCGGGCATTGGCCCTGCTGCCGCTCCACCTCCCCCGATAACCACCCTCCCCCCGCCACCCGCCTCGCTACCTGCTCCTCCTACTCAAGCGACAACCGCTAATCCAAACTTTGCTACCGCTACTGTGTCATCCGGACCTCAGCCGGCGTCAGCGTTTCAGCCACCTCCGGTCATGCTTCCCCCACTTCATTACCAGGGTCTCGACGCTGTGCAGCCGTTCGGGTTCCAGCCTCCACCTCCTGGCATGCATCCTCCACGCATGCCAGGGCCACCGCCACAGACAGGGACGGTGCGAAGCGCTGACCAAGTCGAAGGGCTTGAGGAACAACCCCAGGTTAAGAGACAAAAGATTGCTAAACTTCCAGGAGGGGCACTCTACCCTGAAGCAGACTGGATCGCCATGCATCCCTACACTATATCGCTTAGCATCCAACTTCCCAGCGACCCTTCGAAGCCGGAGTGGAAGTTGGACGGACAAGTTGTGACGGTGTCTGACCTTCCGCTCACGCTTCTTGTATCCACTCTCCGTGATCGCTTCCTGCAAACCACGGGGAGCACCTTACCTGCCTCGAGAATTCGGTTGTCGTTCATGGCCAAAATGTTGACTAATTCCAACACCATTGCGTTCTACAATCTGGAGGATGAGGATCTCATAGTACTAAGCGTGAGTGCGGAGAAGAAGAGGAGATGAAAGTGTATTGTGACTCGTGTAAGGGGGCACTGACTACGTGGGGCCCCGGCATGTTGTACCGTACTACACTCAATTTTCGTATACAGATGCGTGTCGCAGGACATAAGTTACCGTGGGAACGAAAGGAAGACGATAGTGATACACGTATATGATCTAGATCGCCAAACCATATGCAGGAAATGCTGCATGGATGCTGTGACAAAGCTGAAACAAGAAAAATATCAATAAAACCCTACGAACGCAACCCGGATGAGAAATCGACGACGAAATCAAGCCTGATAACCTAAAACCCGAAGTGACGATGACCAGAATAATACACGATAAACCCAGAAAGTGAAGGTTGTGAGATGCCTCTGCCCAAAAATGACAAATTCGACGACGACAACGTGAGGTAAGTCGTAAGAATGAAACGTGATTCCGTGGCAATTCAGTGGAGCACGACTTGGCTGTAATAACGTGTGCAATGGACGGCGAGTGGTGATATGTGCGTGGAAGTCATGTATACATCATGCGGAGGCGAAGATCGCGGTCGCAAGATGGGAGATGGAGGTGGGAGTAGAAAATGGCCGTGAGAGGAATCTGAAGTGCAAGAAGATGGCATGGAAGAGTCTGACTCCTCGCTCCCAATGATCGAGTCCCTGTCTACGGGGACCATGTCCCTCAGCCACTCATCATCCTGGCGAGAGGGCCAGCGACGGACGGAAGATTTTCTGCAAAAGATGCTGTTTGGAGATGATAGATAGTGCGAGTTTACGAGCGAGGGAGGTGTCGGGGCAGCGTCCACCAGCTTCCTAGCGCACCCGAGCGAATAAGAGAGAGAACGCCTCGATCGGACGCGAACGTGCGACTGCATGTCGATCGATGTACAGATTCCAGGATATCTCCCACCAGAAAGAGTCCTCAACTAGTGGGATGTCAGTTCTCGTCGCTGAGAACACTGAGAGGGGAAGGATGTCTTAGGGGCGACAACGGCGTTGACGGGGGTCTCTTATATCGACGATTTCTCCGATTACAAATCTACCGCAGCTGCCCTTGTTGCTGACATAATACTCACAGTAGATGGCTGGACCGACCGAAGACGAAATTAATCCAATACCATGCCAGACGGAACGCCCGGGGCATGTTACATACACAGCTCTAGCTCTATTACACCCAGGGAAAGCAGGAGTCTATGAAGAATCTACACTCACGCACATACCGCGACACGCCTCCAACACGCTGAGTCACAGTACTCGCCGGCACAGAAGCCCCACAACAAGCACGAGCAGCACGCAGATCACAGTATCCAGTAGCAGCGGCGGTCGTAACGTACTACGGCGGGCGGGATTCAGCGCGCTAACAAGGTTAGATTGATCCCACGTTTCCGGCACACGCTCTGGATCCTGTCTGATCGCAGTTGGCGGGGATGTGCCCGGCTGTGTCGAAGACGTTTCAGGGTTATTCCTGGCCGGGTCATCGGAATTTGCCAGAAAGAGATCCAGGGACTGAGTGCGTGTGCGCCCGGGTAATAGGCTCGTTCTCCGGAGTCTCGCCAACGGATTCCGGGGAACCATCGACTTTAGAGGGGAGATCTGGAAGACACTCCAGATTACTCAATCGGCACTTGGGGCACACCCACTCGCGAGACCTAGTCATTCGCATCATTCAGATCAGGAGTTGCCACGGCTAACAGGAGCATGCTGCTTACAGCTGAGCCAGACGCTTCCGCTCCGAGATGGGATACTCCACCGAGCCCACCCCATTGGCTGCTTGCCCCCTCAGAGGGAAGAATGCCTTGGAGGCCGAGGATGGCTACCGCAGTCGTCAGACATTATTTTTAGTGAGACCAGCAAGCATGTACCTGTCCTTACTCCCCAGGCAGGCTGCCACTCCTCTTCGTGGTCTTGAGAATCAGTCAGTCTAGACCTGCGTAGAACCAACGAGGCTTCGGCACCTACAATTCGTGAAACTGATGCAGATCTGGAACGTTTGGGTCTCGCTAACGCGGATAGTTGTTGGTCAAACAAATTCCCATACCTTGGTATTAAGCTCAAAGCGGCCGTTTGGCGTAAGCATCATGAGTGATGGCGGTCTGAATGGGTATTCTGCGGGCAAGAGAATGCGGAAATGGTACAATCCACCCTCAAACTCCGTCCCGATGGGCCCTCTTAGGGTGCAATGCCACTCCTGCAATCCAGGATAACACGTAATTATCTGCTCCAACGCGACGTGTACTTACGAAGATATCGTCCTGAATGTTCAACGAGGTGAGTGACTGGGTGCGAACCGATAATAATTTGGAGGGTCCTACCTCGAGTGGTGCAGCATGGTAGTCTGCACATAGATCGTTTGCGAGTTCTCTGGCCTCCTGCATGATTCGCTTGACAGCTTCAAGAACCGGCGCTCAATACTCGGACTACGAATAAGAATGGACTCTGAAGTATACCAGTGTTGTTTCTATTCAATGGAGGCATTGCTTCGATGAAGCGAGGCGGCGGGAGGGTGAGGACTGGTAAGGACGCTCAAGTTGCAGTATGCACCCGGAATAATGCAACGTGGAGCAGGGGGCCTGGCACGTGACCAACTCTACGCTGAAACCCTTCATTCAGACTGGAAACGTTCGTTCACCATGGTTCATATCGCGAATGTCAAGGTCAGGCCTCGCAAGGGTGCGTTTTTGGGCAGACACTCAAAGTTGTCGAATACTGAATCCCGTCTAGTCACAACACCTGTTCCATGTCGAAGCGAGCTAGTTGCCATGCTTGGATGTTGGGCTGCCACGGGTGACGTCCTTTCGACTGACCCCAACAGATGCAAAATGGTAGCCGAGACGTTGTTCCAATGCATGCGGACCGCGGTGAGTACATCGACGGGTTCTCATAACAAAAGAACCGTCGCTGACGCTCAGCTCTCCCCCGGTCAGCCCGTGGCGGGTAAACCTCACAAACCCGCTATCAATTATCACCTCAGTAAACTGAGCAAAAAATCCAAATAGAGCGTATGTTATCGATTCCCTAATGCCGATTCTGCCACGATACGGCCCACGTTGGAAGCAACCCCGTGTCCCTCACGGTCAACGTTCATACGCGTCTTAATATGAACTTTCGAGGGAGTTGTTTGTATGTGACGCACAACTGGCCCTACCATTCAATCATTGGTGCAGATTGCCGTGGACGTTGGTCATAATTAGACTAGCCGTGTTAGACGTTGTTTATATCGTCAGAATCGTGATGCAGACGTCTTGTCTCTAGACGGTAAGTCTTGTTAGTTGACGAGTCCGTGAAGCCATGGCGTGAACGGCCAGAACGTTACGTCCCTCATGCATATGTCCCTGGGAAGGTGTGTCCTAAATACTGCTTTGGAACGGCATACGCCAGTGAGACATAATCAAAACACTACCTGCGGGGACCAGACACACTCTACGCTCTTCATTACTCCTTCCTGAGGATTTCCATGGTCAACCAAGACAAGGTGGCCATATTCTGGGACTTTGGTCGGTGCCATTTACGTCCCGGAAGGTGTCTTGTAATCCACCAGCGCTACTTGTAGAAAATTGTTGTCCTCCCTCGACGCAGGGATTGGGATATGATATTGTGAATAACATCGGGCGCATGGCTCGCATATTTGGATCCGTAACCACCTTCAAAGCATACCTGGACATATCGAGCCAACCTCCCAAGTCCACAGCTCTTCGTTCAGAGCTGCAGCTATCCGGCGTCTCGGTGGTAGATTGTCCTCACAACGGCAAGAAAGATGTTGTTGACAAGATGGCCATGGGTATGTTCGTGAAATACTTTCGGAGCCTATTTCGCTGATAAAATGCCGTCAAGTCGATATGTTCGCTTTTGCTGTTGACAACCCTGCACCCGCTACTGTCATCCTCATTGCTGCGGATAGAGACTATGCCTATGCGCTCTCTACTCTTCGTCTTCGTAATTACAAGGTTGTATTGATCACTCCTTGTGTCTCGACCTGTCTCGAGGCTTGTGCCTCGTTCGTCATAGACTGGAATGTCGCCCTCACGAAGACTAGAACAGAGTCAAAAAATGATTCCGTTCGGCGACCATATGTTGACATTGAGGCCAGTCTTTTCGATAGACTCTCACAGGAAGTTTCCCAATTTGGCAAAAATTTGACTGTGATCTCTGCCCCGCTAGAAGCCATAAAGCCTCAGCGAATCAATGCGCAAGACTTTGCTCCGTCCATCCGTTCCCGACAATGATGCCTAACGTTACGAGTGAATCCAAGTTTGCTCAAGGGTCCTCAGAAGGCGCCAACCACTGCACTAGCGGGAATGATGATTCCTCGGTTTCCGTTACCCCTGCACCAAAGGTGCCTGCGTCCCCCCACCACTCGTCTTTGACTCTGCCGTCTCTTTTGCGCACACACAATATTCGTTCTGACACGGTTACGAAGCCAAGCGGCGAGGTTTCACGACTTGTCACGGGGACCCCTCTAATACAATCCGACACCTGCCTCAGGGTGTCTGATGATGCAGATGCAATCACCGAGCGTTCCGATTCATTTGTATCGAATAGTGTTGAAAACCGCCGGTCCTCGAAAGATGAGCCACCGTCATCCCTCCTGACAGGTTCTCTCAGTGACACTTCCCAGAAGAAGTTGGTAGACATGCCAATACTCGAAACAGCGCGGGTTGTGGCTCCGTTGTCCAGGTCGAGTCCGCCCAAACCTGCTGTAGGCAGTAAGATCGCGAGAGCCTTTGGTCTCGCCAATGGCAATCATCACCCAGCTGATGATCTGACTGCTGGGAGGAGCTCTTCCCCCCTTTTCCATTCTAGTCTGCATGGGCTGCCGTAACGACAGTAGTCGTAACATTCCTCCGATGTCGGCGAACGGTGATAACAACACCGGTGTTCCTGCAGAGGACACCTCAACGAGCTGCCAAAAATTTACACCTTCTCTGAAGGCGACTAGCCTGCCCGTGGAAAGACAAAGCACACCCACAAACCCAGCGGGGGGTGTCTCAACAGAGCCCAGGGATAGTGACAACTCTTCTGGTGTCTCTTCTCCTATTTTCCGTGCCACATTTAATGTGGTTCCTGGATCTCCGGCGCTCTGCCCACTAGCTTGGCCTGCAAGCGATATGCCGACAAACACGGCGACAGAACAAGCTAATCGGCAACAAATTCGATGGCAATTCCTCCCATTGATACGAGTCCTAGTCGCGGATCGTCATAGGAGGGTTTTTCGTTCCAATCGCTCTGATGTTGCAATGGCGGTTCTGCAAATTGACAAGAATGCGTACAAGCGTGTCGGAGCAACTAAATTTAAGCATTACACGTTCCATGCCGAGCGAGTGGGTTTGGTGGTGCTCGGCGGCGCAGAGGGTGATGCATGGATTGCGTTGCATCCAAAATGGTTCTGCGAGACAGAAAGGACCGAATATCAATCCATCGCATCGATGGAGGATGATTTACGCGCTGTGGATGGAGACACAGAGCAGATAGTGGCTCCGTTGTCTGGGCCGAGTCCACCCATACCAGCTATAGCCACCGATCTCGCCACAGCTCATTGTTTCCACAAAGGTGATCACCCACCAGCCGATATTTTGACTACCGGTAGGATCTCTTCACCTTTTAGTCAACCTAGTCTGCACGGGAGTCGCATTCCTCCGATTTCGGCGAACAGCGATAACAACACCATCGTTCCTGCGGACAAGAGCTCAACAAACATCGTACCTTCCCAAAAAGAACCTACCCTGTCCACGGAGAAACAAATGACATATGCAAACTCAGTGGAAGGTATCGCGAAAGAGCCAATGGGCAATCGCAATCCCTTTAGGATCTCTTTCCCCGCCTCACATGCCGCATTGAATGTGATTCCTGGATCTCCGGTGGCTCAGACACAAGCTTGTCCCGCAAGCGATATGCCCACAAGCACAGCAACAGGACAAGTTAATCGAAAACAAACTCGATGGCAATTCCTCCCATTGATTCGAGTCCTAGTCGTGGATCGGCGTAAAAGGATTTTTCGCTCCAATCACTCCGATATTGCAATGGCACTTATGCAAATCGACAAGAATGCGTACAAGCGCGTTGGGGCAACTAGATTTAAGCATTACATAACCCTTGCCCAGCGAGTGGGTTTGGTGGTACTCGGCGGTGCGGAGAATGATGCATGGATTGCGCTGCATCCAGAATGGTTCAGCGAAGCAGAAAGAACCGAATATCAATCTAACACGGCGATGGAAGGTAATTCGTGTGGAGTAGATGGAAACCAGACCAGTACTTCCAGAGAAATTGGTGCCGGCTGTTTTCAACCCTTGGTGGATATTCTGGTACAATTCCATCAGTCAGGTGTGCGACCGGTGTTACGGTCACGGATCGGTCAGATGTTAGAGCCGACCGTCTACCAAGAGGCAGGAGTGCCCGGCTTCGCAGAGTACGTTGCTCGTGCTGCCGAAGTAGGTATTGTCATGTGTGGCGGGGTAGGGGGTTATGCTTGGATACGCTTACATCCTGACGTTGAAACGCAAGTGAATGACACCTACCACATGTGATTTGGTGCGTCCTCTGGGTGGATTACCAGCCAAAGGGGTACCATACGTCTATGCAGTGTAATGTCTTGTTGTATATTTGTGTACCGTCTGCATTCAACAATTATATGTATGATTGAGCTCGAAGGTAAGTGTGCATCCAATGACGCCGTTCCTGTCCTCAACAAGACTTTCTAACCGTGTCCTTTCTTCTTCGGAAGCATCATGACTTCCGGAGGAGCCCAATTGACCTCGCTCGCTAGTATTTCATAAAGCGGCGAGCTGGGGGCATATTCTTCTATAAGTTTTGTGATCTTCGGCAAGTCCGCCATTCGGCGTACGGGGCTGAATATCCAGGGACAGAGCTCCAAACATTTCTACACCCCGCTGCTCACAAGCCTCCTTACACTACTCGGCGAAAGACCATCGAACATTCGCTTATAATGAGTTGTATCCCTCCCGATCAACGTTCATACAGACTAAGAACTTCCAGCGAAGGGTGAAGATCAATGATCGTGGACGTCGGTCATAATTAGATCAACCATATTAGACGTTGCTCATATCGTCAGAACCGTGTCCCAGACTGGTTTTGTCTTTGACTAGTAAGTTTGGTTAGTTGGCGATGCAGTGTGTCCATGGCATGAACAGTCGAGTTATGTCCCTGGGAAGGTGCACCTACTACGTACTGCCTTGGAACGACACATGCCAGTGAGACATAATCAAAACACTGCCTACGGGGACCAGACACACTCTACGCTCTTTATCACTCCTTCCTGGGATTTCCATGGTCAACCAAGACAAGGTGGCCATATTCTGGGACTTTGGTCAGTTCTGTTTACGTCCTGGAAGGTGTCTTGTAATCCACCAGCGCTACTTGTAGAAAATTGTTGTCCTCCCTCGACGCAGGGATTGGGATATGATATTGTGAATAACATCGGGCGCATGGCTCGCATATTTGGATCCGTAACCACCTTCAAAGCATACCTGGACATATCGAGCCAACCTCCCAAGTCCACAGCTCTTCGTTCAGAGCTGCAGCTATCCGGCGTCTCGGTGGTAGATTGTCCTCACAACGGCAAGAAAGATGTTGTTGACAAGATGGCCATGGGTATGTTCGTGAAATACTTTCGGAGCCTATTTCGCTGATAAAATGCCGTCAAGTCGATATGTTCGCTTTTGCTGTTGACAACCCTGCACCCGCTACTGTCATCCTCATTGCTGCGGATAGAGACTATGCCTATGCGCTCTCTACTCTTCGTCTCCGTAATTACAAGGTTGTATTGATCACTCCTTGTGTCTCGACCTGTCTCGAGGCTTGTGCCTCGTTCGTCATAGACTGGAATGTCGCCCTCACGAAGACTAGAACAGAGTCAAACACTGACTGCGTCCGGCGACCATATATTGATATTGAAGCCAGTCTTTTTGATAGACTTTCACAGGAAGTCTCCCAATTTGGCAAAAATTTGACTGTGATCTCTGCCCCGCTAGAAGCCATAAAGCCTCAGCGAATCAATGCGCAAGATTTGCTCCGTCCATCCGTTCCCGACAATGATGCTAACGTTACTAGTGAATCTAAGTTCGCTCTGGGGTCCTTGGAAGGCATGGACCGGTGTACCAGCGGCACTGGCGACTCGTCAGTTTTCGTTACCCCCGCCCCAAAGGTAGCTGCTTTCTCCCCTCACTCGTCCATGTCCCCGCCATCTCTTTTGCACACACACAATATTCTATCCGAAGCCGTTTCGAAGCCAAGCAGCGGGCCTTCGCGACCTGTTACAGAGAACCTCTTATCACAACCCGACATTTGTCTTAAAATGTCTGGTGATGCAGATGCAATCACCGAACATTTTGATTCATTTGTACCGAACGGTGGTGAAAACCACGAATTCCCCAAGGATGAGCCATCGTCACCCACCTCAACAGGTTCTCCCGTTGTGAAAGCGCCACCACTACGGACTACCTCCAATTACTCTTCGAGCCCTCATTCGGTACCCCTGCTCAATCCAAGACCAAACATGTCATCGACAACTTCTACCTTGTCGGGAACAAGGACAATCTCGGGTGGAACCATTGTCTCCATTGGTGACAGTTCCCGCAAGGTAGAATTGGTAGACACTCCCAAATCCGAAATAGGGCGAATGGCAGCTCCACTGTCTAAGTCAAGTCCGCCTAGACCTGCTGTGGGCGCAGATCTTTCAACAGCTCATTGTCTCCCGAAATGTGATCATCCGCCAGCTGATGATCTGGTTGCTGGGGGGAGCTCTTCATCCCTTTGCCAATCTAGTCTGCACGGGAGTCGTAACATTACTCCGGTGTTGGCGAACGGTGATAGCAACACTTATGTTCCTGGAGAGACGAGCTCAACAAGCTGTCGGAACTTTGTATCTTGCCCGAAGGGATCCAGCCAGTCCATGGAGAAACGAAGTACGCATGCAAACTCAGTGGAAAGTATCCCGGAAGAACTAGTGGGCAGTGACGATCCCTCTGGTGTCTCTTCCTCAGATGCCACATCTAATATGATTCATGGATCTCCGGTGGTTCAGATGCCAACTCGCCCTTCAAGCGTTATGTCCACAAACACAGCAACAGGACAGGTTAACCGGGAAAAAATTCGATGGCAATTCCTGCCATTGATTCAACAATTAGTTGCGGATCGGCGTAACAGCGTTTTCCGTTCGAGTCGCTCCGACGTTGCGGCACTTCTGCAAGTTGACAAGAAGGCGTTCGAGCGTGTTGGAGTAACTAAATTCAAGGGTTACATAACCCATGCACAGCGATTGGGTTTGGTTGTGCTCGGGGGAGCAGAGGGTGATGCATGGGTCGCCTTACATCCGGATTGGCTCACCGAAGTTCAATCCAGCACCGCGATGGAAGGTGATTCGCGCGCAGCAGATGTAAACCATACCAAAATTTCCAGAGAAATCGGTGCTGGCTGTTTCCAGCCCTTGGTCGATATCTTGGTGCCGTTCCATCGATCAGGTATTCAACGGGTGTTACGGTCACGGGTCAAGCGGATGTTAGAGCCAACCGTCTACCGAGATGCAGGAGTGCCCGGGTTCAAGCAGTACATCGCTCTTGCTGTCGAAGTAGGTGTTGTCCTGTGTGACGATGCAGACAGCCATGACTGGATACACTTGCATCCTGCCGTTGAAATGCAAGTGGATGTCACCTACCACGTGTCATTTGGTGCGTCCCCTGGGTGAACCACTGGCTAAACGTGATGTGCCTATGCAATGTATTGTCTAGTTGTGTATTAATTGTATACTGTCAGCATTCAACAACGAAATGATTGGGTTCTAGGGTAGTGAATACGCGTTCGATGTCGTCGTTCTCTTGTAGGTCTTCAACAAGACTGTCCACAAGTGACCTTTCCTCCTCGGAAGCATCACGATTTTCTAAAGGAGCCCAATTCACTTCGCTCGTTAGTATTTCGCAAAGTGGCGAACTGGGGGCATATTCTTCTATAAGTTTTGTGACCTTTGACAAGTCCACCATGTGGCACACGAGCTGGATGTATTTTTAAAGATGCACCCGAGGACGGAGCTCCAAACACTCACTTCTACACCCCGCTGCCCAGGCGCCTCCTCACACCACTCGGCGAAGTCTACCGGACATTCGGTCATGAGTCGATCTAAGAGGTCTTCCATGTCGTCTCCGATTTGCACCTTGATGTAACCCCTTTGTTGAAACAAGAACTTCACAGGTGCTGGGCGAGCTCTTAGGATGAAGTCAGCCGGGGATGATTAGTGGCCATTCGCGTCAAGCTAGTCGCACCCATGGTGATGCAAAATCTCTCTTAACTTCCCTACCGTACGATTAATATTATTGGACCGGCATTCTCTTTCCGGTCGCTCAGTCAGCTATGATATCCGACAGCAAAAGAGAGACTCGTGCTCACATAATAAGACCGGTGGTAGCATTCATCATCGCTTCGAAGGTTAGCATTTGACCGTGACCTTTTGTTCGTTCTGCCTGTATTACTTAGCTCCTCAGCCATGGTCGGTAAGGATCACTCACTCTGGCAATAGCATTCTCTATGTTTTCCTTGGGAACTCCTGCTTCCTTGGCTCTGCGTATTGCCGTAGCCAACATGGAATTTTCTTCCGGCCTCATAGAGCCACCGACTATAAAAACGTTGATCAGTCCTACAGCTCCGGTTGTCGATCACGGGATCACAGACTCTTGGCCGCGGTTATAATTTCCTGTCAGGTTCAACCTCAAAGTTAGTCGGGGGTGACTCTGAGAAGTGACGACAAAGAACGACGTACCATCGCAGCCTTCCCGTACATCTTAGACTTCTTCGCATCTTCTAGTCCTTTGCGCTGTTTGATTTTTGACCACTAGGAGTCGGTCGCACTCCGAAAGCAGATTCAATTATTGATAGGAAAACTTGCGTACCTTGTTATGACCTGCAAAACACCCAGGTGTCCGGGTGAACGTCCGTATAGATAACAGGTTAGGTTTTTTCGGCAGGAAGCCAGAGTGTAGCATTACACTTTACATTCACACCAAGTCAACTTGGTTACTATCGCGGAGCGGAAAACGGAGACCAATTTCAAGTGCCGATTCTATTGGCAGGGTATCAGTAGCTACTGTATTGACATTGCGACCAGGGGTAGATACCGGTCCCACATTGTGTGCACCAGTTGTTGCATCGCGAACTATATACACTTCGTAGTAATGGTAATAGCACTTAACGCGCTCGACCTTAAACTTTGTTGTTACAGCTACGAGCAAAGATTATATATATGATGTGTCTCCAACAGTTTTCACGGTTGTTTCCGCGCGTGAGAGAGGTATTCCCGGCGCGCCTGCCGCGCGGACTGCACTCGCGAGATCGAGGTGGAAGAAAGGTGTGTCGAGGGGGACCAACGGCGCAGCGTTGCTTGGGTTGCCTCCTGACACCGGCAGTTCCATGATCTCTGGTGCCTCGATGTCACTCGTCGGGATCTCATTATCTTTTCCCCGATCTCCTCTGAGGGGGCCACGGTAAGGTACCACAGGAGCAATTTCTGGAGGAATGTCGGATGCAGGGGTGCTCGTGCCAAACCCGCCAGCAATTAGTGCCCGACGGGACCACGGAGAGAGAACGGAAGCAAAATGAAACTAGAACGCGCAATGAGTCGACTTGAGCGAAACCCTTGATAGGACCACACTGACCTCGACAGGATGGTTAACCCATCTCTGCACCTCATTCCGAGTGTCAATCAGCGCTTGTACAGCGGTGGTGTCGATGTGAGGTCTGCGGTGTTGTTCCTTAGCTCTACCTGAACTGCAGTTGGTGTTTGGTGACTTACACTACGGAGAAATCTAGGACTATCGCATGGAGATCCGGCTTTGCGTCGTTGGCAGCCTTGGAGGCAGCAAGGTCTCCATGAAGCGGACCAGGATCGTTCCAAGGACGGTCGCGTAGTTTGATCTTGCCCACGTCTATGCCCCGTCGTATGTGCTCCTTCACATAATCGACAACAGCACTGTTGACAATTGAGCAGTTAGGGTAAAGATAGCTTTCCTCCAGGCGATAGATGATGACACCAGGCGAAGGCGGCTCAACCTTGATATCGGAGTTGGTCACACCATCGGCGCGAAGAGGAAGGAACACCTCGCGACTTTTTTCTGGGTCCCGCGGATCTGACACCTTGACCTTTCCGAGGAAAGAGCCGCGTGGATGCGCAATGCGGAGGAGCAGGAAAGCGAGGGACGCGCATATTGAGGTATAAATGCCGTTCTCGATTGTGGAGAAGACGGTCACCAGGACCGCGGCAGTCCAAATAAAGAATTCTATTGGTGAAATCCGCCAGAACGTGTACACCTGCGATGGTGCTGCGACGAGGTCCGCGACGGCATGGATGATGACCGCCGAAAGGCCGGCACTGGGAATCCAGTAGAACGCCGGGGTAAGGCCATAGAGCGCAACAATAACCACGACCGCAGTGAATATTCCAGCGATAGGGGTGCGGACGCCGGACTTGGACTTCAACGCAGAACGTGAAAACGATCCCGTGGCGGGGTAGGCGTGGAAAACACTGCCGACTGTGTTCGTTACTCCAATGGCAATCAGCTCTTGGTTAGGATTAATCTTGTAGCCGTTCACTCGACCAAAAGCTAGGAGGGTGTTAGTATACAGATAAACAAGAATTAAAAACGATGCTTTCCCACATTTCGAAATAGCGATATGCTCCAAGAGCAGGATGATGGTAGCGACGGGCAGCTGGGGAGCAAGAGCCTTCAGAAGCTCCGTGTCGATGACTGGAGGGCCGACATCCTGAAACCCTCGGGGGACGTTTTGAAGGATCTTGATTGGATATTTTCCAGATTTAGACTTGTGGTCTCTACAGTACAGCCATGCAGCAATGGTCAACACGATGATAATGAAGGCGTTCCTGGAAACGGAGACGAAAAACATTGCACGGCCTGCAGAAGGTAATCTGAACGTCGTGATAAGAGGAATACTGCGATTACACCTACGGCTCCTTGGATAACGATCCGAGATTCTATTGCAAGCTATGCGAATGATGTAGAGCGCAGCAAGCCCTGGCAGTCCCCACGCAGCATCAAGAGTGGTTCTAGGTAAGCCTTTGAGAGTGTTGATGATAACCTCATACGTAGCGGCCCTGGTACTGTTGTAAACGTCAGCGTAGATCACCAGAACACGAGGAACATCCAACCCACTTGAATCCGGTAATTCCCATCAATCCTGGGACTTGACCAGCAACTATGTTGATAGCTGAACCGGTCATGAAACCGCTCACAGCGGGTAATGGAATAAATTCTACGATCCATCCTAATCTCAACAAGCCGATGCCCAGAACAATGAAACCACATATGAACGCCACCGTCGTCGCAATCTGTGGGCCGCTCCATTCGTTGGGATGCTTTGAGTCGACGGCTGCAATGATCTGCGCCACAGTCAAAGACATAACTGCGACGGGGCCGATAGAAACATCTTTGGACGTGGCGAAGAACTAGGGGGATGGTTATTTTGGACCATGGGGTTGGCCCAAGGACTCACGCAGTAAACGAGGACTCCGACGAAAGAGGAGTACAGGCCGTACTGAGGGGGGAGCGTAGCAATCTGTCGAGAGATGTCTTTTAAGTGATTGTTCGAGCCTAGAAACCCGGTGGATATCTTACCTGGGCGTAAGACATGCTCTGAGGCACCAGGACCAATCCGACGGTGAGACCAGCAATAAGGTCACCAGTCAACCAGCCAGTGTCTGAGAACGGTGAGGGGATATATATGAGATGGTAAGGAGGCCGCCTTACTGTAGCGAGTGATCCACCCAAGGATTGGGAAAAGGCTGGTAAGATAGTCAATTACCTAGCCATCTGTAAGTGACCCAAAGAGGGGGAGGACAGTACAGTAACCACCCACAGCGCGTTTTGGATCTGTCGCCCGGGTCTTGATGTAGTTGGCGGTTGTAATGACTGGGGCCTCATCTTCAGGGCGTCCGACAATTTTTCCGGCGATGTGCTTTATTGTGGAAGCCATGCGAGGAACAAGTTAGGGGAGGGGCGAAGGCTGGGTTGGGTGTCTGTTAGTCGTGAAAAATATTCTAAAGGCAAAGTGACCAGAGAGGTACGAGACTCCCTAATGACGAAAGGGCGAGTTGAAGAAGTGCATACACACCTCTCTGAATGGCCGGTGATCAGTGACCGTACTGCCAACGATAAGTCGGTCTGATTCCTGTAAATAAAACTGATCAGCCGTCTGCAAGGCCCAGAGGGGTCAAGCTACTGGCTGTGTGTGGTGCCAGCCTATTTTATACCAGTCACCAAGTGCACAGAGTACTCATCGTACTGTGGCGAATGTCGACTAAGCACGCCATTCGCCACGGGAGTGACGCGTCTCAGTAAGTCAGTAACTGATGTTCGCTGAGCTTGGTAATTCTGTCATCAATACATGTTTGCTCAGGGCCGCCATCATTATTTCTATCCTGGTAGTCTATATGGGTATTCCAGCCCTTAAAGCTTCCCCGTAATACACGGTATTTCTCCGCTCAAGTTTGCAAATAAAATAATGAAGAACTCTAGCGCTGTCGCACGGTTACAAGGACTAAAACGCTCACAGATGCATGATAAGCAGTTGGAATTTTCAGCGGACCAGGAGAAACTCAAGTTTGGCGTCTCGACGCATACCAGACGCCCCACGGACCGAGGCACGCACACGTAGCCACGCCAAGTCCTGATTGTTGTCCATTTTGGCTACGAGAGACACCGCTCTCTCCTTATTGACAGAACGGGTCAACGGGAACGGACCACAGTTCGTCGTAGTTCGGGAGTATTTACTTGTACCGCATTGGGCACAAGGCACGTTGGTACAGAACGCGAACGCATACTAGGGCTCCAGCCTGCTCCAGACGAGCTGTGTATATGGACGTGTCACGTACTTGACAGTCATGAGGTTATCGTTTCGTCGCCTGAGCGCAAGACGTCGAAAGTCGCGCAAAACGCGTTTGAGATTGCGACAACTGTCATGCCTATGGTTTCTTCAGGAGCTAGGTGGATCAGTTCTGTCAAACGATGGCATATGCAGGCGACAAACTAACCTAGGCTATCGGGCAAACCCTTGGCGGTAGTCAGGCGGAACCGCCCGCATGGCTGAGGAGCACAGGATTGTCACGGGTGAGAACAGATAATTTCCAAAGAAATGACATCCCTTGGGGGGAAGAGGGGGTAAGTGACGAAAGTATGAGACATTCTTTGACGCTCGCAACGCAATCCCTGATGCTTCGAACCGTTCCGCTGTTCATCTCGTAACCGTTCGGAAGCGTGCGTACTTTGGCAGTAGCGCCTGTTTGACTGTTTAAACCTATAAGATCAGTTGGAGCTTGCGGTGCCATTTCGCAGTGTTGAAAAGCCGTCCCTACCGTGCTGCGTGCCCGAGTGCAGAGTGATACATACCAATACACTGTCACTGTGGCCCTGCAAGCATGGGCCGAATCAAGAATGTCCAAGATAGGAAGTCAGCCACCACCGCACCCCGCACAAAGACAGTCACGTTTTGAATTTGTTCGACCAGAGCGCAGAGCGCCTACCATAATACCCTCAAACCGGCCAGTCGCATAGTATTTTTTTAACGATTTCTTTCTTTTCTTTGTCTTTGTTCCTTTTTCATTACGACTAATGACTTCTCAGCCAAAGGCTGTCCCACTCGTTGCTCCAGGCCATACCCGCCCAGTGACCCATCTCTCGTTTTCTCCACTCCAGGCCGATGGCACCTACTTGCTGGTATCCAGCTGCAAGGACGGAAATCCCATGCTCAGAGAGTGGACCGGTGATTGGATCGGCACCTTCTTGGGTCACAAAGGTGCCGTGTGGAGCACCAAGCTTTCCCCTGACACATCCAGGGCTGTATCGGGCAGCGCTGACTTCACTGCGTAAGTAGTAGACATATCTGTAAGCTCTCTCGATGTGCTTAAAATCTTGTTTAACAGAAAAGTCTGGGACACATATTCTGGAGAGGCACTCTGCTCTTTTCCTCATAACCACATCGTTCGAACCGTAGCAATATCTCCGACATTGTCGCATATAGTTACTGGTGGCCAGGAAAAGATAGTGCGCATTTTCAACCTTGGTAGACCCGACGCAGATCCCGACCTCCTCTGCGACACCGGGACGACGGCCCATAACGGGACAGTGAAGAGTGTGGTTTGGATCGGAGACCACACACCGGTATCCGCAGGCGAAGATGGTATGCTAAAGTATGCGTCCTACACGAACCAAACGATTTGCATCTCAGTGACTACAATACAGGTGGTGGGACATACGGACCCGAAAGCAAGTTGCGTCTCTGAGTTTTCAGGGTCCCATTGCTTCGATGGAATATTCCGCTCCGACCAGTCGATTGGTCGTTACCTCTGGAAAATCTGTGGCTTTTATACCCGCCCTGCCTACCGCGGCGCCGACTCACAGCTTGACACTATCATACCAGCCATCTTCTGCTTCTCTTCATCCCATTCGGCAAGACCGGTTCGTCACGGGTAGCATGAATGATGAATGGGTTAGAATACACAGTATAGACGGGGAAGAGAGGGATGTTCTCAAGGGACACCACGGTCCCGTCCATTGTGTAGAGTTCAGCCCAGATGGAGAGATTTATGCTAGTGGCAGCGGTACGTCCTACGGCTCATTGTGAGGTATGCATCTGACTGACATAATACCGCTGTGACTTGTAGAGGATGGTGAGTTACGCTACCAAAGTCTCCTCGATTTCATTGACTGGGTACAGGTACCATCCGTTTATGGCAAACGACCCCTGGCAAGACGTACGGTTTGTGGCAAGGGACGGCGAGTGGCAGTTAGGTGTACAAATGGAGGAAAAATGTGGATATGGTTGTGCCGAACCACTTTGTATATGCTTTTCTATTCAACGGTACCTTTGTGTGATCAGTACTAGCCAAAAACGTATGATTTGCTGGGTCAGACGGCCGCATTGCGTCATAGCCCGCTTGCCCCAGCGGGCGTCTTCACTTTCTGCGTTCGACGATGATTGGCCCGCAAAGACATCGCCCGTCCTCTTCGCCACCGCCGACCATCACCTACCATCATTCGTCGACGTTGCTACCCATCCCAGCCCCACAAATTGCACAGGCTGCTGTGGGAGGCGCCCATTATTCTACCATGTATACGTCACATCATACTCGCAGACGTAGTTCGGGCAGCGACGGACTGCACAGGACATCGCAATCTGCAGGAGATGCGGAGGAGAGTGACAGGCGGAGGATCGTGGACGACCTCAACGAACTCTTTTGCTGTAGGCCCAGCATAGACATTTTCAAGCGGACATGGCGACACGATGCAATTTTTGAGGCGTGTATTGGCTAATTTCTGTTTGAGAACGATGCTTGATCGTCGCATACATATGTAGGACCCCTGGGTAAAGTGCGAGGGTTATAATGAATATGGTCCTCAGGTTAGTAAGTGCATCGTGCGTTCTGATAATCGACTGCTGATTTGGCTTAGTTTTTTGCCATGGTATATGTCGGACTGCACGGTTAGCTTGTTAGGCAACGAGACTAATGAGACTTATTCTCAGCCCAAACTCTTTCAAGCCAAGATATTATCTAGCCGAATCATGTTATCTACTCAGTCACCGAACCGTCTGATATATTCCAAGTCTCAAGAGTATACCCTGCGTTTCTTGGGAAAGAAGAAGGTACGTAGGGATCCTGACGAACCAAACTGACGATCACGGTCCGATAGAGAGTTGATTCCGTTGTTGTTGTCGATTTGGACGAAAACGACAAGATCATGCGGGTGGAAGACAAGTGGGGGGGTGCGGAACAGCCGACACACTATGGCACGTTGCATCTTCGTCGGGCAAGTGCAGTAATTATATCGTGGTTGATCAGAGTACCGAGGTGGCAGTCGGATTAGCGGGGTTGATGTATTTGTGGTCATATGAATAAATAGCGGAGGCTTCCTTTCTTTATCGATACGGGGTCAGCTGGACAAAGTTTATGGACTCCGCTATCTGTGTAGGAGATATAAACAACCCTCGCATACTCTCTCCTGTCTGCAGGCTCGATTAATATCCTCATCCATCTCCCGTTTGCAGGCTTGAACTCACCAACTTACCATGGCATCCGAAGTCCGTCAGTGAGTAGAGCAAGGCACCCACGGGAACACCGTTGCTAATCCATCACTCAAGGAGAGCAAAGGCGCAATCCGCGTCTCCCCTGGGTCCTTTAGGCATCGAAGCTGCTCTTGAGGCGCAAGCCGACCCTTCCATCCAACCGCGTCCAAAGATATTTGACGAGTTCGCCTTGACTGATCGAGTGGCACTTGTGTCTGGAGGCAATCGGGGGCTCGGACTCGAGATGGCGATCGCACTGGCCGAGGCAGGCGCAAGAGCTGTTTATTGCTTTGATCTTCCCGAGAAACCTTCGGAGGAGTTTGTTGCTTCTCAAGAGTATGTCAGCAAGCTTGGGAATAACTCGAGACTCGTGTACTTCGCCGCGGACGTGCGTGACCAACAGTTGCTATGGAAGAAAGCAGAGGAAATAGGCGATAAGGAGCAAAGGTTGGATATTTGTGTGGCTGCTGCCGGTATCCTTAAGCCCCACATGGACTGCTTGGAATATCCCGCAGACGTGTTCAGAGAGGTAATACATGCCGCGGGAACGAGAGCGCCGTTCGTTTAATGGTGACGTTTTGGTTTAGGTCGTGGAAGTGAACACAACTGGCGTTCTGTTTACGGCACAGGCTGCTGGACGGCAAATGGCACGCTTCGGCCGTGGGGGCAGTATCATCTTGATCGCCTCGATGTCAGGGAGTATTACCAACAGGGTAAGCTTGACCTGACGTGATGTAGTACGATATAACGAACGTGCTGCAGGACCACGCATGGGTGTCATACAATTCGTCCAAGTCTGCGGTATTGCAGATGGCACGCAGCATGGCATGTGAGCTCGGAGAGAAGAAGATTCGTGTGAATACGTTGTCCCCGGGCCATATCTACACCAAGTACGTATGGTTCTTATGTTCATGGCAGGCGCGTGTCTGATCGGATGAGCGGGCCAGGATGACTGCAGCATACCTCGATAACCAGCCTCACTTGCTGGACAAGTGGTCGAGCATGAACCCGCTTGGACGACTTGGAAGGCCTGATGAGCTTCGCGGTGTCGTCGCCTGGCTCGCCTCTGACGCGTCTACTTTCTGCACTGGAAGCGAGTGAGTGGTTTATCGTCCTCGCAGGCACTCACTAATCAGCTCATGCACGTCTCAGCATCATTGTCAGTGGAGGACATCACTCGTGGTAGTACACAAATATAAATATTGATTTTGTCAAAGGAAATAATAATAATTCTTGATTTTCCCTTTTTTGGGGATGCACGATCTCGATCGGCGCAGTGACTGCGGATTCTGGAAATGCGCAGTGGGCCTCCCAACAGCGGATTCAAGCCAGCATTCGACCAGCTCTGCGCGCAGCAGAAGGCGCTCCTTTTCTACCGCCTTTCCCTTCCACTTTCATCGTCCACACACGGCTGTTCCTCGTCGCTGCCATCGCTTGGCACCGTGACCAGCCATGGACACACCAGGTTCTGACCTCCCAAAACCTCCCAGGCGAAGAGATCCCGCTCAGCCAACTGATATCGCTGAGAGAGTCATCGCTCTCCAGAGACGAAATGCGGCGTACGCTTCCATCCCCTTCGTCGGCCTATTTTTCCTGACCCTCTCTCTCTCTGACAGTGCATCCCGTGCCCGAGAGCGGACAGAGCGCCCCCTGCACTCGTCTTCTGCATCTCGCACCACTTCTCAGCAGCCTACTGCCTCTACCTCTCGACCCACCCCCCAACAGCCCAACATCTCCCCTCGTGTATCTGCGGCAAACGCATCCCCACGGAAACCCCAAGCCTCGTCCAACGCCATTCTCGTTCGTCCAGAAGCTGATCCGGACGACTTCTGCCGTCGCCTCCACATATCTAGCTCTCCGCGCACCCAACACCAGTCGAGGCAGCCGCCGACGGGAAAACTCTACAATCCTGACGCCGATCCCATATCCATTCGTCGTGCAGCGGATCCAGAGGCTATCCCCGACGCAAGCAGCTCCTTCCCTCCTCGCAATGCTCCAACTCCGGCTCCTCACCGTGATCCACCTTCTCACCAGCGTCTTTTCGACCACAGAAAGGATGATCCTGTGCGTTTCTCCGTCCTCGCGAGACCGTCAGGCGGAAAGTCGGCGGTATCCAAACCTTCTGGTGATCTCGTCTCGGCCTCGTCAACGTCGTCCTATGCTCCATCGATGACCTCATCAAGTTTCACCCTTTCGTCCGGCACAACAGACAACTCGTCTGCATCCTCCGCCCTGTTTGAAGGCAGGCCTCCGCGCGAAGATCCGGGTAACAACGCTTTTGCAATCCAGCTGAAGAAGCTCTACCGTACGATCTCGACGCTCGAGTCCAAAATCCTCAACGAGGATTCGGACGAGAACGTGGACGAGGGTCGCGTTCTCTTACAAGGCCACGGGCGCGAGGTGACGGAAGAAGAGCTCGAACAACAAAAGTGGCTGAGAGTGATAGCCGACCATAAACGGTAAGCCACTTGCCCGCCGATCCCCTGTTTTGATGCTCATGACGGATTTGGGAATCACGCAACCAGACTCGCAGACATGATGCACAATCTGATGCAGATCTCTCTCTCGCCAAGCGTGCCCGCGTCCTTGCGCGTCATCCCCACAAAGTACAATATCATCATCCGCCTGTGGACACATGGCTTCCACAAACTCCTCGAGGCCCTCCGTCGTGCATCCTGCAACTCACCCCTCGCTCTGGAGCACCTGCAAGATTTCATCTATTTCGCATACACATTCTACACCGGACTACTTGAGGAGCCGACGCTACGGACTTTCCGTGCGGGCTGGCTCGAAGCCCTCGGAGACCTCGCCCGCTATCGCATGGCGGTCGCAGCCATGGTCACCAGTAATCATCTCTCAGGCGCTGCTCTGACCACTGATGCTGTCTCCAAGGCCGCGGAAGCCACCAGCGAGGAGACGAGTAGTAAGAAGTCCAAGTCACAAATCAGCGTCAAATCATCGTCGGATAGACCGGCTGCACGCATTGACGACTCCCCAACCCCCAGTGTCGGTATCGCCGCAGCGCGCATGATGGAGGTCGGGCCCGAAAAGGAACGATGGAGATGTATTGCGAAGGAGTGGTATTTCCAAGGACTCGCTGAGACTCCCGGAACCGGCAAACTACATCATCATCTAGGGCTGCTCAGCCGGGAAGCCGACTGCGAAGAACTGCGGGCCGTCTATCACTTCGCCAGGAGGTGTGTCTGTGATCCTTACCTGCTGTCAATTTCTCAACTCTTTTTAAATAAAAAAAAATAGTATGACCACTCTCCACCCATTCCTGACGTCTCGTGAATCTGTCCTCCCCATCTGGTCGCCGTCAGCACAGGCGCGGCGTTCTCAACCTGACGCATCTGCATCCGAATTATTTGTCCTTCTCCACGGCATGCTCTTCACTAACATCCAGCTCGACGATTTCGCCTCTACACTTGCACGCTTCCTTGAACGTCTTGAAATTGAAGGCGCAGAAGAACGCGAGTGGATCATGATGGCCGTTATAAACATCACGGCCATCATGGAGTATGGTCGACAGGGTGGTATTTTAAGAAAGATTGGTGGGATTGGTGCCAGTCGCGAAGGTGCTGGAGTTACTCCTGTTCGTATGGTTGCGAAGCGCATCCCCACCGCCCATCACGAAAATGATCGCGAAGACCGGTCGATGGACATAGATGACGAAAGTCCGGTGATGGCTGCTGGGCAAGCGGTACTCTCCCCCGCACTGCCGGATGCAGACTCAGCCTCCGACCTTCCGCCCATGTTCAAGTTTGCAACGCAACTTACTTTTTCAATGCTTTCCTTTGTTCTTCACCATCCGACTCGCAAGGCGTCTCAATTCTCGAGGTTGAGCCTCAATCCATATCTCACCATCATGGTGACCTTCCTCGCAACCGTGTGCAAGCATACTCCAACGCTGTCCGTACTCGAAAGGTCCATGCCATGGGAAGATCTCGCACGATTTTTCTCTAACATTCCTAAGAGGGTTTTGGTAGCGCAAGGCCTCTTAGTCCCAGTACCCGGGGGCGAGAGATGGTCGATGTTGACGAGCGGCTGTGCACCACCGCTTCCCGAGGATTGGTGCATGAGAGGTATGGAATGGGTCGGTCGGAAGGTGTTCGAGCGTGGATATTGGAAGAGCGGAGAGGATCGCCGTGCCGAGATGGAGGTGCTGGACCTCGAGGAGAGTGTTCAACTCACTGACGGTATCATCGAGGATGAAGATGAAGATGAAGGCGGACAAGGGGAGGGACAAAGTGTGACGGCAAAACGTTGGACCAGAATGACACGTTGTGCTGTTGCTCTCGCTAACTTCGTCGACGGCTTTTCGCGGAGAGAAGGAACGCGACATTGGGTAGTTGAGGGGGCACTTGCAGCCAAGGTCGAACGCTGGCAAGAAGAAGATCGGCGTCAACGAGAAGAAGAGGAACGTCGCCGCAGAGGTCGCTTGCGGACCGACGATATTATGGATATTGACACAGAGGAAGAGGTGGAGGAGACGTCGGAAGAGAGCGAAGACGATGACGAGGACTCTGAAGAAATTAAGGCTCTCAAGGTACCGTGTTTTGTTAGCCGTGCCTTTTTGTGCCGTGAATTGACAGTGTTTTGATCAGGCACGGCGACGATATCTGCGTAGTTTATTGAATTCGGCACAACACTCTTCGCTCTCCCCGCTGCCCAAGCCGCGGTCATCGCCCAGTCAGCCTCGCAAGGCTCAGTCGGCGTCAAGGCTTTCCATCATCCCAGGCTACACTGTTCTTGTCCTCGATACCAACATTCTCCTTTCTTCTTTGTCCATCATCGCCTCGATAGTAGAAAGCCTTCGTTGGACAGTTGTCATTCCCGTCCCTGTTGTCATGGAACTGGACGGCCTTTCTGCGAACACCTCGCAACTGGGTGCGGCTGCACGAGAGGCACTATCCTACGTCACGTCTCATGTCCGCTCTTACGGAATGTCGCTCAAGGTTCAAACGTCCAAGGGCAACTATTTGACCTCGCTCAGCGTGCGAACTGAACAGGTCGACTTCACTGATAAAGAGTCTTGGGAACGCAGCATGGATGACCTAATTCTGAAGGCTGCAGTGTGGCAAGATGAGCACTGGGTCGATCGATCTATGCTCCTCAAGGGTAGCGCAAGCCCTGCAAGTACTGCCGGCGCCGTCAAAGTCGTTCTTCTGAGTTTTGATCGTAATTGTGGGTGTGGCTAGTATGTTCGCTGGGGGGTCTGGACTAACTCTCGGATGTGATTAGTGCGACTTAAAGCTCGTTCGCGACAGCTTCCCGCAGCTGATGAGAAGGACTTGGCTGGAATTCTAGCATTCGTTACCTAATACGAAGGAGTAACTGTACTATAACTCTCAGTTCCTCGCTTTCGATTTGGTCCTTGGAAGTTCCACGGCACACGCCGTCGAAGAATGGGACCTTCTCTGGGACCTCTCGGGTCTGTCGTCCATGTCGCGCCCGTTGTGGTGGAGGTGTGCGACTGTATGCGGTTGTCCGCCGTCTTCATAACTAGCATACTTTCACGATACCCCTCACCTGCACTGTTGCAATCTTTATTAATGTAGTTTTTGGTGTGTTATTATAGGTGTTTTAGTGTTGTTATAACGGGAACAACGTTACTTCTAAATTGTACACGCTGATGGGCTCTGATGGTCTCGATAACCCTGATCGCGGGAGTGCACTCATGGTCTAAAGAAGCAAACACATTCTAAGTGTTCCCTAGGCCTGCGTATGGTATCGGCTACAGTACACGCGTGTTTTGAGGTCTACTTTGTCTACATTATTCATAAATCATGGCTGCCTGAGAGAGCTTGTATTGCAGGGTACCCTCGGGGAACCAACTAGGCACTAAGTTAGGGCCAACACCTGACCAACGCTGCTATGAAACGCTTACAGAGCGATCTCCTTTTCCGCATTCTCGACGCTGTCGGAGCCGTGGCAGATGTTGCGACCGGTTGCGAGAGCGAAGTCACCGCGGATGGTACCTGCACGTGCGCGAATGTTCGAATGGATGTACAAACAGAGGGAATGGGAATGTTCTTACCAGGAGCGGATGCAAGGGGATTGGTAGCACCCAGCATGGCACGGCCGGTTTTGACAGCGTCGAGGCCCTCGAAAACCATGCAAAAGACGGGGCCGCTATGCATGTACCTGATCAGGTCAGGGAAGAATGATCTTTCCTTGAGATCGGCGTAGTCTGGGGGGATAATGATCAGTGGCTAAGCGTTGGCAAGAAAAAGCGAGGGGAGAGGACTAACGCTTCTCCAGATGCTCCTTGGAGGGCAAAGCGAGCTTGGAAGCGATAAGCTTGAAGCCACGCTTCTCGAAGCGGGAGAGAATCTCTCCGATGAGACCACGGTCAACACCGTCAGGCTGCGCACACGCGATCGCTGATACTTTAGCACCTCTGAACGATGGCTTCGGAGAGTCAATCCTTACCTTGACCATAATGTATGTGCGCTCAGAAACGTTTGGGGCCATCTCGACTGTAATCTCAGGTGCGTGCGTGTGTGGTGTTGGGAGGAAGAAACTCGTCGCTGGGCCAACCTATATAGTTTCCATTTTATTAATTTATCTTATCGAAATCTTATCATCCTTATACTTGGGTAAATTACCAAACATGATTAAACAAGCTCCCCGGCTGCCTCCGCTGGAACAGCTTGAAATTGTCTCCATTTCCATATAGCACTTTGAGACTTCAAAAAACACTCGATGAACGCGCTCGGGCCATCTCTTGCACCATACATTCGTTCTTCACGAACGCTCAAGAAATGGGTTACTCCAGTCGCGCAGTGGTATGCCAACCTGATGGGCTACCGTCAGATGGGTCTTAAATATGACGATCTCCGTACGTTTTGTTCCGTGTAACCCACACATTCTCGTCGTTGGTGTTGTTCTACTATGGGTCGCTTATAAATTGATTTAGAGCAAGAGGAATTGCCCGAAGTTCAAAGGGTATGTCTGTCATGTTTTGAGTTTCTTGGGTGCGTTTTTGATGGTAATTGGTTCCATTGCAGGCCCTCGGTCGTCTGTCACAACGAGAATACTATGACCGTTCATACCGCATGAAGTTCGCCGCGCACCAATCTGTGTTGCATAAACCCCTGCCGAAGGAGCAATGGTTATCTGCAAAGGATGTATGTACATATATATGTGTGCCAGCTGTTCTTTGGCTGACAATATCCAAGGACGCCCGGTACTTGAAACCACACATTGAGGATGTTCTCAAGGAGGAGTCCGAGAGGGCTGCTTGGGATACTATGGGCGTACAGCGCAGATAGACTGTGATACGACTGCATTTTTCGTAAATTCAACCAGCTGCACTCGTTAATTGGAATCTATAGCGTCACGGGCACGCTTGCGAATTGAATTTGGACAACTTCTACAACCGTACTGGACATTCTACTGAGAAGGCTCATTTCAAAGGAAACTCATTCAAGGGCCTTGACTAGCGGAGAAATGACCTCGCCACCTTTCTGTTTGTAAAAGGCGATGACCCTTTTACTGACTGCCGCGATATCTGGTGTGATATTAAACCATGGTCTATCACGGCAGGGTTGCACTTACTCGTGCCGGTTATACCGAATTTTTCGTACACCTTCTGATATGGTCCCGATGCTCCCCACCCTTCGAGGCCGTATTGCTGTACAACACGTTAATTTGTGACTTCATATCCTTTCAACTACTTACCTCGTGACTGTACTTTTGCCACCCAAGAGTCTAAAGAGTCGATACGCTTAGCACCTGATTGGTCAACACCATTCAGGGTGATACTTACCGACAACGCCTCCAAAGACAAAATCGGAGCTCCGCTCCTCAGGACGCTCATTTTGTACTCCTTGTCCTGCTTGTCGAATACGGACCAACACGGTAGGCTCACAATTCTAACTTTGACTCCCTCTGCCTTGAGTTTGCTCGCAGCCTCGAGAGCTATGGCAACTTCGCTACCGCTGCTGACGATGGTCAAGTCTTCACCTTCCACATCGTAAAGGACATAGCCACCGCGGGCAGCGCGTTCGATGGTGGAATCTTCAAGGTTCGGAAGGTTCTGACGCGAGAGAGAGATGACAGACGGGGTCGCTTTGCTCTTGATTGCAACGAGATAAGCCGCCGAAGTTTCGTTACCGTCAGCTGGTCGCCAGAAATCAAGGTTGGGAATTGCACGGAGATGTGCAGCAGTTTCAATAGGTTGGTGGGTGGGCCCATCCTCGCCGAGACCAATTGAATCGTGCGTAGCTTGTGTGAAAGGCTCAGCGTATTTCACATATATCGTGGTTTTAGGACTCACCGACCCAGATAAGCTGATGCTTGCTCAGAGCCGACAGTCGGACAGCACCGGCGGCATAGGATACGAAGTTCTGCTCGGGTGTGAGTCGGATAAGATAGTACTGGAAAAATTCACTCACCAAGAAGGTACCCACGTAAGGTATGATAGCGCCGTACGCTGACAAGCCGTTTGCGATGGCACCCATACCGTGTTCCCGAACTCCATAACGAATGTAGCGTCCCGCGTAGTCTCCAAGACCAGTGTCAGGAGGCTGGAAGTCAACGCTTCCTTTGACTCTGGTGAGGTTACTTCCAGTCAAGTCCGCAGAACCCCCCAACAGCTCGGGCAGAGCTGGATAGAGCGCCGACAGGGTGATCTCAGACAATTTACGGGAGGCTTGAGCGGGGTCTGTCGGCTTGTAGGTCGGAAGTCGCTGCTCCCATCCATCAGGAAGTTTCCCTGCGATGCGCCGGGCAAGCTCGGCGTGTTCCTTTGGATAGACATTCGCATATTTCGCGAAAAGCGACTCCCAAGCCACTTCAAGCTGAGCACCCCGACGGGCTGCCGCTCGATAAGTGGCATAAGTTTCCGACGGCACGTAGAAAGATTGATCTGAAGGGAAACCACATTTGCTTTTCAGAGCTTGGATGTCATCAGCCTTCAACGCTAGAGGAGAAAGTTATTCGTAATTCAAAAAATTTAGAGTGTTACGCACGAGAGCCGTGGACACCATGTGTACCCTGCTGCTTCGATCCGTAACCGATGGTGGTCCGCAAGCAGATGATGGTTGGCTTCCCTTTTTCCTCTCGAGCGGCGGCGATGGCATCGTAGATGGCAGCAAGGTCACTGACATTCCAAGTTAGTGTAATTGAAAATACACTTTCAGCTAACTTACTTGTCACCGTCATCGACATGTAGAACCTGCCAGCCATATGCAAGGAACCTCTGTTCGACATTTTCAGTAAAAGCGACCGCAGTGTCACCGTCAATAGAGATGTCTTTTTGAGGGAGAGGGTTTGGTAAGTTTGGGGTGAAGGGATCAAGCTATACGTACGATTGTCGTCATATATCTTGGGTGCCGGTCAACCTGGTGCACATAATTGATAAATGAAAGACACCCACGACAATCAGGTTTCCCAGTTTCAGGTGACCGGCGAGTGACGCTGCTTCGCTGGAAACACCTTCCATGAGACAACCATCACCGGTAAAGACTGAATGATGCTTGTTGGTTGCGACTCGTTACTGGTGAGCTTGTATAACATACCGTAGGTGTAGTTGTTGATGAGGTCGAAATTTTCACGGTTATAAACGGCGCCTAGATGGGTCTGAGCGATGGCAAGGCCGACGCCATTGGCAAATCCCTGGCCAAGGGGGCCAGTAGTGACCTCGATGCCTGGAATATTGACGTGTATCAAGGCAAACGGGGCGGTGGTTCGCACATACCATCCGTATGATTCGCTTCTGGATGACCAGGAGTGAGCGAGTCAATCTGGCGGAAGGCTTTGAGATCATCCATGGATAATTTGTATCCGAGAAGATGGAGAAGAATGTATTGCAATGCGCAACTGTTCCGAGACATTAACGGGTCGTAATGCAACGCCAGTTGTCACTCACGCGTGTCTGTGGGAGGGACATTCAGATAATTGTACGAACTTCGAAGCCACATAAAATATTACCCATTGGACAAGACAAAACGATCACGGTTAAACCACTTGGAGCTTGCAGGATTGGCATTGAAGAACCTGACAAGGAGATAGCTGAGCACATGTAAAGACTCTTTTCAGGACTTGACCGCTTGCCTCGTGAAGAGTACGTGGGCCGCAGGAGCCATGCCCATGGGAGCGCCTATTGGGGGTCGTCCGTTGTCACCAAGCGACAGTGATAGGAGGGTCGCCTACCAGGATGACCAGAGTTCGCCTTGCCTACCACATCGGCAGCAAGGGTACGAATTGTTGCGACGCAAGTCGCATCTGTGGGCTCTGGGGTGAACTTGGAAACCATGGTTGATATGGACAGACGATAAGTTGGTGTCTATCTTGTCAGAACGCACTTCCAGACTTACATCATATTGGCTTTATTTATCATGCCCGATATGAGTTCACACGGGGTCGGACCGTGAAAAGCTTGCAAATCATTCGCTCATCCGTTCCTAGAATCAGATGCACCCGCAGCTGTCCGACAAACGAATAGGTGTGTGTCTACGGGTCGTCTCTTTCTTTTTTCCTTGCGGAAGGTTTCACAAAACAGCCCTGTAAGTTTGCAGGGAGTTCATACAAGCCCTCGACGCATGTCATGCCAACAACTGGGCCAGGTTGACCGGTCGCTGTAACCGGGAAAAAGACAAGCTCAACCAATGTCTTCGCAAAGAGGTCAGTGACCAATTGTTGGAGGTCCGAAGCCCGATGATCTAAGCGTATGCGGTTAGCGTGTTGAGCGGTCTGCCAGAAATCGTGCAGACGCCAAGGAACAGCGCACGAAGACTGAAATGGCTTGGAAAGAGCTACATGAAAACGATTGACCCCTACTTGGCACGCTCAGTGCGTGGCGTCCTGCGATATGCATCCTCGCCGTTGCTTCATGAGGTTTGTCGGCCTTAATAATGCCCTACCGGAAGGGATCGACGTTCAGGCATATCTTTATCTGTTCCGATTATAACCCATCGTTTGAGAGCACAAAGTCGACTATTACACACTTCTTCGCACTGTAGTAGTTCATTCGAATAGATTTTATTCCCTGTGAGGAAGCTGACGTAAGCAAAAAGGACATCCCGGACGTCCTGTTGTCGGAGGGGGCAACAAACAACATGGCCCGCGTGCATCGAGTTGCTGCAGCCGCCTCTGTGCTGGCCATTTTCTATCTCCTCACGTTCTTTTCAATTATTCCGGTGCCTTTCGTAGATCCTAGCGTTTCCGAACAAATTCTCCCCCTCGTGCGTTGATTGTTCCCGCTCCAGAACAAAATGTTCTATACTCATCCTGTGACAGGTCCCTTGGTGGATTCTGGTGTCTTTTGGTTCTTACTCGCTTTGGAGTTTAGGCTGGGGTCTGTTCACTTTCAGGGACTGTCCAGAGGCGTACCGTGAACTACTGAAGGTCCCTGTTGTCTTGCTTGAAGTTGTTTCCAAGTGTCGCTGACCCTGCCCTCTTTTGTGTACAGGAGATAAACGACGCAAAGAACGACCTGAGTGCGAGAGGGGTTAGTGTAGACTAGTTATGTACGACACAGGCTTCAAGTAACCACTATCATCGTGGTACATACATACTACGTTGTGGACGATGCAATTGAGCTTCACCCCCTCCGGTTAGTCTCCCCTGGGCAGGCTCTGCTGAAATTTGTTGATGGATTTCTCTTCGAAGTACTCCCTGCCATCACTAGCTCTTAGTGCACCGGGTATCACAAGTATTTTTGCACATTCACCATAGGAGGAACTAAAGACAGCCTACTTAACCCTCTTGCATGTCACTGGCTTGCTCTTCCGAAGAATTCGTCCCTCCTGCAACCATCCCAGCCACCGTAAAGTTAACACAGCGTACTGCCAAAGTCCGCAGGTTGACTAGGACCAGACACCCCGTTTCTGAAAAATTCGGCACAAGAACCACTCTGCACTTCCTTGACATCTTCCCGTCCTTGCTTTCACCCCCTACCAGTTGGGTACTGAACTCCGGCATACAACCAACTATGTAGAGGTCCGGCGTTTCCCCAAGGACGAAGGGGTCCCTCTCACGGAAAGGGTGGCACCACAGTGTATCTGGCGCGGTTGGTGCGAGATGTCTCCATTTCAAAGATGAGCAAGCGATCGAGAGGTGCGTCGACGGCGGAGAAGGGAGATATTGATACATATCCAAAACTGGTTGACCAGATGTCACCAGTACACTGCGAATCAACGGAACGGAACGACTGCTTGACGTAGACGATTTTGTTCCCATCGGCATCGCGCTTTTGGACTTGCGGCCACACTCGACGCGCAGCCAGACCGGATTAGTTTCACAACGAAAGGTCTCGAACTCGGCCGCTTTACCAAACATTGCCAGAGGGAAAGGCTGTTGTGGCAAGATTACTCCTGCCGGATCGTCGCCACCTGGTAGGACGTGCACAGGTAGTACCGACGCCAGATCTTCAAGGTGTGCGGACAGCGTCACATTGGGATGCGTTGAGAATTTTGCTTGTGCAGCAGAGCCATACTTCCGCTGTTTACCTATCTTCAGTGACATATGACGTGAACGAAACCATAACTCACAGGCCGATTCTCGTCGCCCTCATCACCGTTGTCTGTCCAGACCCGCGAAAACAAATTGCCAGCTATGATGAGGCGTGTCACTTGTGATGCTAACTTTTGATCATCTGGTCCACCTGTCTCTCCAGCGAGATACTCTACTAGCATCTGAACCTGAGCCTCGCCCGATGAGGGGTCACCCATTGAGAGGCCAGATACTATAGCGAGACATTCGTCCTTCGCTGAGGAACTGGGCAACGTTGGATACCCTAACCATCAGAGCATATGTAAAACACGCACGAGCCATCTACATCCATGATATCGACATCGTCACCCGAAAGGTTTGCTTCTTTAAACGGTGCAAGTTCCGGGTAACAGATGTCAGCCACCTCGAAGTCGCCGCTGGCCGTTTCCATGCCAAGTGCGGCAATAATGACGCCTGTGACTAGACGGGTTGAATGCAGTCGCTCTCCGACGAGTTTGACGCGACCAGATTCATCTTCTAACATCACAGCGTCGTCCTCGGAGTGGAATTTTTCGCGGGGTGGGGGAGGGGGAATAGAATACTGATGAGGGAGATTACGCAGGTGAAGGTGTTGACTAGAAGTGTACGTACATCACGACCAAGGTCCTCCAAAACGTTGGGCTTCAGTGGCATATCCATGTATACGGTGCCAATAATCCAGCACAACTGTGATTTTACGACATCGAGGACTCTCCGCACGAATACGGGTTTCCCTAGGAAAACGTCGTGGTTTAGGCTTCGTCATGGCCAAGGTGCCGCCACACCTACCGGGAAGATCTTTCCATTTTGCACTTGCACGATCCATGACGGGTTGCTTGAGCATGGCAAGTCTCGTGAAGTACATGTTCGAGTACTGGTGTCTGTAAGACTTGTTCTTTGTGTCGATGATGAAAGAGGGCGAAGTCGGTGTTTGAGGTAACAGGGAACTCGTGCATCGCGTTAACTGCAGATGAGAGGGTAGTCTGGCAAAAGAGATCAGTCGTTCCACCGTCGAAAGACGCCCGTTTCACATACGTGGCTACTGCTGATGTTGAGGACATGGTAAGCCCCTGTCAATCGAACGTGCGACTTTGTCGAGTGTCATGTTTACTACTTCCGACGGCAGCGCTCTAGGTTTCCTGCGCGTTCCACGCCCATCCTTACCCTGATCTGATGCTTGGAAACAATTGGCTACAGACATATCTGATTCTGATGGCCTTGACAAAACAGGGATGTTGTTTCTGAGGATGGCAACAGGCACACCGCATGGTGGGTATCAGCCTAGTGATGTCAGATATGAAGCGATACTATGGATCGCTCCATGCCCTGCGCCCAATAATTCGTCATCATGGAGATCAAACTTTTAGGAATTGGGCGGTATAGCGACGGTCCTTGCTTCTGGTCTGCTCGATGGTGTGCTATGTAGTACCTACCCTAACTGTGTAACATCACTCATGAACTCCCCAGATTACTGCTTTGCGAGGGACTGAGTGTCCCATTGGACCGGCACCCATGATGATGAGCTGTGCTTCCGTGCCAACACGACTACCTATGGATTGGTGCCATCAAAAGTTGTGCGATCGTGAACCCCTGAACTTTAACTTCAAGCACGAGGGCGGAAGTTATTTCTGTCTGTCCCCCCGTCTTGGAGGTATTTAAAGTCGAATGGAGGCATTCCCCAATCTTATCGACACCGTCGTCATGTCCATCTCAAAGGTAACCTGGTCCCCCCCTCTCACTTCCAGAGACGATCTTCTGATTTCACTGTGTATAGCACATCAATCCTGAGGCTCTCATCCATGATGGACAAGTCAGTTCTCTTTCATAAAAAGCACTCTTTCTCAGATCTCAATTCTGTGCCTAGGATAAGAGGCACCGTCATCGTCACCTTCTTGGCGGGGATCCCAGCAAAATATCCCATCCATACAACGCGCGATATGGAACAGAGGCTATTCCGAAGTTTAAAATTCCCTCAAAGGGGATCGGTGCTGATGCTGCATACCAGCTCATTCACGATGAACTGGATCTGGACGGTTCCCCGACGCTCAAGTACGCAAATCCCTTTGCAGCGCACTCTCTATTTACAGCTGACCATGTATGCAGTCTCGCTTCTTTTGTTCAATACGTGGATGCCCGAGCCTGCCAAAAGATTAATGATGGAAAACTTGTCCAAAAATCTTATAGATCAGGATGAATACCCCATGACACGTAAATTAACGCTAGCCCTGTATCTTGAAATGTTCTGACGGTGTTTCTTTTTGTAGAGAATATCCACATGCGTTGCATTTCCATTCTCGCTAATCTCTGGCATGCCCCGTCTACGCACGATGCCATCGGAACTGCAACAACAGGGTCATCCGAGGCCATTCAACTCGGAGGCCTCGCAATGAAACGTCTCTGGCAAGAACGTCGCAAGGCTGAGGGAAAATCCATTCACGAACCTGGTCCCAACATTGTCATGGGCGCGAATGCTCAGGTTGCACTGGAAAAGTTTGCGCGCTATTTCGAAGTCGAATGCCGCCTCGTTCCGGTGAGCGTCGAGAGCAAGTACAGGCTCGATCCCAAGAGGGCGATGGAATATGTGGACGAGAATACTATTGGTGTCTATGTTATCCTCGGCAGTACCTATACCGGGCATTACGAACCTGTAAAGGAAATGGCCGACCTTTTGGATGAATACGAGAAGCGTACCGGTCATTCAGTTCCCATTCACGGTTCGTTTCTTTAATCAGATACTAAGAACCGACCCGATTGTACTACAGTTGATGCGGCTTCCGGTGGATTTGTTGCTCCCTTCGCTAACCCAAAACTTGTGTGGGACTTCAAAATTCCCCGGGTGGTCTCGATCAACACCTCTGGTCACAAGTTCGGCCTTGCGTATGTCGGTGTGGGATGGGTAGTCTGGCGCTCAAAGGATCGCTTGCCTAAAGACCTTATCTTCGAGCTCCACTACCTGGGCTCGGTGGAATATTCGTTTTCACTCAACTTTTCCCGCCCTGCGCACCCGATCATTGCCCAGTACTTCAACTTGATACATCTGGGCTTTGAAGGATACCGTGAGATAGCCTTGGCAGACCTGAAGAATGCACGGCTACTGAGCCGAGCTCTGGAGAAAACGGGGTTGTATACCGTCTTGAGCGACATCCACAGACGCAAGTCGGAGGGATTACTGGCCAAAGCGGTGGCTAGCATTGATGAAGAAAACTCAGAGGTACTGTGGCATTGGATAGGTTGATTCATCAAGTTGACGCCGGCCTCTCAGGGGTACGAGGAAGGACTACCTGTGGTGTCCTTCCGTTTCTCCGACGATTTCCAACAAAAATACCCAGAAATCGAACAACGATGGATACAGGTCCTCCTGCGGGCCAGAGGGTGGATTGTACCCAACTACGAGCTTCCTCCGGAGTTAGATAACATCCAGATTCTGCGGGTCGTAGTTAGGGAGCACGTGGCTGAAACGGTACGTTATATCTTGTGTGGTCAGACTGTACTTGACAAATTTCTGTAGTTGATTGATCGACTGTTCACCGACATAGTAAGTGTTAACTAGTTTGGCCATCTATATGGAGTACTAAGCAGTGTGATTTTCCAGGTTGAGGTCACTGAGGACCTTATAAATCGTAGTTCCTCCTCGCATGCTCTCGACATACTCGGCAAGCATCATGACGGGAAGACCGATCACGTTCACTTAGGGAGATTGGAGGAGGGCTCGGGATCCCAGTCATCCGGCACGTATGCGAAACAATGCTGAGTTCTAATGATGACTTGCGGAGAATGCCATTGAGGGTGAGGTGAAATTACGCGGTAGTTGTAGGATACTGTAGTTGATGTTGCCTATTGAGAGGCTTGGAATCGTGTGAGTTTGAATGTTACTTTGCTTGTACAATTAAGAACTACGGCGTCATGAATCTGAGCCAGCGGATTGGCAGTCTGACCCCATAGAATCTTGCAGACAGCATTCCTTGGAAGCTAATCTGGCCACCATAACACAAAGCCATGATGCAAGCGGACTTTCTGCTTGCAAATGCTGTCTTCGAGAGGTGCTGCTGGTAGCATCTGCACCGGAGATAACGTCGGGAGTCAACCGGTCACGGTCGAGGTGAGTCGGACTCATACTATAGTCTTCGATTAATAGGTGCTCAACACTTGCCTAATTACCAAGGTCTTTGTTCGTGCGATGACAGATACACTCAAATTCAACGGTCAAGATTTTCAGAACGTGGAGTTCATACACGGCTGAACAGTACACAATTCTGCCGTCTTTGCCGCTGAACTGACTGCTTACAGGCTTTGGTCGGAGTGTGAGTTAGCATAAAGCCGGGGTGATCCAAGACTTCTGAGGTTGTTGCCAGTCCTGTTCCCACGTGTCCAAGGCAAACTGTTACACCGTTGATCGCATGAGTTGGACGATATCTTTGGACGTCGTTCAGTTCATGCAGATATGTAGAACGAGACAGTATTGCTACCGAATGTAAATACATGTTAAGGCAGTGCGAGGGTAGATCTACATACCAACTCGAGGGGTGAAGAGGAGAGAGGGATTGGGGGAAAGGCGAAACGCTTACCGGCCCCGAACGGCAGCGATAACCTCATTGAAAGGCATGAGCTGCGAGGGCGGATGAGAACACCTCGCAGGGTCAAAAAAACAGCGGGTCGTGCTGACGTGCTCGGAACCCCGGGAAGTGAGACTGCGAGATGCCGAAAACAAAGTTTGAGGGAGGGAGTGGTGGGCGGGTGCGACAATGAGGAGAGGCAAACGAGGTGGTTGCACGGGAGGAGGAAACATGCCGCTAGTCCGGAGATTCAAGTGCTCAACGTCAACTCTGAGTCTAGCAGGTGTCAGGTAGTTGAGTTGGGCAAAAGACTCGAGATTCAAAATGCAGCAACTCATAATTTGATCTCATTTGGCTGGTCTAACAGCGACGGAGGGTATGGCAGATTTTTGGCCCGACTTTACTGGTGTCCCTGGGCCCCGGCGCACGTTGCATTTCAACTTCCGGATTTCTTAACCATCAACTTATTTCGTAACCTCCGACGGACCTGGCTAAGCTTGGGCGATCTCAAGCTTCGCCAGGTAATACACTACTTGTACTGTGCCACCACCGAAAACATTGCAAATGTCTCTGCCTTCCCAATCAAATTCATACATGCAGGGTACGAAACTTGACTGCCATAAAATTGGGAGTGCACTGACATTTGCTAACAATGCTTTGTAGTGTCAGTGTCGGCTACAGAAGAGTCTTGCGTCCACCGGCCCATACCTGTAAAGATACCTAACGTGTGGAAGCACAACTTCCGCTCATCCCAGGAATTGATCTGCATGGATGGGGGTGAATATGTAAGAGCATGGGACTACTAACTCTGGAGCCCACTAGACAACAGATTCCCCTGATCGTCTACACGGAAAGAATATCCATTCAGCTTTACCACAGATTGTGGTCTGAATGGAGATCCCATAATTTGAAACCGAAGTATCGTTAAGGACATTATGTCATCCAGACGAAGGATGAGCACCACTGGCGCAGCTTGCGGCACGACATGGGGTCTGGTGACCGCAATGGGTACATAGCGAACGACGTCATACACCTGTCGGAGACCGAAGCGCGGTAGTCTGAATCGTTCCTCTCCCTTCGTCCTATCTATATTCACCACCGTCATGTCTCTTTCAAGGGTAAATGATTTCTCTGGGTTAGCTGAGCCATATTCTGATTTCGATGCCTTTCAGCATATTGATCCCGAAGTCCTCATTCGCGAGAGCAAGGTAGGTGCCCCCCCTTTTTTGTTTTTGTCTGCGTTTGAGATACGGCTTCCGTACTGTTTGTGCAGGATAAGGGACACCGTCATCATTTAGCTGGTACTGACCCCAGCAGAATCAATCAGCCCTACCATGCGCGGTACGGGACGGCGAGTATTCCAAAATTTTGTATACCTTCCAAGGGGGTAGATGCAGAAGAGGCGTACCAACTTATTCACGAGGAGTTAAGTTTGGATGGGTCTCCCGCTCTCAAGTATGTTAAAAGTGAGGGACCTTTTTGGACTCACTGACTCCTGAGACAGTCTTGCATCCTTTGTTAACACTTGGATGCCCGAGCCCGCCAATAAATTGGTCATGGAGAACGTGTCTAAGAACCTTGTCGATCAGGATGAATATCCTATGACACGTATGTTTATCCATGGAATCCATTTGGTTTTTATTTGTTTATTTGTGACATCCGTTCAGAGAACATCCACACGCGCTGTATTTCCATTCTCGCTAATCTCTGGCATGCCCCGTCTACGCACAATGCCATCGGAACTGCAACAACAGGGTCATCCGAGGCCATTCAACTCGGAGGCCTCGCAATGAAACGTCTCTGGCAAGAACGTCGCAAGGCTGAGGGAAAATCCATTCACGAACCTGGTCCCAACATTGTCATGGGCGCGAATGCTCAGGTTGCACTGGAAAAGTTTGCGCGCTATTTCGAAGTCGAATGCCGCCTCGTTCCGGTGAGCGTCGAGAGCAAGTGCAGGCTCGATCCCAAGAGGGCGATGGAATATGTGGACGAGAATACTATTGGTGTCTATGTTATCCTCGGCAGTACCTATACTGGACATTACGAACCGGTGCAGGAAATGTCTGACTTGTTGGATGATTACGAGAAAAAGACAGGTCACTCGGTGCCTATTCATGGTTCGTCTGCTAGTCATCGCGATTCGATATCCGGACCGTCATTGATATTTTACTCAGTCGATGCAGCTTCTGGAGGCTTCATTGCCCCATTTGTTCATCCCAAGCTTGCGTGGGATTTTAGAGTGCCTCGGGTGGTTTCTATTAACACGTCGGGTCACAAGTTCGGCCTTTCGTATGTCGGTGTGGGATGGGTAATCTGGCGCACAAAGGATTACTTGCCCAAGGAGCTTATCTTCGAGCTCCACTACCTTGGCTCGGTGGAATACTCGTTTTCTCTCAACTTCTCTCGCCCGGCGTACCCAATTCTTGCTCAGTATTTCAGCTTGATACATTTGGGTTTTTCAGGATACCGTGCGGTAGCCTTAGCAGACCTGAAGAATGCACGGCTTTTGAGCCGGGCTCTGGAGCGCACAGGATGGTACACCATCCTGAGTGACATCCACAGAAGGAAACCGGGCTTTCAAGGGGCGGCTGGTGATGATGACAATCCGGAGGTTTGAAGCAGTTGTTCGAATCATCACATTGACAAAGATTGTTCCTAGGTTTACCTGGAAGGACTTCCCGTAGTATCCTTCCGATTCTCGGACGCATTCCAGCAACAATATCCCGAAATTCAGCAGAAATGGATACAGACGCTTCTGCGAGCCAAAGGATGGATCGTACCCAATTATGAGCTTCCGCCTGATTTGGAAAAGGTCCAAATTCTGCGGGTCGTGATTAGGGAACATTTGGCTGAAGCAGTATGTTAACTTCGGAAGTTTCTGGGATAGCCCTGTTTACCGACTTCGGCAGCTCGTCGACCGACTTTTCGCAGACATCGTAAGTTCCAGCTGATCTGGAAGGTGATTATACTAGACACTTTCCAATTGCAGGTTGAGATTACACAGAACCTCATCGATCGAAGTTCATCCGTGCATGCGATGGAAATGCTGGAGGGGCAACATATTGTACGTAGTGACCACGAGGTTCTAGGGAAGATGGAGAAAGGTTCGGGAACCCGGTCGTCGGGCACGTATGCGAGGCAATGTTGAGTACATTGATTGGTCTGAAGAGCTACGTTCGTGTACATCATTTGGCTGCATGTGTACTGTATTACTACGGTACCCCTCGCCGAGGGGTTTCTCGCTTAGGAAGTGTCACCGTTTACTGATACTCGTCGACTTGACCCGGCACATTCACCATGGGTGGACCAAATCTTGAAGTCTTCAAGTTCGGTTTGTATCTTTTTGTGCCTGTGATGGCTCTGTTGCACTTTGGCGATCCGCAGTGGTATCATAGTCACGTTCTCCCGGTGGGTGTGCTCGTCCGTCTACTCAACAGCTGTCTCGGTTAATGCAACTCCCATCGTTCAGTATAAAGAACAGCTATTCCCCCGTGGAGATAAAACACATATGGTATTTCTAATCCACGTCAACGTCTTCCATGCTACCTTGTCTTACCCACATTTTCAGCAACTCCCGACTGACCAGGCTACCGTGAAAGCTGAGTTGATACGGATAAAAGCCGAAAAGCTCGCCAGAAAACAGGAGCGAGAAAAGGCCGCTCAGGAACATCAAGCACCTCAGCCAGATGTGTCTAGTCAGGCTTCACGAGGGTGGTTCAGGTCGTGGTGGTGAATAAAGACGCGAGGCCCTGCATGCCGCCAACACGCCCATCGTTGTATGACATTGACACCTCGTAAGGCGTTTTCTATGGGAATCATATTTGACTTAGCGGGCTCATTAGCTATGTCTACTGGTATCTACATGTCGCGACTGCCCGACTTGGTCCGGGACGTTGACGAACCAGCGAACGTTGCCTTATTTGTTGACGTGGAATTCAGTTCCGTTGCAAATGATGCGCCAGGTGTCCTCGTGGGCAGCGGCTTCCTTCAAAATGCCGGTGTAGCTAGCTGCTTCGTCATAGCAGATGTTGATTCCCCCGCATACGACGAAGACAACCGTCTTCTTTCGTTTCTCTTCAGGAGACAGAGCTGACTCGGGGTCCAGGAGACGCCAGAAAAATTCGTGGTTGTATGCTGCAGATATGGTGGTGGCACAGGCCAACTCAACAAGCATTTTGTGATCATCTGCTCCAAAAAAAACACGAGTAAATCATTGAATATATTCCCAGCGAAGGTAAGCGCTTACTTGCGAGTAACTGTGCACCACGCATGGCTAACTCATCCGCAATACATACGCACTTAACTCCTGCTGGATGGTCCAATGCCATGCGGACCACCTCTGGGGCAGCATACGTGGCTCCAAGAGAGAGAGCTCGCGAGTGCAAAGTTCGCAGGTGTGGTATAGCAACGCTATGTTCCGAGTTGATTTCTATTTTGGTATATGATTGATCATTGGGTATTTCAGGGGGGAAGGTGCATGATTTAGATGTGAACCCCTGAGTGTTGACAGCATTGGCTTGATAAAAGCAGTTGGATCCATGGGTCTCAAGTGCGATAAGTGGCACTGGAGTTTTAATGAGATCCATGCGGTAGCAGCATGAGAGATTGACCCACCATCATCCCAATTCACAGCTTTGCATCCAAGAAGCAAGCCTCCAATGAGGCCACCGCCACCAACTGAACATAGTATGGCATCTGGTTTCTCGCCGAGTTGATTTTTCATTTCCTTCACCATCGAGGAGTGCCCTTCCCACAACACTGGGCTTTCATATGACGGTAAGATAACACTGAGATGCTGATTAGGATATATCAACCACAAATGCACATTGCGCACGCGTTGGGATCCGCTTTTGCTTCCTCACGCATTGCCGCAACCGAGTCGGCATAGATTTGACCCACAACAAGTACTTTCGCCCCTTGCTTCAGCAGGCGTACCTGGGTTTCCTCACGTGTACTGAAAGGAAGGTATATGGTGCATTTGACCCCTAGTTTACGTGCCGCAATGGCTGCGGCAAGCCCAGCGTTTCCCGTTGAAGCAACGAGGATGTGCACGGATGGACCGTGTTGGGCTTTGGACAATTGTACTAAACGTGAGATGCCTCTGTACTTGAAAGACTGGGATGGTTGAAGATTCTAGAGAATGGTGACAGTCAGTCATGGTTATGATGCTTGAAACTCGCTCGCCTCAAGCTTAAGATAAGCTGAACATCCCAGAAGGTCTGATATATGGGTAGCGTAGATCAAAGGGGTCTCGAGCCAAAGCGCCTCCATGGTGATACGGGATTGGGATGGGGTCTACCCAGACTACCACATACTAGCCAATATAAGCTACGTTTCGGCGATGAGTCGTCTTGAGTCACTCGGCGTCGGAAGAACCCGAATTCCGCTCCTCCGCCCCCCCAAGCATGTTTGCAAAGCTCCCACTGAAGCTCACAGCGCCATTCGGTCTGTTGACCGATGAAACCAAATTGGCTTTTCGGAGCAAACCTAACGGAATATCCAAACTCATATCCACCAGGGTGAGAAAGCGGAACTGTGTATGAATTGTGAACGTTCGTGTTCACTGCGCTACAGCACATTCCTGAAAACGACAGCTACTGGGATCAGGTGAGTTCGACTTACCCAGGCGACCGCGACCCAAGTGTTGATGCTCGACAGTACTTCACCCTGTTTGACACGCCTTCTGACGTATTTTCCCTTATTTCCCCACACGATAGTGCGTTCCCCTGACTTGCAGCATTCCCCGTCGAGTTCTTCCTGACTCTGGACCACGCAGTTCGTCGCGCTTTCTTAGATGCACCCGAAAATGTTGCCACCTTGGTCCGGGTCGTCGCCTCTCGGCTCTTCAATTTGGTTTCCGATCACACATTTCCCGCACAGCAAACGACAACTTCTGTCACTTCGTATGCGAGTTCTCTAATCAAGGCAGCTACGTCGGAACGTAATGCTACCAAGGAAGTCTTGAATTGCATCCGCATACTGCAGAGAGTACTTCCTGTCGTCTTCGAGGTCGAAGGAGAATCCAACGCATTTGAGCTCGAAGTGCTTTGGAAGAAGGTTCAAATTGACCAAGACGATGGTTATCACGTGGATGGGCCTCAGTTTGTCATAGAAGACGAGGATGACGACCGTAGCGAACATGGCGAAGCAGCATCGCCCCAGTCAACGGAACCCAATACAAAGGCCAAGCGAAACTCTACCATCGCTTGGAGAGAAGCTCTTTAGTTGTATCATGGATCTACTCTTCTGTTGTGGGTTCACTCTCCCCACGAAAATACAAGTTGATCACTATAAGATAAACTATGTCATCTGGTGCGCCCGTCAAGCCGTTTTCAGTGCGATGGGACTAACTGTAGGACAAGGGAGAAAGGTGTTGGCTCAACCGTTGACACTGGTCCGAATGCTCAGTACGATTCCAACAAAATTGAAGTTTTACGCCTTCTTCTTGTCCTCTTCTCCCGCCAAATATATGTTTCCCCTGCTTCGTTGTTTATCAAACCTTCATTTTACACTCTCCACATGGTCCGTAAAACTCCTCGCCGAGATGTTTTGACACTTCTATGTTCTTTGCTTAATACAATCCTGAACTCGTCTACGTCGAACAACTTGACTATCGCTAGCGTGGCGGGGAAGGTGCCCTATAACCACCTGGTTTTCAAAGGAGAAGATTCTAGAATTGCACTTGTGGGCATGTGCTTGCAGGTTCTTTGCGCCTTACTGGACTTTCAGAGTGGACCTGCGAAAGATGTCGTGTCTGGTAACGACGAGAACACGTCGACATCGATGCCGACGGCACAGACAAATGCTTTTCGCTACTTCATCGCGAAATTGGTGTGTGTATCGTTTTGTCGTATATGCACTGTTGATCGTCGTAAAGCATCGGACGCAAGATTTTGCTTTCATTCTTGACGGCATTAGCAGCATCCTGAACCAGCAGCTTGCCATAACAAATATTCTTCTCCCCGGCTCTAGAAAATCGGTACCTTATATACCTGAAACAAGTAGGTCACCTCCACGTACCTCTCGTGTAACCGCTAATCAATGTTAGTCATCTTATTCTGGAAGATGATCGAATTGAACAAGGTATGGTTTAGGAACAAATTATTGCATCACAGCAATGTGATGTTTTCACAGAAATTCCGGGCATACATTCTTGACTCAGACAAAGTGGTCGATGTACTAGCGTACTTCTTTTCTTACGGTTTGGAGATCAAGGACAAACCGCGTAAGTCGCCTTGAGAGATCCTGCGTTGCACTTGTTCATGTAAAATATCTTGCAGAGCAACTCGGCCTCTGTCGAGCGTTATCTTACATCATTCAAACATTGTCCGCCGAGCCCGCTTTTGGCAATAAGCTTTGCTTGCCCGTGAAGATCGCCATTCCTGCTAAATGGTCCACGCCCGGAACTGCAGCGGACTTCATGATTACGGTTTGTACTGATGTTTTTGCTGTTTTTACCGTCATTAATCCAAACGCAGTCCATTTACTCTATGATGGCTACAACATCGGGTACCATGTCGTCACTCTATCCGGCACTCATCATCGCCCTGTCAAATGTAGCACCCTACTTTAAGAACCTTTCTATCGTTTCTTCAAATCGCCTCATCCAGCTGTTCACCGCGTTCGCCAATCCTCGGTTTTTACTGTCGGACGAGAGTCATCCGCGACTTCTCTTTTTCATGTGAGTAATTTAGGTGGTAAATTTAATGCGATACCCTGACGAACGTTTGAAGCCTCGAGGTGTTCAATTCCGTGATATTCCATCATTTGTCCGACAACCCCAATCTCTTGTATGCCATTATCACAGCGCATCAAACGTTACAGGATCTTGGTACCTTCACGCTTGCAAGCGGATTGCGAGAAATTAAGCATGCGGAACTCGCCAAGGAAGAACGGACCCGACAGGGAGACCCTAACAGGAAGTCAAATTTGAGGGAGGCTGACATCGAAGCTGGAGACGTGCAGGCTGAGAAGGCTCGGTTATTGCTAAACGAAAGCCATCGTATTGTTGCGAGAAGTGAAGGAGTGGAGTCTTTTCGTGAAGGCGCTGCTGAAGATGAAGATGAGGAAAATACGAGTATTCTGGCGAGTAAATCAGAGAAAGTCAGAGGAAAAATGAGGGAAAGGTCGGTGTCATCAGAAACGACAAGTAGTGCCGAGCTACTTGCAAGCGCTGGGGTTGGAAGAAACGGCTTTGTGCCTACGCAGGAATGGGTATGTAGCATTTTGTTGCTTGCGCGAATGCCAATCATATCCACTTCTTTGTAGGTTGCATCCTGGCAACAGGGGTGAGCAACGGACAAGCAACCTTCTCGCTTATAGCTGATCTTGAGACGATAGCCTTCCGCTGGATACCGTGATGCTTGTCATATCTGAACTCCTTCCGAAGATACAGCGTCTACAAGGGGGAGGCCAGAAGGTCACCAGCACTGGGGAAATTATCGATTTCTTACGAAGCGTATCGCTGGTGGGTGTCCTGCCACCTGCACCCCCGCTGCACCCCAGAAAATTCATGGTGTGTTGTTTCTACGCCCTTTGTTTTCCCTGGTTGGATTCTAATTTCTCTGGTAGTGGTCTGATGCCTCGATGGTTTGGCTGACATCCTTGATCTGGGGCGAGATCTATGTTCATGGGATGTCCCCGCTGGGTATATGGAGCTCGACCAATGTTCGACTGTTCTTCGTGAAACATACGAATAGTCAACCACGCCAGATCGCAGGAACCATGTCACATGTGGTAGGTGAACTGTTCTCGCAGGCCCGCCAGAGGCCGGAATAAGTAGTCATAGTGTACGAATGATTTTTTCGCGCTTAGGTTCAGTTTTGAACAATTATTCTATGTACATATCACAGGTGTAATTTGTTCTGGAGCTTTGAGACTTTGGAACGCTAGCAACTTGACTGCCATTTTTGGCCGGGAAACCTCACCGTGCAACTAAGTGTTAGCGACCCCCATCGCATTACCAAGACCACTTCGCGATGTCGTCTACGTTGGTGGTCTTAATTATTCTATCGAGAGAAAGAGTTTGACTAGTGTCAGGTTCACCCCCTCGCGAGATGTCGACATGACCAAGGAGAAGGACTGGCCCTTAAACCTAGGTAAGTGATGGAGGTGATCTCGAGAGCCAGTGACCGGATCCAGCACTGTGCACATACAGGCATGCTTGATTGGGACTCGACGAACATTGTTTTCACGAAGCGAAGCCTGGTCGAGTTCCTCAAGTAAGTGGCAAAGCCATCTCATCCTACACATTTGAATGCCAGTAAAGCTCAGCACTCAGCTAGGTACGCTGGCGTTACCGTGGATCCTGGCTTCACGAATATCCAGAAACTGCCGCGTAAGTTTTCGCATTATCTGGTAGATCATATTACTTGTGCTGAATGATGCGAACCGCGTGTTCCTTGCATCCGCAGGATACGCAAAATTCGGAAAGATGGCAACTAACGAGGCTGAACCCGCTGGTAGTGCGTTCACCTGCACGAAATCTTTTTTCAGTGTAGTGAAAAAAATTTTCCCTATTGGTTCATCCGTTTAGTTGCGGAAACGACTTTACCTGCTGTTACCGAGACATCTCCCAACAGGAGGTTACTCGCAGAAGAGTTCACGGACGATGCGCTGTCAATGGCACCTCCCCGCCCAAGTGAGGGAAACGTTAGTGACGATGCCATCAAGGTACGTATCGGAGGGGCTAAATGAGAGTTCCCATACAGATGAATCGTTTTTATTCAAGCCCGTGTCAACCGTTGAAGGGAGCACTGGCACTGGAGATTTTAGGCCTACTCGGTATGTACCTTACTTCTTACTTCGCTTTGTTCTTTGTCCAATGGGTTCCATGTCTTGCTATGGAAGACGCGTACGAACTACCCCTGGGGGATCGAGTAGCATTGCGAGCATCTTCGGTCACGACGATACCCAGCAAGAATTCGTCCCAACGCGCAAGTGAGTGCAGATCGTCCCCCCATGAACCTGCTGGATTCGTGCTGACGTCTATCTATCGTCTGGTAGAGTACGCGAGCGCCCGGGAGGTAAAGACAACATCGAAGGGGTAAGTGTAGTTTCCGACTGGTCGTTATGGATTCACAGACTGATGATGAGCAGCTATTTTAGGCTTTGTAAGATAGACAAGTGGATGTTTGTTTGTTGTACCCTTTACCATGTTACAGAGGTTTTCTGCTTTAAACGAGTAATGCAGTGGTCGTGAAAAAAAAAAAAGAAGAAAAACATGCGATTTGGTAGCGGCGAGGTTCGAACTCGCGCGGACTTTCGCCCATTGGGATTCAGTATTCTTAAATCCAACGCCTTAGACCAACTCGGCCACGCTACCGATCGCCCAAGCAATATAATATGCCGTTATAGTGAACTAAGGACCTTCTCGGCAACCCGGTAATTGTAATTGGTGTGATTAGACCTCGATATGACAATGTACAGGGGTCTAATAGAAGTGGGCAGTAAAAGCCCACGTACGACAATGGAGGGTATTCAACCACTAAAGCTCCATATCCTGACGTCTCCGTCGTCACTGCCAGATACAATCTTGTCTTCGCCGAGAGCAATGCATGTCACTGCACCCCGATGCCCAGAAAGAGTTGCGGTACATTTTCCTTCTTCCAAGTTCCATACCTGTAAAACGATCGGTCATGTGTAACGTCGGAGTGAAGGAATCCACAACTGACTTTGACAGTACGATCATGACTTGCGCTAACCAGTCTGAGTTTGTCACAGGCCACGGCCCACACGCCTTCGATATGTCCAAAGAGTGTTGTGACTGTTTGGCCAGTTTCGACATCCCAAACTTTGATAGTGTTGTCCAAGCTCCCCGACACCAACACTGGTTTCCTGGAACGTGACCCAGAGCGCAAGCCTTGGATGACGTTCCCTTCCTGACCGTGATCCGGCGATACTGTGTCATTATGCATGACGACTGTGTATGCATCCGAATTGTCGAAATCAGAATTGTCTGGGACAGCGCTCTCGGAGATGCGAACGGCGTTTAAAGCACGCACGTTCACGTCTTCGTCGCATCCATCGTCCAATTCAAGCAGCCTCAGGCTCTGTACTTGCCCGACGTGTCCAGCGAATTGTTGGACACAAGTGCGTCTGGCAAGATCCCACAGACGGATGGTGCCGTCATCCGAGGCCGAGAACAACATCTTCCCGGTGCCAATCCTGAGTGGGGATTCGCAGGGGTCGACCTGTGGAGTCGTTGACCCCGTTGCGTCCCATAGCTTTACTGCATTGACCCAATCTCTGTGTCCACGAAGCGTGAATGCCTCGCCTGTGCAAAAGTTCCACACCCTGACGGTCGAATCGACGCTCCCACTGGCGAGAACATTTGCGTCGAAATTGACACAAACTACGCCGTCAGTGTGGCCCCTCAGTGTTCGGATGCACTCGCCCTTGCGCCAGTTCCAGACGCGGATAGTATGGTCCATACTTCCGGTGATCAGCTTGGCCTCGTCGAATTGTAAGCAACGGACGGCACGGGTGTGGCCCCGCAGACACCGCACTTCTGTGCCGGCCTCTAGATTCCATATGCGCACAGTGCGGTCGTAGGAACCAGTGATGATGATCGGAAAGGAGGGATGCTGCAGGGTCTCGCTGAACTGAAGGCACATGACCCCGTCGGAATGGCCACGGAGTGTGCGGACTTGGCAGCGGCCGCGGCGCCAGTTCCGTTCTATTGTCAGACGTTCGCTGTAGACGTCTTTCCATGGACGTGTGAGAGCCCCGGGAGATTGGGTGGGATCGGGGGGATCAGCGCCAGGACGACTGGACCGCGAAGAGGATCGCGATGCGGGCGGCGACGGACTACTTCCCGCAACCGCTTGAGAGTGGGGATCCATCTGTGCACGAAGACGTTTGGATGGTCGACTGGAGGTGGGATCAGTGATTTCGCGCTTGGGCGCAGTTGGTGGCGGAGGACTGAGAGGAGACGCCGAGAGAAGTCTACGATTGCGTCTTCTCTCCAAGACAGGCAATCCCCACCCGCATTTATGACACTTTTGGCCGATATGTTGTTCGCATATTCCCCGCCAGAGAATGTTATCGTCTGCGAGACTACGCCAACGTCTGCTCACTTGTGCAGCTCTGCAGAGGGAAGTCGCGTCGAGATATGCGAGGAATCTTGAATGATATCTCGCGGGGCAAGACGGTGAAGGGATCGATGCGGATGAGTTGGCTGAGTTGTTCGGTGAGGAGGGAGAGCTGAGAGAAGCAGCACATTGTAAGAATGCCCCGGAGGATGAGCTCTCTCCTGGGGTGTGGAGAGGAGGAAAAGCTGGACCAGATCGCATTGACCGTTTCGCGTTCCTCTACCGGAAGGGCATCCAGGGACTGCGTGGGATCACATCAAAAGACAAGTATGGCAAGCGCTATCGGTAGATCCACACCTGCTGCAGTTTGATATTGGTGCCTTCGTCTGCCATGCGCTGATGGCGAACGCAGAGTTTGCGGGTTGCGGGTGCGAGCCGGGATGACGAGTGCAATGAGGAATCTTGCATTTGGGCGTCGTCCGGTGACTGTTCGGCGGACATGAACGTCGTATTGGTGGTACCTGATGCACTGTCGAACGATGCAGGCGGCGATGGGGAGCGGCCGGGATCAGCTTGCAAGGAGGCGGCCAGGCGGGGGGCGGGCAGAACGTCGCACTGGTGCGACTCCTGGGGTGTTTGCAGAGACATGGAACCGAGTGGAACACGAGACCCGAGTTTTTTTACGTCCTGCGTGTGTCCGGGCGTCTTTTTGTCTGCACCTCAGCTTGCCCACCTTTCCATACGACTTGCGAGCTTGTCACGCGACATCACGCAAGGGGCCGACGTCGTCACACTGTCACGCACCATCACGCCATTATCACACAAATGGAGATGATCAACATCGCAGGCTGCTCATAAACATGCTACAGTCTGGTACAATCCCCCCCTCCCAGTACCGACATCGACGACAACAGCAAATATCAACGGGCCATGCAGACGACTCTCTGTGGGTCAACAAATTCAAAAATCTGCAGGGGAAGAAAACAGCGTCGTAACACAAACAACAAAACCTGTGACAACAACAGCCTGTTTCCGTCGAAAAACCGGCTTACGATCCACATATATATATTAGTTGTGCGCACACTTCAGATACCAGCTCCCCTTTCCTGAGTATCATCAGTCAAGCGTGAGCTTCAACTGCTCGAGAGGTATCGGCTCGAATGCATCCAGATTGATCGATCGTGAGCGTAGTTCCACTTCACAGTGTGGCGGTACCAATTGCCGGATCAGGTCCGGCCTTACAGACAGCTCTGAACACAAACCTCGTCAGGAAAAGCGCCGAATACCAACTCTCTCAAGTACTCACCCTCCCGCGTGAAGTTGAACAGAGGGGGGAAGTCTCTGCCGTTGGGCATCTTCACTCCGTCGGCCCGCAACTCATCGAAGAATGGATGAACCATTGCTTCCACAGCGCTCAGGCGCGCAGCTGGCGTGTATTCCAGCAACCTCTGGACAAGATCTATCGCTTCCGGAGCGGTACGCGGTCGGAAAACCTAGGCCAACCACCTCCAGTCGTTGATTATCAGCACCAGCGTCCGACACCCACCTTGTTAAAAGGATGCGGCTTGATTTGCGGGAACTTGTGTTCCATATAGTTCGGATTCATCGTCTTGATTTGCTCCCGAGAAGGCGTCCCAAGAACTTTGATGATCTCCACCAACTGATCAATGCCACTTTCACCAGGAAACAGCGGCTGGCCCAACATCAACTCAGCCATCACGCAGCCCGTCGACCATACGTCTATCCCCCGTCAGTGAACCGTCGCAAAGGAACCACGGGACTCACCGATGTTGGTGGTGTAGTTGGTAGCACCGAAAATAAGCTCTGGTGCTCGGTAATACCGGGAGCAGATGTAACTAACGTTAGGCTCTCCAGCCACGAGAATCTTCGCCGAGCCGAAATCGCATAACTTTAATACACCCGTGGCAGGATTCAGCAATAAGTTCTGTGGTTTGATATCACGGTGGCAGATGCCAACAGAATGGATGTAGGCCAAAGAACGAAGAAGTTGGTACATGTACAACTTGATTTGAAGCGCTGGCATGGGTTGCTTCAGCTTGGCATAGTGGCGACTCGCACGATAGACAGTCTCTGGGACGTATTCCAATACAAGGTTCAGATAGACCTCATCTTTCTGAAATAAACGCGGATGAAACACGGAACCGAATAGGAAATGATCTACAAACCTTTTCTCCGTTCGAGTAGAAAAAGGCCTTGAGATCGACGACGTTGGGATGTGACACGAGCCTCATTATTTGGAGTTCACGATTCTATTCAGATAGGATCGGTGGCAGTCAGAAGGGGGTCCCCTCGAGGATATAAGTGTAGCGTGACAAGAGGAAGAGGAAACGGGGAGCGTGACGCCGGACAAAAGAAAAAAGAAAAAGAAACAAACCTTGAAACGCTTGTCCTGCAGGACCTTCTTGATGGCAATATCCTCGGACTCCTTGGGCTCGTTTACGAGTTTGGCTTGGAAGACGACGCCAAAAGAGCCATTTCCGATGACCTTGCAGTTGGTGTAGGCGATCTCTCGTTGCTCGTTCGTCTTCCCATCAGTAGCGATGACACGGATGATCCTATGGGGGTCGTCGATGGCTAGTTGATGAGAAGATGAGTCAAACTCAGATGCCATTGATATGTGTGACGAGGAAGACAAGAGGGGAGAGAAGAACAGAAGACAGCGGGATGCGACGGAGATACAAAGCCAGACGACGACCATATATGGATTTTGGGAAATGGCGCGGGGTGGGGGCGGGGGTGGAGATCGGTGGGTGACGCAAGACACATTGCAAAGAGAACAGACGTACAAGAGACCTTTACGCCATTTATTGGAGCGTTGGAAGCCATTTTGAGAGTATGGCTGGACGAGGGATAAAATTGGGCGGGGTGTGGGGGGTGTAAAATGTGTTCGGGTGGGAACGAGGATATGTGCGGCTCAACGAAAGCAGAAGATGGGTAAAGACAAAGTGGCTGTAGTGGAGGAACGGGTCAGGGACGTGGATTGAGACGAGTGGAGGGGGGGGACGAGGACAGGACCACACGACGGACCCTTGACTGATCCTGTGACCACTTCTTGTGACGACCAAGCAAATACAAACACGGGCGATATAAGGGTCCCAAGTTCTACGATGTATTACTGCTGATGATGAGCCTGTTTTTGTAAATGCAACGAGTGGGCTTTGAGTGGGCCCTGCTGACTCTGACAGATAGTGCTGCGTGATCGACGCTTTTTTGTTTTCGCCTGAGACAGCTCAGATGACCCTTCCTTATCATCCACCGTGCCTTCCTCATGAGGTAATTTGCACAGGTTGAGAGTAGTATCTCGGGTGGTGTGCAGTCCTTCTCAAAGCCCCTTCGGTGCTTTTAGAGGTAGGGGAGCACCGCAAAGTCCCACCTGACACGTCATGTATGATTCGGAACTAGCGAGACATCCCAGTGTTATCTGTGCCGTCTGTCATCCGTCGATTATGATATCTTCCTCGTTCCGCCCCGCGTTCCCTCCTCACATAACCATCCCGCACCGCTCTTCGATCATTACCGCCTCCCCGACGGCCCCCTCCTCTCGTACCTTGGCCACCGTCGCCATCTCCCCATTCTTGCTCCATGCGTCCCCCCTCGATAATTTGTGGTTCTCCTTGTACGCCCATGTTCATTTCAACTACCGGTCTAGGTTCTGGGATGGTCACTCTCATATAGTCGAATGCCACTTCCGCACGGCCCATGCCCCATGCCCCGCTCGCTTGGCGGCTAATTTCATCGATCACTGAAAAGCGTGCGTCCCCCTGTCCTTGATACTGACGAGGAGCAGGAAATCTGTTGACCCATCAGTCCCCACAAACAAACGAATCTTGGGATGCCTCATAATAAATAAAAAAACATGCCTGCTCCCGATGTGGTTAAGGATCAGCCTCTCTGCACCTACCCGCTTGGCAAACTGGCCTGCCATAACTGGTGTAGAGTGGCCCCTCGCCAATACCTTTTCTTTAACTTCTTCTCGAGATCTCCTCGCCTGCGGATCTATCTCACTGGGAATAAACGCATCAGTAGCCTCGTGCACGAGGAGGGACGGCGATGGTGATGTCAGGAGCGGAATGATTGCGGAGGCGTCGCAGGTATCGCCTAACAAGGCAAGCTTGCGGTGCGGGAATGACGGCTCCCGAAAGATATAGCCTAAACAAGGGACTGCGCACCAGTCAGTACTTCACCCGAATGCGGCTGTGGGGCGAAAGCCAACCTCTATGCACAATTGGGCCCGCATCGATGACGACATCTCCCAAACGACCGCGCGCCGACGTAATGTGCCTCCAAAATCCATCTTCACCGCACATGAGATCCGAACCGGAAGACTCGCTAGGGTGAAGTGCAGCGCTATCACATGGCGTCCGCGCACAGGTGGCGGTAAGCAGTTCGTGAACGGCATAGGTGTCTGCAGTTCTGGTGAAGGTCATGGAGAGGACGTTGCGTACAAAGGAGCGCAGGCCCGCGGGCCCGTATATTTCAATGCTAGGCTATTGTATTTGTTGACGGAGGTATTAGTGAAAATGGAGAACACGGACTGGTTTCCTCAGCGGCAAGTTCGTGTCGGAACTGCCCACGACGGGCGGGGGGTGCAAGACATGCCGCAAGAACGGGACAATGCCCATGACATGGTCCGCTATAGGAGAATGTCAGTATTGCATGTAAATAAGATGAGTCGAGAACGGCGTTCACCGTGCATATGCGTCACGAATAGCTTAGTTACCTTCATGGCACGCAACCGAGACTCGTTTCCTCTGGGCTGCGTCTGAAATTGTCGCAGAGTCCCTTCCGCGCAATCGACCACTGAAATGCTGTGGTCAGCAAAATAACACGTAGTGCCCGTTTACAAATTGCACACTCCACAATGACCCATCGCCAATGAGGTCTGCGACTGTCGGCACAAAGGCCCCTATATCAGTGCCAGAACCCACGTTCCTATGGCAAAGCTGAGCGCACCTATGCTCGAGCAGTTTCGTGATAGGGACGGGCCGCCTCCGCTCGACGTCCCGACGAAAATGACATGCATGTTCCTCGCCATGTCGATGAGTCCTGGTAAGCAGGCGGTCGATTCGGAAACTGCAAGTAATATACGTCGGGTCACGTGCTAGGACGCGTTCCATAAAAAGTAAGTGAGCAGGAACGGGTCGACCAGACACGGTTCAAATCGCGGTCGTTTTCCTTTGCAACGTCCAGGAGGATTGGTTGTTATTTCTTTTTGACCTCTAGTCGCTCTTTTATTTTCTCACTGAAACACAAACATACACGTCTATCATACAGTCATTCGTCATGACTTCAAACATCATGAACTCGACCATGGTAACAACACCTGCTCTCACGACATCTCGAATGCCTCACGTCTTTGTCATCCCTCCGGAGGAAGAACAACAGGAAAACCCCCCTTGGTGTTGTTTCGACGCTGACCAGCCGCCGGATGACAGCAGGGACTGTTCCCCAACCTCCCACCTTGACATTCAGATATTCAACGTTCCCTTCACCTCACAGCCGTCGCAGACTCCGGCCGGCACGCCTGCCACTTGCGTTCCAGCTGTCGATCCACCCAGAACGAAGCTTGCTATGCCGAAAAAACTAGAAAAGAAGCAGCGCCCCGAAGCTGTTCGGATCATCGAGAAAACAGTTGAGAGAGGAAGAGATTGCAGAGATGTCCGGGAAGATTCGGATGTTATTGAGGTGGTGAAAGTTAAACGCCCCAAGGACGACCTCACGGATCCGGAAGAGCATTCTAAAATGAAGCGCACAAAGACGTTGAAAGCTCGTGCGACAAGAGCTTTTCAGTCTATTAAGAATGTTGGGAGGGGTTCTCGCAAGCAGCGCATCAAGGACATGTGGACTTCGAGCGAAGGCGTTCCTGGAGCCTTCAAAGGGATGCAGGAGCACATCCGTCATCAGCAAGAACAGCTCCAGCAGTCACCACCTATCACGCCCCCTTCGCTCTCTCGGCCCAATTCTCGCCCACTTTCACAAATCTTCCAGCCGAAGAAGACACCACAACCGCCTGCTGCGATTTCTCCCATTCCCGCTCCCCAGAACCCGCCATCTCCATCTCCTTCCAGAGTCGGGGACAGTTTCACTTCACCGTCCAAAATCCTTGCATTAGAACCTACCTCTATTGAACCAACCACTCCCAAACCATCGGGAAAGAACAATAAGAGGTTTTCTGTGAGGGAGCTCCATAAGGTCTTTACTTTTCCGTCATCCTCACCTGGTGCTCGGTTACCCACTCAACGGACCGCACCAACCCCGCCGCCTGCACGCAACGATTCTGTTCCATCCATGGCTATATCTACGGTATCATCGGATGACGATGATCCCGTGGAAGAACCTTTTAGGGCTGTGCAATTTTTCAATCATCGTGGCGATGAGAAGTTAGTGGCGACGATGCGCCATCATCCGGCCGTTATTGACGATGAAGACGATTACGGGACACTTCTCCCTGGTCGCCCGCGCGACCTGAGCTTCGAGATGCGGCTTGATTCGCTGCATTTTGACTCATTATCATTCGATCCCGAAGATTTCAATATGTCTATAGACTCCAGGAATGGGGGACGCTGACATTCGTTGCTCTGCGAGCGACCTGTTACCCTCCCCTCCTCCCTATTTGTAGATATGCACATGCACATCTATACCTTCGATCGTTTTGTATCACGATCCACTTCGCATGCAAGATAACTTCTGCTTTGGACGGATCGTCATGTCTCTACCTCGCTACCTTCGCGTCGAATATTGCGACATTGTGTTTTATTTAGGCTTTCTGATTTTCCGTGCTCATATCCACGAAATACTTGCAGATTGACTGTTGTGTAAATTCATCGCATGGGCAAACTGGTAAGTTACAAGTGAAGTGGTACCAACTCAAGCTCGTTGAGAAGCAAGATATCAGTACTTTTCTGCAAGAACTGGTGTGCCGGTCATTAGGGGAGTAAAATCAACTAACGAGGCGACTTACTAAGAGTAACTAGCGACGTCCAACCAGTGAAGGGGTGGCTGAGCGAGGAATAATCAGAATCCTAAATCGAATAACGTTAGGACAAGGTGGAATACCTTCGCTGCCCTTCGCCCGTGGTGGCATCGTACTGTTCCCAGACATAGCCAGTCCGCTCATACTCCTTAAACACGTTTTCCACGATGTTCTTTCTTAACTCCGTGTAAATTGCTTTTGCATGTTCTTGGAATGGGCCGTCCACAGTGGCGTACGTCTGCAACGAAATGCGAATAAACCAAATCAATGTCAACTTATCAGGATTTCAAGCATACGTTGTGCAGTGCCCGCAGGACCAAGTAATTCATTTGTATCCATATAGGACCTCTCCAGTAATTTTCACCTGTTCCGAAGACTGGGTGTGATGCGGACAAGCTACGGATTCCGTATGGAGACCACAAGTGGTCGGGATCGCGTAGCAAATCAAGAATGTGTCCAAGGTGAGGGGAGTCTTGAGGAAGCAGAGACAGCATGAATGGGAAAAGGGAAATATAACCTTTGTGGCAAACATGTTCCGATTCATCTGGACAATAGGATTGATGCTGAAACGTGTGATCACATTATAGGTAAAGCTCACCATCTTGGTTGACACCGACATCACAGTACATCTGGTGCTCGTCGTTCCAATGCAGATCTGACCGTCTTTGGTTCAGCACGGTCGACTGGCATCATTCCATAGTAAGATTTACCGTCGATGTTGTCAATGATAGCCTTTTCAATCTCTGCAAAGCTCGCAGCATCTTCTGTTTCTCCAATAAATTCTGCGATACCGCGCATTGTCCTTGTGAAAAAGCCCATCCAACTAATCAGGTCGAGATGTACCTCGCCAGAGTGAGCCGTTGGTCTTGGGTAGTCATCCATACCACTAGGAAGAACATGTGTCTCCGTGCGTCCCCTCCATCTATACGCCTCAGTGCGCGAGCGTGCTTTACGACCATACTGCTTGATTTGACCACGTTGCGTACGACGGAACCAATCGTAGTGGCGTCTGAGTGGTTGGTAGATGCTACGAAGGAACGAGATGCCTTTATCAAAAGCGAGGTGTTGGGTCCCAGCTTGCTGCGGAGTTGTCGGGGAGCCAAACAGGGGCTCTTGCCCCTCATTTCCTGGATAATCCATTCCAAGTTCAGCGTACGAAGGAGCGCTGTGTGTAGCTTTCAAGCGCTCGATGAATGCCGCTACAGCCATTGTCAAAGTTGGAGGGTTGGCAACGTTAGGAACTTGGGTTTGAAACTCAGGTGGTACCTGGGCGGGGTTAAGCAAACGTATGAACAGATATATTGACGGTTAATGACCCTGCTGCGAGCTTCCTCTCCCAAGATTTGTTCGCGAGCGACCCAACCATTCTCATCGATGAGGTCGATCCAGCTCTTCAATATTTGCAAGCTGCGGGAATTTCCTTCAGCAAATCAAGCACCAACGACAAAATTATATACCTTAAATCATTATCCCATTCTCCAATATGGAGTAAATGGAAGCCTTCATCCCTTTCCTGAACTATCAGCCATAGTAAAATATGGGAGACGAGCTACCATACCAATAAAATCCTCTAGGAAAGAAACTTCGGCTAGGGGTAGCAGTGAGCAATGCCTTAGGTTCAGTGAGCCTCGGCCCTTGCTGGAAATTGCGTTGTCCGTCGTCTTCATCATATCTGTAATCATCCTCTTGATCCCATTCATAGGCGAAACCCTTGTCCACGATAGACGTTCCGTAGAAATAACCAATCCCACCGAACAAATTGGATGTAATCGCCTTGCTGAAAGACTCCAACCTTTCAAGGTCTAGCGCAAGGCCTGCCTCGCGTATTGGGAATACAGTCCTGAATCGATCCGTGAAAGAAGCTGTCAAAGCAGCGACTCCTCGATCAAGGACTACACCTGCGCGCTGATTGGTGAAGGTAAAAGTATACAGTGCTGTCCATAACTCACTATCAGGTATCTGAGTGGCGCTACCACTCTGGAAAATGACGTCAAATTGGAATTCGCCGTCAAATAATTTCTGTACTGCGTATAAATTGCTCCCAGTGACAGATTCATCTGGAAGCTGCAGTATGAATGAGGGGTCAGGGGCAAGGTCCGTTTGACGGTATTTCTCTGCCAACGGCGACGCCCGACCAAGTATACTTTGAAGGATCCGTTCTATAGTGTAGAGAACGATTGTTACAAATGACTAACGCAAGGGGCAAGGTCTCCTTACCCTTAGCGGTCCAAAGTTCGTTCGCTCCGATGCGCAAACCGACAAAATGGGTTTTTCCCAGTCTGTCAACGAATTCTTCCGCATGAGGTCCTTTCGTTATGGCCTTGTTGTCGGGTCCTGGAAAGCCAAGCTAAGTCATTCTAGGCACCCACTTCAAAACCTCACATACCGTCTACGATGCGGAGAGCGAATTCATCGAGATCTGGCGTGTTTCCAGTAAATTCGATGGGTCCATCGATACCCTACGGGCATAAGCATTACTATCGGGCTGACGTCGAAATACGCACATTCTCATCCTCGTCTGTAATCATATCAAGACCACCTAGTCCCTCTATTCCCAAATAGAACATTGCAGATATCCGTGATGGATACGCTATAAAACATTGTCAGGTTGCGCGAGATTTTCATTTGACGAATACACACCTAGGTTAATTGGCTTTCCTTTGACACGAACTGCCCAACTGCCACCATGACTGCCACCAGGAACCTTCAACAACTCCGTTGTAATTTCGACGTTGTTGGCACTGTCCTTGATGACCTGGACGCCACCTTGGCGAGGATCGTATGTCGTCCAAGTGTAACTATCTAAACCATCGCCCTGGTCACACGCGTGACGTGTTTCTGTGTCATTAAGTATTGGGGGAACAGGTCAAAGAGGAATGAAAACGCACTAGTCAGCGACTGGTAGTTTTGGGTGCCGAACCACATGAGACCGGTCATTAGTGACTGCGGTAGCTGTGGCCTGAGGCCGAAGTATAAACCAGGCCTGTATACGCCCCACAGAAGATCGTCATCCGTGGTATTCCCAGGCAATGAATGCGCTACCGGTAGCAAAGGCAACAGCAGCCAGAGTAGCCGCATTCTCGATCGTAGACTGACGCGGAAGTGACAGTCGCAAGTCAGACGTGTTCCAAAGTGTCCGCATCACGTGACCACACGCCCCACACGTCATCCTAATCGCAATCACAATATCACGGTAGACTGGCTGAATATTGCTGGGCAGTTTCATACTGGTTACATGGAGTCAAACATCTGTGGTCGTTGTATTGGACGGGACCCTTCAGCAAAGGACCCAGGCGTTGCCTGATTAGGGTGCGTTAGGGCCTAACATGCCTGAGTCACGCGCCTGTCACGTGTCATTGCTGCGAGGAGCCTTTAATTGAAAGCCACTGCTTCGAGCCTGCCTTCACTTCATTCCTGTACTCCGACCACGCCCACCCCTCGCCTTCTCAGTCGCTAGTGCAAATCAACCTCGCTGCAGTCTTTTCGACCTTGGGTTGTGCACTATGAGGTCGAAATTCAAGGACGAACACCCGTTTGGTACGTCTATCGGACCTGTGCCGCAATTCGACTGTGTTGACAATATTGGGTGATCCCCTGCAGAGAAGCGCAAGCAAGAAGCTGAGCGCATTCGACAGAAGTATCCAGATCGCATTCCTGTTAGTATCCATCATATCGCAGAAACAGGAGTTAACTCGGGAGGCGCCGGTTTCAGGTTATCTGCGAGAAGGCTGACCGCACGGATATCCCGACCATCGACAAGAAGAAGTACCTGGTTCCGTCTGTGGGTACCAACAACCTCGTGTGCACTTGAAACGAGCGGCTGATTCGTAGTTGGTTGTGGCGTCCAGGATTTGACCGTTGGGCAGTTCGTATATGTCATTAGGAAACGTATCAAGCTCCCGCCCGAGAAGGCTATCTTCATCTTCGTCGATGAGGTTTTACCTCCGACAGCTGCTCTCATGAGCTCAATATATGAGGAACACAAGTCAGTCCGCACACTCACCGTACGATTGATGACGCTGACTACGATGCTTCTCAGAGATGAAGACAATTTCCTTTACGTCAGCTACTCGGGGGAGAATACGTTTGGGGCTGTAGACGGGGTTGAGATGTGAACGTCTTGTGATATTATTGTTTCCATCTCACGACTCAGCGTTAAATCGAGTTGGAACGGGAAGCAGAATCAGGAGCCAATTATTCTGATTCGCCTACCTTTGACATGACTTCATGCCCCTGTCTATGCCCTGCTCCCCCTCGTTCTCGATCTACCTTTCTTATGTGCGATCGTGACTTGGTTTTGTCGCTGTTCTTTTAGATTGAAATGAAATCCATTTGTACACGAGTAATAATTTATACCGCGGCTTCACTCGCGTCTTTCGAATCACCTGGTAGATAGTGGGCAACGGGGTGCGGCAACTGCAAGTCATAACCACCTTTTTTGCATTACTGCTGGCCATCACTGCACTCTTTCTATTTCCCTGTGAAGTACTGGGCACCTATGATTCAGAGCTCATTACCCTCTCATTTTGTGGTGCTGGTCTTATAAATCACTACAGGCGACATCAATATACTCTCAATGCTACATTATACCACTCTAGTTTCTGAATCGAACAAATCACTGGCAACGCAGAAAGCCTGGTTACCCTTGGTCTTCTCAGTAAGATAAGGGAGGGCTACATATCATGTACCCTGTCGCAGTTATCTTGGGTATGTGCGCTTTGAACTGCGTGTTTGTGAAGAGCTCACGAGCATTCGTTGGATTCGATATCGCGTGGCAGGTAAGCGCCCGGAACGATCGCAGTGACACCTCATTTCAAGAACGTGAAAGCCCAACCTGCCAATCTGCCGCGTCTCAGTGGCTGTAGAAGAGTGGACCAGCGACCCTTGTAGTGCAACGGACCGACTTCCCAAGTCGAGGCCTCCAGGTATCTATCACGTAGGGACTTGGTTGCCCCCTTTCCGAACGAAATATCCCCCCAAGTGTTGTTCTACCATTTTGGGGACGATGTCATGCTGCGGGCGGAAGAGACGAACCACCCAGGGCTATCTGACTATATGTGTCCTCTGGTAAGGTGTTTAACGCCCAGAAAGATTCCCATTCGTCCTCTGCATCAGACTCTGGTGTTGGTGCTCTAGTCTCCGCAACACGGCTGTCCTCAACACATCCAATATCCAACGGTGGCAATTGGTCACATTGGTTACGGTTGCCGTCATCGGCCTTGTGTAAACTGGACACTGCATCTGCCACGTTCACGGGTGTCTCGTGAGTTGCAGTGGGTAGTGTCGTACTCCCTGCGATCACACAGACACCCTGCGTTGTGACGATGTAATCGCAAGATGCTGGCAACGATACCGAGCTGAATACGATGGAAAGGCGCCTAATCAAGGTAGGTTCATCATTCCCCCCTTCTCCTAGATATCGACGTCTGCCTGTCCGGGTGAGGAATATCCGAGCATTCACCTGGTTAGCCCATACGAGGCCAAGTGATGCCTCCTTTCTATCCTCACCAGGAATGCTGTTAGCGCAACCAAACCACATTGCTTGGTCACGATAACCCATTACCGTGTTGTCCGGAGGTTGGTCGCGTGTGAGAACGTCGGTGACCTCGTTCAGAACCCAAATAGCGATGCGATATCTACTTGCAAGCTGGTGCAGCAGTATGGAGATCTCTGATATTTTTCGAGACCGCCCCACGAGAGTCCTGGGTAGTCGTCTTTGCGATATCATGAAACAGCTCTGCGAGGGCGTCAATGACCACAAGTTTCAAAGGTCTTGAGGTCGGATCGGACAACCGTGTTGAGATATGCTGGGGAAGGAAGGTAGACAAGACGTAGATGAGTTTTTCTATGGTCGGTGTTTGGATGGTTTGGATATTTGAGAGACCACATGTCGAGGGTGAAAGCATGGGATGAGCATCTAGCATCTGTTCCAACCGCGTTGTTTGCAGGCGGGAGGCAACCGTGATATAACATGCAGCTCCGGAAAGGCCGCCAAAGCTTGGAGGTAGTTGGACGAACAGCGATAACTGGAGAGCAAGCTGAGTCTTCCCGGCAGCACTAGCGACCTGTTAGCAACGACTGCAACTGCAGCCACGTCGATGTTTCACCTCTCGCCGGCTGTCTCCCAGATCATGCCAGTTCTGATGCCGCCTCCGAGGAGAGTATCGAGTTCGGCATCCCCGGTAGTAAACTTCTCGTCGTGCTCATCTGCCAAGATGTCCGCGAGGCGTCGCAGGGGCTGCGCCCGTTCTTGACAAATGCGAGCGATGACCTCGTTCGCTTCTTGGGGTGGGATTCGGCAAGCTCTCGAGAGCTCGCTCGGGGTGGCCAGAAGGATGTCTGCGATGTCCTTGAAGCCACCTGTGTACACAATGAAGGCATCGTAACGTGGACAGTACAGTCACTGTACCTTTCGACAGGACTGCCTTCTGTTGGTTTGAGAGTGTCAAAAGTGATTGTACAAGCGGATATTCCATTGTCGAGGCTGTGTACATGCATGGACGCGTTAGATTTTTGATATGGTGACAACCTCGGCGACCCCTTCTCTCCGACGATGATTTCTTGTCTACATCGTCGAGTCTGTCGGGCTTCGACATGTGCACGCCAACTCAGTACTAGAGCTTCAGAAGTTTACACAAATCCTAGCAAGGCACGATACGAGGCGGTCTCTGCCTCGCCCCGAGACATAACCCCGGATCAACGCCGGGTCCTAGATGCTGCATTGCGCGTAGACCAGGCTGGTGAGCTTGCAGCAAACTGGATCTACCGGGGTCAAATGGCAGTCCTGGGAGGTGACCCAAAAATTGGTCCATTAATTCAAGTGAGCCTTCCTATGTTGTTTTAAGTAGCCTTGGGTCTCATGCAATTAGCTACTTAGGAGATGTGGGACCAAGAAAGACACCATCTCGTCGTGATGGATAAGCTGCGGATCCAGCACCAGGTACGACCAACCATCCTTTCTGATGTCGCCAAGGCCACCGGGTTCGGACTTGGTGTTGCCACGGCACTCCTGGGTAAAGAGGCTGCCATGGCTTGCACCGAGGCAGTCGAAACCGTTATTGGGGAGCACTACGATGAGTACGGACGCCTCTCTTCGTGAATTCTTTCACCCGGTGCTCATCCCTTCCCTGACCCTAAAGCCAACTAAAGGATCTCGACTCTCTGTCATCTTCACACCCCAGCATGACGCTCTTGTCAGACGTCATTCGCGAGTTCCGAGACGACGAGCTCGGCCATCTCCACGTCGCGGTAGATCATCATTCCCAGCGTGCACCAGCTCACGCCCTACTTAGTACGGTCGTTGGTTACGGCTGTATGGTGGCCATAGAATTATGCAGAAAATTCTGACGGCTTGGTCTGCATTTTAGCGTATGTAACGTCTAATACTTGCCACAATACACGAACGAACAGCCATAGAATAAATCATGATTGAACGAGTGAATCCCCCTTCCGCTTTCCCGTCCATTTGAACTTGTTCTGCAGAATTCATGTTATCGAGCACATGGCACATCAGGCTAGAGCAAGGACCTACCTGCGTCTCGGAAGCTACGTAGTAGATGACTGATGGAATGAGCACGCAGCCAGTGAAAGTTATCAGGCTAGTGCGACGAGTGAACCTGAAGTGTTTGTATGCATCCTCACGCTGTGACAATGAACAAGTTGGACACATAATAAACGAATGAAACCCACCATGTGGTTCCATCGCTCGATGGCGGGATCGAGCTGTATGAACATATAGGGTCAGCACCTACGATTTTGAACTGCAAACACATTTCCGTACCTGCACAAAGCCTGTACTCAGAGAAAAATACAGTCAGTATCCTGGAAAGAGCATTGAAAGTTCAGCACATACTTGGTACGGCCATGGTGAATGCAGCTGAGCAGGAGTGTTGTTGTGTCTTATTTGTCTTCTCCTCCGCTGTGACACGGTGACAGTTTCAGTGCCAGCTTGACTTTCGTTTTGACCACCATCTTCTCTACTACCCCTCCTATTGCTGACAATGGCTCACAACCGTGATTGGGATAAGGGCAAGGACAGTTGGGGTGACTATGGTTCTTGGGATACCGAAGACAGGCCTGCGAGAGGTCGAGACGACGACTACTATGGCGAGGGTAAACGTCGAAAATATAATAATGGTGTATGTGTTTGCGCACTTGTCGTTTCTTTGAGGTTAACCCTTTCAGCAGGGCTACGAGGCCCAGTCATACGGTGGCCCTGGATATGACAGTTACAGCCAACCTCCGCACAAACAGGATCACGCGCACGACTACACAGACGCTCGACACGGAAAAGGCTTCACGAGTAAGAAACGGCTGGTTCCTAGCGAACCCAGTGCGCACGTCATATTCTTGGGCTTGGACCCAGACTTTTCCGAGGCGGATGTTTGTCGATACACTTCGAATGTTTTCGAATACCAAACTAAATCCATCTTGTGCTCCAGCTGCAGGCTTACCTCTCCAGTCACGGGTGCAACATCGAGTCCGTCACCATAATAAGAGATAGATCAACAGGCAGTTGCCCCCTTCGTATCTGTGTCTGTGCCGTACATTGACATCTATGGCCGTTGGATTTTTGAAGGTTTATCGAAGGGCTTCGGATTTGCCCAATTCGCAAGCGTGGAACATGCTCGCGCTTTCGTGGACCCGTTATTCCCGTTCGTTCAAGTGCCGCCCCCGGCATCACACGGCGCCTCCGCAACTACCGCTTACTACAAAGCGCTTGAGATGGGCCTACCGACTAATGGACGCCGAGTGAAGATTGACTATTCACAGAGCGCACTTCCACATGACAAGGGCCGCGGTCGACAAAACTTGAACGACGGTACTCGGGACATCGGCAATTCTCCAGCTGCTGTGCTACTCTTTCGTGGCCTTGACCCCTTGTCAGGCCCTCAAGCGATAGCTCAAGCAATGATGGGCTCTGCGGGACTCGGCAAGGAAGGTCACAGGGGGATGAAGAGAATAATCCTCATCAAGGATAGGGTTACCTTGGCTAGTTTTCAGTTTGCCTTTGTCGAATTTGTCGACGTGCAGGTGCGGGGGAAAAAACGAAGTAATTGGAGTTGACGCAACTTACTGTCTGCCTCAGGCTGCTTCTGCGGTATTGGCAAACACGATGTCGTCACACATCCATCCGTCAGGCTTTCGCATCTCTGATAAACCCGTCGCTGCTTCTTTTGCACATCCATACTCATTCCAACCCGTGTCAGACGTCATGCTGCGCGATGAAACTGCTGTTCCATCAACAATGAACCTCGGCGGTGTTGATGGGACCTTCGTCAAATATTGGGATGAGTCGGCGACTGTTGCAGTACTTGATTTCAAAGTCGAGGAGCCCTCACCCGCACAAGCACAACATTCCTCTGCTCCTGCGAAGGAGAAAAAGAAAAGGACCAGAGGTATTTATATCTGTCGACCGCATTGTGGATTTCTTGCCTCATTTCTGATCCAGATGATGCTTCCAAAAAGCAACTACTTCCGTCCACGTTACCAGTATCAGACAAGCCAGTGACATTGAATTTCAGTAAGGCAGGGAGTAGCAGTAAGCCCACACCATCATCAGGTCCAAAGGGTCCTGCGCCAGCTTCGCTTGGTTTCTCTGCTGAGGACTTCGCGGGTGACGAGGAAGAAGCAGAGCAAGAATTACCTGTCGAAGAAGATAAAGGTTCCGTGGTTCCCTGTGCGAATATTTGCCAGAGGCGTTGACGATCAGTAGTTATTGCAGCCAAGAAGGTTGCGCCTATGATTGCCAGTAAGAAGGTACGATAGTTTTCAGAACTGGGTTTATGTCTCTTAAATTTGTTCTCTTCAGACCGTGAACAACATACAGAAATGGAATCAGGTTCAAGAAGAACTCAAAGAGGGGCTAGCTCCCCAACCTTCGGTACTTGTTGGCGGTCTCACGCATAAGAACAGGCTCATTGTCACCAGGTCCCTCTCTCACAGACACTGGCAGCAGTCAAGCACGCCATCACTGGGCGCAACGCCCGAACCGACGGAAGAGGAGTTTGAGTTTTCTGACACTGGAACTATGGCTTGTCTCTTGTGTGCGAGGCAATTTAAAAGCACTGAGCAGCTGAAGAGGCACAACAAAGAGTCTGATCTTCACAAGGTCTTCATCACACTCCCTAATGCCTTGTTCTTGCTAATCCATGCCACAGAAGAATTTCAAGGATGCTAATTTACGCGAGGTTGCACGTCAGAAAGCTGTTGCGGCCCGGAGAGCGTCTGCAATGCGGTCAGAGACAGAACCACCAAAGTACCGAGATCGGGCATCCGAGCGTCGCATCATGCACAACCAGCCGGAGGTTCCACTTCCGGAAAACGGTGGCGTAGCTGCGAAAAAGAAGCGTCATGCAGAAGGCCCACCTCCCCCGCCTTCTCCTCCATCACCACCAACTGCTCTGAGCAAGGACGAAAGTAATGTCGGAAATAAGTTGTTGAAGATGATGGGATGGAAGGAAGGTTCCGGATTGGGGACAGACGGCGATGGTCGTGTGGACCCTATGTACGTGTTTTTTTTGGCCATATTGGACATCGTCACGGTTGATTTACTCGTCCAGCCAAACGGCCATATATGCGCAGGGAGTAGGTTTAGGCGCTAGTAAGGCGAAGGAACTTGGAAAGTATGCGGAAGGCTATTCGGGGTACGTGCACATGGTACAGGATGCGGTGGGTTCTGCAGCTATCTTCTTTAAAGGGTCGTTAGTTGAAATGCAAATATTTTTCCAGGCTCGTGAGCGATATGGGGCTTAGCGTGGAGTAACACGGAGCCGGTGACAATTATCTCGTAAACAACATACTGTAATGGGACATTAACGATCCGTTTATTGGATACCGTAGAGGGCTATATTATCGCCTGGGTCATTTTGTTATTTGTCCTATCCCTCTTCTCAGTTGATCCATGTTTTAAGGAGACACGGGTGTCTGTTTAGCCGGCAGTATAAAATGATTGTTGCATACTCGTTTGGGTGAGCTTTACAACTTCCCGCTATCTTCCATGAACAAAGAATCCTCCGCGACGGACAAGCAATGCTTGCCTGGTGTACCATGTGCTGAGTTTCGCAATCCCGAATCGTCGTTTGCCCAGTCACACGTTGTCGAGGATGCAGTTGATATCACGACCTTGGTAAGGTTGGACGCTCAGTGCATGGAGTTTCGCAGGACAAGTTTCATAGATCGTATCTGCTGAAGACAACCCGACACTTCCTGCACTCACGTTTCGCTTTTGGGTCATTGGTATTGGACTAGCGATTTTTGGTATCCCCTCTAGCCTTGTCAAACGCTGTTCCGTTAACAGTTCGTCGTTTAGGTTCTGTACTTTCTGAAATCTACTTCTGGAAACCTCAGGGAACAACTGTCTCCTCTCTCTTCCAGCTCATTATATCGTATGTGCTTGGAAATGCTGTGAGCTTTTTAGGGACCATTTTTGGCTTATCGCCTGACCGTCCAACCATCAGATGCATCATATGATGCCTTCGACCGGTTTCTGGCGACTCCTGAATCCCGGACCATTCAACATCAAGGAGCATACCTGTATTACGGTCATGGCATCAACCGCATCGCTTACTGCGTCGTCCATAGGAATCATCGCTACTCTCGATCTTTTCTACGACATTAGCCTCCATCCCGTTTCCGCGATCCTCCAGACTTTTGCCTCACAGGTTCGTCGTATCGCACATGGGCTCGTTGGCATCCGACTCGTTTCTCATATAGTTAATTGGATACGGTTTTGCTGGCGTGCTTCGGAATTTGCTCGTGTGGCCTACCTACGCTCTGTATCCAAATCAATTACCTTCTATTTCCTTGTTGCAATCAATGCATCTGGGTGGACTCCTTAACCGTCGGAAGATGAAGTATTTTTGGATAGGTACATATAAATTTCATGCGATCCGTCTCGGTTGTTCACAGTGCTTTGATAGTCTTCACTGCCATATTTTGCTGGGTGAGGTCCCTGGGACAGGCTCGATGTCCACTCACTCCGCCAACAGGAAATTGTTCCAACCTGGATGTTCCCTTTGTTGACAGCGGTATCGGCCGTTTGTCTTGTCGATAACGGGAGATCGTCGTTCGTTCGCAACTTGTTTGGTGCAGGATCTTCCAATGAAGGATTAGGTCTCCTGTCCTTTGCGTTCGATTGGACTCTCATTACACAAGCCTATCCACTCTTCTGGCCCCTCCAGACCCAAGTGTCCGCCTGGGTTGGCATTTCATTCTGTTATATTCTCATGAGTGTGTATCCTGCCTTTTCTTTTTCTTTTAGAGTTAACATTGCATATGAACAGTGGTGAGCTACTACAAGGACGTTTTTCAGGGGCACTCTAGAGGACTCCCTTTCATGTCGTCCTCCCTTTTCACTGGGAATGGTTCAACGTACAACCAGACTTCAATACTCGATACTCAATATCAACTCGACTCGCAGAAATATGCGGAAGTGGGTCCTCCGTGAGTCTTGTCGTTCTCACACGTTAGCGTGAGTAACCGTAAGGTAGGTACATGACAACAACTTTCGCAGTCTCCCAATTGGCGGGCTATGCATCCATGGGAGCTGCATTTTCTCATATTATTCTTTGGCACTGGAGGGAACTTTGGGCAGCATTCAAAGACTTCAATTTTCTGAAGACTGGCCAAGAATTTGATGAGTGCGACTAGTTATTGCGATGCTCAGTTTTGTCGTACTGAACCGCGACTCAAGTGTTCATTTCCAAAAAATGAAAGCATACAAAGAGGTCCCACAGTGGTGGTATTTAGTACTTTTCGTAATCTCTCTGACTTTGGCGATTGGCACGGCCTATGCTGATGCCAACTTACTACCTTGGTGGTCTATCATTATGTTCACAGCTATAGGTGGCTTACTTGCTCACTATCTTTGGCGTTGCCGCTAATCGTTTTCCTGCTATGTAGCATTCATAGTTGCAGTCGTCCTGAGTCTCATCTATGCCGTGACTGGGTTTCAGCTATGCACGTGTTCGGTTCTCGTGCAAATTGTTGCGGTGCAGTGAAAAACGACCCCTATCCGCTTACGCTTATTATTATATAGGCATATATTCATCCCCAGCAGCCTATACGGAACATGTACGCCAAGCTGTACGGTTATAACACAGGGTACCAAGCCCTTTACATGGTGGCCGACCTCAAACTAGGTTAGGTGGTTTCTAACGTTAAATGGCATGGGTGGATGCTCATAATAGTTACCAGGGCAATATGCCAAGGTCCCACCCCGTTGTACTTTCGTTGCCCAGCTGAGTGGTACAATTATCGGAGCGAGTATGTGAGTCTTTTCTTTGCGCCCTGAAGATAACTAACGTACGTCAGTTTTCAACTATATTTTATACAAATCAATCGTCGGCGCCCATAGGGAAGACTTACAAAATCGTCTGTGCTTTGCGGAAGTTGTTAATGCAGCTTACCTTGGTTTCTGATAGCAATTGGTACACGGCTTTGGTCGGGTTGGAACGCACAGCAAATCAATTCCGCAGCTATAACTTGGGGCGCGTTGGCAAAGGAACTCTATGCCCCGGGAAAGATCTACTTCCAGGTTTGATGCGATTGTTCTCGCCCAGTACATCGGGTGTGTTGAAACGTAGACAAAGCTTCCGTTAGGGCACCTATATGGATTTCTGGCGCCTTTCCCGTTGTATTTCATGCATCGTTTATATCCAAGGTGAGTGTATCATACTCATACACGGACACGTAATGTCCTTCAACAAATCTCTAGCCAACGCATTTGGTCATACTTGAACATGCCCGTTATTTTGACGTACGCCGGGTGGTTGCCGTATTCCGTTAACGGTGCGTCAGTCTTCAATACACCTATACACCTAAGCTGCTTACGCGACATATCGAAGGGGCGTGGTGGCCAGGGTTCGTCATAGGGCTCGCCAGCCAGTGGTGGGCGAGGACGAGAAGACCGAAATGGTACATGATGTATAACTGTAAGGTTGCCCATCATCTCATATTTATCTTGGTTGTTCACGTCTTCCCTAAGATCTGACGTCTGCTGCCCTAGATGGTGGGTCGTCCATCATTTACTTCATCCTCAACTTCGCAGTCTTTGGTATGGCCATTTCACTTTCTCCGAAATCATCCATCTGAAGGTTAACATAACAGGTGCCGGCGGAAATATCATCAATTTTCCGTACTGGTGGGGCAACCCTGACCCAAGCATTAGCAGCATCGGTGCGCAATAAAATACAAGTTGCCTCCCCGCTTATGATTTGACTAATATTGGCCTAGATCACTGTAAAGTGAGTGGGTACTAGGAAAGTTGATAGTACTAAACCGAAGTGCGATGAGTGTTGTAAAAACCGCGGTTACCTGAAGGCTGGTTGACGGGGCGAATATGTCACCGGTGAATAATCCACGTTGATAATGCAGATTCAGCGTACACAGAACTTCGAAAGTACAGTATAAATAAGAAAAAAACATGTAACGTATTAAGTAAAGGTGGTGTCCGATCCGGTGTCCAGTGTCAATTCTGGTGTACTTGGTCGGGTATTGACAGCCAGTGTCAGATCAGTTTGAGGTTCCCCAGCTTCGCTCAGCGTCTCTGGGATTCGTTTCCGCGCGCGTCTCCTTGGAGCAGTGAAATTGGGAGAAGCAGGCAACGAAGCATCAAAACCATCGGCTTTCAGTTGTGCTAACATGCCTTTGGCTTTGTCGGAAACTGTACTTGTGTCGAGAAGAGGGAGTGCAAGTCTGGCGTCTGGTCTGCGATTTTTACGGTCCTTGCGCACGATCGAGTCACCATTTCGCAGTTTGTCGAGCAAGTTATCTAGCACGGCATTATCCTCTTCGTCAGCAACCGATCGTTGGACATTTGCTCGCTGTATCCTTGACTCCGCCATGGCCTGCTTTCGTCTCTCTGTGGCTTGCTTCTCCTCCGCCGCGCTACGATTCTCTGTCTTGCATTTCTACATCAAAAATTAGGGGGATTCCCAGACTTGGATGCCTCCGCACTCGGCTCACCTTGAATGAGGTAACAAAAGTCTTAAATATTGCAAAGAACTCGGTTGACGATATGTTTTTCTCGTCTTCTCCGTAATAGCGAATGACTTCGGCGAGGCTCGTTTCAGTATGAGAGACGTCATCAGTGAGGTCTTCTAGTTTGGAGCCGGCCCTTCCAACGAATTGCCACATCTGCCGACTGAAGCCGTCGTTTTGGTCGATGTCACTGTAGTAATCGTTGAGTTCTTGACGGATGCGTTTCAATCCCTCGCGAAGCGCGCCCAAGTCTTTCCGTACATCCTGCATGTTCACTGTGCAAATATGAGGGATCCCAACTGATGGTAACACATAGAGAGTTCACCTCTATAAGCCTCAGCGGGTTTAGAGAGCTCATCCAAAAATTCGTCCATGTGAGGGAAATGTTTTTGTATAGTGCGCTCCAGGAAATGCAGAAGGGTCGTATTGTTAACGGATTTTGTGTCCACAAGCTGCTTGTCACTCAGCCAGCATCTAATGGGTCGGTCGTTTTCCTTGCCTTGTTGATGCTACTAATTTTGAAGCCAAACGCCCCGCCCTTGATCCCAGTACCATTCATGTAGTTTCCGATCATGAGGATGAGCTGGTAATACATCAGCCACGAATGTGCGTAGCAAGCACGAGACAGACATTCAACACTTCTTTGAAGTGTTTGGCACGCATCAAGACATCGCAGGCTTCGGCAACCTTTCGTGTGCCCTGCGAACCTTCAACATGAGTCCTGAGCAGGCACAGGGAGAGCTCACATCATCTAGTAACGACCACTGTTCCTCGAATTTGCACTTGTACAGCATTCCTTCAATCCGAGGGCCAAGCCGCTTAATCTGGATGAGCTTGACCATGAGACGATCCGAGCCATGCAAGCCTGCCAACTCCTCTGGTTCTGCATTACGGTACACATTGAGCTTGCCCACCTGCAGTACTCTTGAACAGGTATTTCTCACAGACTTAATATCAAAACCTACCTGTTCTGGGGTTGGAAGTACTGGCTTGAGTTCACGGAGGAAGACTTCAGTGCACATGTCTTGATCAAACTGGCGTATCTTCCGGGCAATTTCCTCTGGTTCGAGCTTCTTCACGCGTTGGATAAGGATCTCTGTAGGGAGTACGAGGGAGATCAGACTGTGATAAAGGATGTTCGGCGAGTCACTTACCAACGCGTTTCTTCGTTTGAGGATCAAGCACACTTTTCAGCTCAGCCTGTTTTTGTCGGGCTTATACAACACATTAGCTTTGACTCGAGTGTAAAGCCTGGAACGCGCCAACCCAGTAAATTGATCATGAGTTGCTTAGCTTTGAAATCTTCCTCCATTTCAACCCAAACACCATCTGCTTGTAGCTTAGCAAGGATCTCTTGTTCCTTTTTCGTGTCTTCATCACTCCAAAGTGTTTTTGCCACCTGCGGCTGAGCTAGTTTATCCCATTGCAGTTGTTTCATTTTAGTATTTGGAGTAAACGGCATATCTTTCCGTGCTGAGACCATTACGCTCAGACCCGCACTCAGTAACATCGACGCTCGTGTAGAGTTAGGGGCGGATGCAACACCCTTCGCTGGCGGCGGCGGCGGAGGTGGTGGTGGAGGTGGTGGAGGGAGAGACGAAGCCGTAGGACGATTTCCTAGGTGACTTGGAGGAGGCGGTGGTGGTGGTGGTGGTGGTGGTGGTGGCGGCGGCGGCGGCGGCGGGGACAACGGTTGTGATGCATCTTCACATGATTCTCGTAGTGGAGGGGACAGGACAGGTGGAGGCGCAGGGATGGCAGGGTCAGTCTCTTCAGAGAGCATTGGGAGGGCCAGGATTGGCGTCGAGCTTGCCGTAGGTAATGACGGTGCACGTCCGTGCGAATGGAGGCGCTGTGCAAGCTGCTCCGTAAAGGTTAACGGTTGTGGACCAGAAGGTGCGGCTTCTGGATTGAAGGAACCAACCAATGGGGCTGAAGCCTCGTGGAGAGTAACATTGAAACCACCTCGCACCGACTGCTCTGATCCGTTCGGAAGACTATGTTGGTCGTTGTGGATGTCCGAGTCAGCATTATGCTTCTCAAATGAATGATCGAGCCCAGAGGACAATAGGTCGGGCGAACGGACTGAGCGAGGTAATAACGCTGCATCACTGGGTACAGGCCGGTTGGCGCGCATTGGAGAGCCTCGAATAGTGCGAGGGCTTGCCATATGCCCGTCTTCCGGAGAGAGCTATGAAATGATTCAGCGTCAGTGGTCATAGCAGTGAGAACTACTCACGATGTTGGCGCCTGCAACTAGCTGGTGTTTAATCTGCTGTTGGACATCTGCCTCGTCGGCATCCATAAACTGGGACTCCCGCTCAATTGGGGAACTCGAATGGTTGGGAGATTTCGTCGAACCACTGGGATTTCTGTCGGCAGTGTAACTCCGTCGCTTTCCATCCGCCTTTTGAGGTGTGGACTTCGAAGATTCCTTCCCAGAGTCGTCAGACCCATCCTCACCTCCGCCGCCACGTTTCTTGTTCCTTCGCTCGCGGCCTTCCAGAATACCAATGGTCTTGGTTCTTTCAAAATGTTTGTTGAGAGTCTCGATGAGTGTTTTGCGGTCCATGGAACCGGAGTTTGCTTCGATGATCTCTTCAGCATCCTTCCCGACCTCCTTTAACATCCTAAACAATTCCATGATTTGGGCTTCCAATTGTGCTATTCTCTCTTCGTATCCAGTTTTCTGTGCCTCAAGCTGGTTTTGGAGGCGCACCGTCGTGTCACGTGCAGTATTGAGTTTCTGTTCGAGGTGGGCCACCTTCTCCTTGAGTTGTCCAACCAGACCGTCAAAACCCTGTGATATCTCCTCCTCCAAGGCTTCTTTCTCCATTTTGAGCTGAAGTGCCTGTGAACGAGCCTTCGCAGCATCGTCCTCGGCCATTTGCAGCCGGTCAACTTCGTTCAATTGTGCGATCAGCTTTCTCACCGAATGTCCCAACCTTTGCTCAGCAGTTCCAAGCTTGTGGTCCATTACTACATCCGTTACGACTAGATCCAACAGTTGGTAATAGTGTACCAGCTGGGAATCCTCTTCTTGGATTAATAATAAATGGCGGAGAATTGAAAGAAAATGGTCCTCTGCACGAGAGCCAACTGTACGAGCCCGTAAAGCCTTCCAGATATCCTCTGCGTTGGCAAAGTCGCGCAATACTCTTTCGTCCTCACGTTCGCGGAGCCGCGACTCGTCCTCCGCCAAAAGGCGTTCGAGGTCATTGAGCTGTTTGTTTATACCAACGACTTCAAGCTCACGGCAGAGTGTAATGATAGACTGAAGTCCAGATGAATCCATACGCGACCGGTGGTCTATTCTGAGATCGAAATCCTTGATAGTGTGCAATATTTGCACGATAAGGGCCACACTGCAGAGCTTTCAGGGATGTTGTCAGGACGTTGGTACACAGGAGGCAGTAAATCGACAGACCGCATAATCAGTCAACGCCGTGTCGCTTCCGCTGGTCTTCCTAATCTCGTCGCTCGCGCCAACAAGGCTACCCATTTTACCTCTCCCTTGAAGGGCAGTTCGTAAAGAGGAAAACCAGTACTCATAACATCCTGCCGGCTGTGCAGTAGATTGGCTTTCACTAAGTGATTTGAACCCATTGATGACGTGGTCCAACGAATCTTCGCTGCAGTGAACGATAGACAGAATAACTTCAGTTATAGTTCGACGAGTAGACAGGCTCGGGGAATTGAGTGAGGAGATGACTTGAGTTACGATGCCCGGGCTTTTAACAGCTTCCCGAACCCTGACCTAATGGAGCTCATTGGATCGATGTAAGAACACTCTGAGTAGATCCTTACATTGTTGTTGAATATCACTTTAAGACACTTGGCAATTTCATGTTCTAGGGCGATGTCGGTAGCATTCCTAGTAGCTTAGTTTTGAATCCCGGAACGATCGAGGTAGCATAGACGTACCTGTTTTCCTTCTTACGACTGATCTGTGTTAAGGCTTGTGCCAGAACCGCGGTACCTCGCCATAAGAGAAAGGATTCAAGCCAGCTGCGATCATTGTGAGCTAAAAAAATAGTCTCAGCCGTATCCCGTCGTACCTATTTTCGTGTCCCCTCAAAGACACCCAGACACTCGACGCCTCCTTCGGTGTAATGGTACCATCCATAAATTTCCTGATATACCATTGAGGAGACCCATCGCCGGTCAGACCAGCGCCGCCTGTCTCGCCCTGCTTCCTGGCCTGTTCCTCTCTGTTTTTCTCCTGTTGCCACCGGATCTGCTCTGCAGCGTAAACCATTTTCCATTTCTGCTCAATGGTGAGGTTAAGATCAACGTTGGATAGGTCCCGCATTTCCGCTACATAAGAGAAAAGAGCCTCAATATCTTCGTCTCTTTCGGGTCGCGGAAATTCAAACTCGTCGCCGTGCTGCTTGTGAAACATTTGAGATAGGTGAGTCGAATGACTGTCTGAGTGGGCTGTCGCACTGGAGAAGCGGGGTGGCCTGTCATATTCCGTGTTTGAGATGTGGTTAGCTCGTAGTATCGTATTCGATGGTGAGACCGGGTGACCAAGCTCAGAACCTGTCGGACTGCGCCTGCCCGATGCAAAAGAGGCTTCGCTCTTCCGATAAGTGTGCGTGATCGTCCTCGAGTCACGACCTGACACAGACGACTGACGCGGTCTGGGTTTCCTCCTGGCAAAGAAATCCATCGCGACCACGACGAACGTGACGCCTGCGAGGCAGGTTTACCAGTGTGATATAGGAAGATGATAACCAAGTTGTCCGATGGCGACCGCTGCTCGGAACGATCTGGAAATCCTAGTGTGAGCTGTACGTTGAAGCTGCCTGCTACCATATTCGGTTGCTCACTTCTCGCTAATAATACAGCCACAGCGCAACAAATTCACATTCACACTGCAGCTAACGGGGATTTCACCGCATCGCATGAGCGCATACATGAAGGTGTCTGATAGAACATCGCTACAGAATCTATGGATTGCCCGAAGGACAAGGATGGTCCAAAAATTGGGGAAGAAGTGGGTCATCAGTTGATCACACCTCGCCACCACGTGCACCGTCATTGCTAACCATACAGTAGTCTTGCGGTCACCAACCAAAGTGAATGACCGCAAGAACTAAGCTGACAACGCTCTCGAAGCCCAAAGACTTCCCCTGGCTTACGACCTACATCCCAGAACATGCACCGCACGAAATGGGCAGCATTTGCACGTTCACCCAGCCATCGCACGACCGAGTGGGTCCCTCCAGCAGCAGCATGGATAGGATAACCCACACATATCGTCTTGCGATCCTCCAGCAGCAGACACCACTAGCAACCACGAAGACCATTGTGACGGGCTCTCAGAGAATGCTAGAACCACAAGCAGTTTCTCGGTGCCTGCATTAGCATAGACAACTTGAGTGAATCATCTTGAACAGACTAGTCGAGACAATACGAGTCCGAGGAACGCATATGGAGGCCCTCCTCTCCTAATCCAGTATCATCGTCCATGGCCTGCCTGTACGGAGGTTCCGCTGAACCAGTCTCTGAGTGAATTCAACGTTACTGCCCTCGAGGACGAACCTCTGTTGCCCCTCCATAGGAAAAGCAGCTGCAGCAAGTAAATGAACAACCCAGGACGCAGATACAACACTGAACAAGGCGGCTGAACCGATGGAAATGATAGAAAATAAAGGAGATTCATTGGTTACCCAACAACGATCCCCAGGAGCGCGCAAGCCATAAACAGACCAGGTGATAGATGACCTGACACAAAAGTAATCTGAATGCGTACAAGACACGTCTTGGAATCCGTAGGCCTGTGAACGGCATAATAGGGAGCCCGGCCACTGGCGTTCAAGTGAGCAAAGTGGATTTACCCTGCTGCCAGCGGACGATGACGGTATGGTAGGACCGAGCTAATAGTGCAAAGCCTGGTCGAAGAATTCCAGGGGCGAGTAGCCGCATCTGCAGGAGTGAGAAACGGTCTAGCTTGGGAGTGGCACAAACAATGCCAGCGAACAAGCACTTTCTTGTACGTACCAACGTTCGACAGTCCACTTTAGCCCCAGCCACGTGTCCATCTCACCAGCCGCCACGAAGCCATGTCGGTGCTGTTATACAAGACACTTCAGGACTCCAATGCCAAGTCCAAGCAATCTCCCAACCGGGGTCGCGTTGGTACTGGGCACAGTCCACGGCACACAAAACCGAGCCAAAAAGTGCCGGGTAGGAAAAGTACGTTAAGCTCTGAAAAGCCCACATACAACTCCAGGAGAATTCGGGCGAAAGCGAACGCGTGCGAGGGCCTGGAAAGCGGAAACTCGCGCAGGGGCCGGAGTACATTCTGCAAATATCCATCCCTCGGAGCGACAAACAGGTGTAATGAGCCGAAAAAGCTCTGTGCGTCACCCAAGTGGGGTAGCCAAAGATGCAGTTGCTCCTAGTCAGTGCGTTCGCAGCTCAGTCGCGCACACGAGCACTTTACGGGACCCGCGACGTCCTTCTAGCATTTACGTTCGACCATGCTGCATCTTCACCTTGCTAAGTACCTCGGCTTTCCGGCACAAACCCAACCCTCTTCACGTTGCAGCTTGACAGATGAAAGCCCGCGAAGGCTTTCTGTACGTCCCGTCCGCTTACGGGTAAGGGTTCACAGGTAAGCACAACCGGGTACTAGTGCGTGCAAGAAGATAGAAGCAGATGAATCGAGGCAGACACGTTCCGGAAAGACGATGGAATGCATGTACAGGACTTCATTGCAGCCAGATTCAGACCAAGATGCGTGCAATCCATGGCACCCGCCAGGACGGTATTGGTCTCTTAGGAGAGACCGCAGAACGCACAACTGCCCTGCCACACGGCGTCGGTCGTGCCGCTTAAGTTCCACAGGCAAAAGGAAAGTCCGCCATTGCCCCAAGACACTTAGGGTTAGAATTCATCCCGTTAGGAATGGATTTTTTGGCTAGAGGTGGCAGCGGCGTGATGGGGGAGAAGGCGACAGTGGTGTGAACGGGCACCCCGGCGACAGAGGTGGTTAGAAAGCGCCGCTCACGGGCTGTTGGGTGTCGTAGGCCAACCCAAAGAGAAGCCACAAGCGCGTTATTTATTGTCCACAGCCACATTGTGACGTGTCACAAAACACGCGGTCACGGTGTCACTACGAGATTTGGGTTACTTGCTTGGCTTTTGATTTCCACCGTGGCCCAATGGCCGAAAACATTTACAGCAAGGGGACGAGGGTCTGGTTCGAGGATAAGGAACACGCTTGGATCTCTGCAGAGGTCACCTCTGTCACTAAGGGAAACGACGATGCCATCAAACTGGTCTTCGTCGATGATCGAGGGAAGGTACGCGCGCTTTAGCTTGTCCCTTCCATAATCAGTCTCGTACCCCGCTCTTCAGGAAATCGTGATCAATACCACGGCAAAAGACATTAGAGATGGAAAGGAAGGCTTGCCTCCCCTGCGAAACCCTCCCTTGTTAGAGACCGCTGACGACTTGGCCACTCTTTCTCACCTGAACGAGCCTTCCGGTGCGTGTTACGCTGCCATGCTGAAACACAATTCTGACGATCTCCTTTAGTTCTGCATACCATTCGGAATCGCTACGGCCAACATAGCATCTATACCTATAGCGGCATCGTACTCATCGCCGTCAACCCTTTCCAACGTGTAACTCTGTATGGACCCGAAGTCATTCAGGCTTACTCTGGTAGAAAGAGAGGGGAGCTTGAGCCCCATCTATTCGCTATTGCTGAGGACGCGTATACCGCCATGGCCAAAGAAGGCATGGGCCAAACTATCATCGTATCGGGTGAAAGGTTCGCCACCCGACACGCGCTCTCATTGCTTCATCTCTTACACAACATTACAGTGGTGCAGGCAAAACTGAATCAGTAAGGTCATTCACCGTGTCATTCTGCACTCACATCTCATCGTGCCCAGGCTAAATTCATCATGCGTTATATTGCTTCCGTCAACCCTCCTGGATCAACAACTAAGTCAAGGACAAAATTTTCCTTGGACGAGTCCAGCGAAATAGAGCGTCAAATTCTTGCCACGAACCCTATCCTTGAATCTTTTGGAAACGCCAAAACGACACGAAATGACAACTCATCGCGTTTTGGCAAGTATATCCAAGTGAGATTACAATCTCCACTCACCCGTCAACTGTGAGTTGATGTGCAAGTCAGATCCTTTTCGATGGAAAACCCGAAATCGTCGGTGCTCGGATCCGCACATATCTCTTGGAGCGGTCACGTATTGTCTTCCAACCCACAACGGAACGGAATTACCATATCTTCTACCAATTGTGCGCAGGCGCTCCCCTGAAGGAACGGAAAGATCTCGGACTAGATACCGACGTAACCAAATTCCATTACCTCAGGCAAGGCGGGTCGACGTCTACACCGATTGTAGGCGTCGATGATGCCGAAGAATTCCGGGCAACTCAGCAAGCACTGTCGACCGTTGGCATCAGTGTCGAAAAACAGTGGGCGGTGTTCAGACTCCTTGCCGCTCTGTTGCATTTGGGAAATGTCAAAATTACACCAACTCGTTCTGAGTGTTCGATTGATGAAGAAGACCCTGCTCTCATTTTGGCAACCCGGTTCCTTGGTATCAATTTGGCCGAGTTTAAGAAATGGACTGTGAAGAAGCAAATTATCACCCGCTCCGAGAAGATCGTCACTTCCCTGAATGCTGGGCAGGCCACGGTGGTTCGGGATAGTGTGGCAAAATTCGTGTATGCCTGTCTGTTCGAGTGGCTTGTCGCTATCGTGAATGAAAGTTTGGCTGGTGAACACGGTGACGCTGCTGAGCGTGCCGAGATGTTTATCGGCGTCTTGGACATCTACGGGTTTGAACATTTTCAAAAGGTACAGCGCTTTCTTCCTTCGTCTGCCTGATTCTGATTGTTTTCATTGTCCTATAGAACTCTTTCGAGCAATTCAGCATAAACTATGCCAACGAGAAGCTGCAGCAGGAGGTTAGCAGAAGTGGCGCATGTTTCGTCCGTCATTGACCGTTCTTGCTCACAGTTCAACTCTCATGTTTTCAAACTCGAGCAAGAAGAGTATATGAAGGAACAAATCAATTGGACCTTCATCGACTTTTCAGACAACCAACCGTGTATCGATGTCATCGAGGGCAAACTTGGCGTTTTAGCATTATTAGATGAAGAGTCCCGCCTGCCTTCAGGCAGCGACGCATCTTTCTTGCAGAAGCTCAACACTCAACTTCTAAAGCCAGCTAACAAAAACGTGTTTAAGAAACCTCGGTTCGGAAATTCATCATTTACAATTGCCCATTACGCCTTGGACGTCACTTATGAAGTTGATTGTTTCCTAGAGAAGAACCGTGATACAGTCCCCGATGAGCATATGACATTAATTGCTGCCACAAAGAACCCTTTCTTGAAGGAAGTCTTGGATGCTGCGCTCGGCTCGGTGAAGGCTATTGACGCACCCCATCCTGGTTCACCTTCTCCATCCGACTCTGGTAGTGGAGGTTCACGGCGTTCTTCGCTAATCCCGGATCCCGGGCGAACTGCTCTCGTCGTGTCAAGTACCGCATCGAAATCAAAGAAGCCTGGTGCAGCTATTAGAAAGCCAACGCAGGGATCAATATTCAAGGCTTCGCTGAATGCACTCATGGACACCCTAAGTATCACGAACGTACACTACATCCGCTGCATAAAGCCCAATGAAGCCAAGAAACCTTGGGAGTTTACCCCTTCCCAGGTACTGGGCCAGCTACGCGCTTGTGGTGTCCTTGAGACTATCCGTATTAGTTGTGCTGGCTACCCATCACGCTGGACGTACGAGGAATTTGCTGAACGGTAGGTTTTTGTCTGTCACTCGTTCAATGTTGTCTGACCGTGAGTTGTCAAGTTATTACATGCTTGTCCCGTCTTCGGACTGGCAACCGATGATACAACGGCTTGAGCTCCAGCCTCTTTGTTCGCTTATCTTGGAGAGGACGATCAATGACCCAGACAAGTACCAGAGCGGGCTCACAAAAATGTTCTTTCGCGCGGGGATGCTTGCTGCTCTCGAGTCTCTGCGCTCTGAGAGACTAAACGCCTTGGCCACCATCATCCAGAAGAATATGCGTAGGCGTATGGCTGTGAAGAATTACATCGAATTGCGTGCAGCTACGATTCGAATTCAGACGTGGTGGCGCGCCATCATGGCAAAGCGACTGGTCGAGTCAATGCGGAAAGATCACGCTGCAAAGCTTCTACAAAAACAAATTCGTTGCTTCATGCAGAGATCATTGTTCCTGCAAATTCGACAATCCGTGACCATGCTCCAGAGCCGTAGGTGGAGACTTATGACACTACAAGTTACAAATCTGACGCCTTTGTACAGGTCTTCGTGGCGTTCAAGCCCGGCGCGTGTACAAGGAATCCAGGTTCTTGCATGCAACCGTTCTCTTACAATCCTTGTTCCGTGGCATGTAAGTATATCATCATCATCATCCAAGCAGTCCACTAATGTCTATTTCCTCAGTCTGTATCGACGCATCTATCGTGGAGACGTCAGACATGTGATATACCTCCAGTCTTGCGTGAGAAGGCGTCTCGCCAAGAAACAGCTCAAACTCCTCAAAGCAGAAGCGCGATCAGTATCTAAATTCAAGGAGATCTCGTACCGTCTGGAAAACAAAGTTGTGGAATTAACGCAAACGCTCCAAAAGAGGACGGAGGAGAAGAAGACTCTTCAGTCTCAACTCACTGAACTTGAGCAACAAATCCAACAGTGGACTTCGAAGCACGAAGAAGCCGATACGAAGGTCAGGTCTCTGCAGACCGCTCTCCAAACCGCCGAAGCTGAACTTTCGCGGCGCGATGAGCTGCTGAAGGCGAAGGCGGATGTAGAGAGACGGTTGGAGGATGCGACCGCAAAGGCAGCTGAGAAAGAAGCGACCATCCAGAAGTTATTGGACGAGATAACGGCCCAGGCTGCTCAACTGCAGTCGCAGGAAAAGGCGTTTGCCAACGGTCCACTTAGAAATACCGAAGATGTTTCGGTCATCGCAACCCTGAAGAACGAAGTCAGTAGTTTACGGGAACAACTTAACCGAGCCAATGCCTACAATGCATTGACAAGGGGTGTGCGCGATCCACCTTCCTCTCCGACATTCGCACCTGCCCTTCGTTCGGAGGCTAACCAGTCGCATGGTGCTACTCTTGCTCTTCCGCTGGCAAACTCTCGCCATCAGCGAAGGCACAGTTCTGCTGGTGTTCTTCTCAATCCGGCCGAGTACCGAACATCCTCGGACGAACTGATGTTGGATGTGAAGAAGAGTCAGGCGCTCAGTCATCGGGCTGCATCGGTAGCCTTCGATGGTGATGACAGCCTGCGGGTGAGAACCAATGGGCTGGCAGACGTTCGCAGTTATGATGACGTTGGAGAGGAGAAGATACGACTTATGCAGGACATTAAGCGCCTCGATGAGGATGTACTGACCGGTTTGATTCGCGGGTTGAAGATCCCTGCGCCAAGCACGACGAATCTTGCTGCTATGAAAGAAATCCTCTTCCCCGCCAACCTCATCAGCCTTATCACCAATGAGATGTGGAAATACGGTCTTATCGCTGAAAGTGAACGCTTCCTTGCGAACGTTATGGAAACTATCCAGGCGCATGTTATGGTAAGCCTTAGAGATGACGCGATAATAACTCTCTAATTTTTGACAGTCGTTCAGCGGTGAAGATGCCATAGTTCCTGGCATCTTCTGGCTCTCAAACGTGCATGAGATGTTCTCCTTCATCTGCGTGGCCGAAAGTGATATGTTGCAAGGTATCGGACCGGGTGAAGAGAACGCCATACGCGAGTTTGACTGGAATGACTACGAGCGGCTTGTCACTGTCGTGAAGCACGACTTGGGAAGCCTAGAGTATAATATCTACCACACTTGGATGCAGGAGACCAAAAAACGCCTTGGAAAAATGGTAATTCCCGCCTTAATCGAGAGCCAGTCTCTGCCGGGATTCACAACGAGCGATGGTGGTGGAAGGCTATTTAATCGCCTGCTAAATTCCAATAGCCAACCGGCGTACAGCATGGACGACATCCTCAATATCCTCAACAAGGTCTGGAAGAGTTTGAAGAGTTACTATACGGAGGAGTCGGTAATACAGCAGGTCTTCACCGAGTTACTGAAGTTAATTGGCGTAACGAGTTTCAATGATCTTTTGATGAGACGAAACTTTTCGTCCTGGAAGCGAGGTATGTCACTGGGCTATCTTCTTGGCTGCGGTCCTCAGTATCCGTTAGCAATGCAAATACAATACAACATCACGCGGCTTCATGAGTGGTGCAAGTCGCACGACATGCCCGAGGGCACACTACACTTGGAGCATCTACAACAAGCTATCAAACTATTGCAATTAAAGAAGGTAAGCGCGGATTCTATAATGCACAGGCCCAGCTAGCTGATAGACAAAACAGGCGACCCCTGCAGACATAGAAATAATATATGACGTTTGCTGGATGCTCAGCCCGATGCAAATACAACGGATGTGCACAAACTACTACGTCGCCGAGTACGAGGTATATCATACTCGCTTGAAATTACTTCATTTACTTTGGTACTGACGATCTACCCAGAGCCCGATATCACCCGAGATTTTGCGTGTCGTCGCTTCCCGTGTGCAAGCAAACGATCGTAACGATCATCTACTTCTCTCACCAGAAACGGAGGACGTGAGCCCATTTGAGCCACCTTATCCCCGCGAAGTCTCGGGTCTCGAGACGTATGTTCCGGCGTACTTGAATGTCTCTCACCTACGCAGGCTGGCCGCCTTGGTCGCATAGTCTCTCCTGTTTTTTCGGTGTATGGCGATGTCCCCAGTACCACGCGGCGACTTTTCTTTCTTGTGTTTCCTTTTATGCTATGTACTGTTGTGCTTTCGACTCCATAAATCATCTTCGAGGCAGTTGTCATTTAATTCGAAAGAAAATGTTGTCATAACATTATACCAGGCGAATCTACGAAATCTATCAGGCATTCGACGAGCGGCGCAATGTTAAACTCGAAGCATCGGCAACGTGATCTGACAGGGGCAGATGATCTGGCAACTCCAATAAATCATCCGTCCTATGCAACGTTAGTGACTACATAAGATGCGTTTAATGTGATACAAGATCCTGTTTTAATTCTACGAGGCTCACCGATGCTTTTGAGAGCGGGATATCAAACCGATTCGCAAGAAGATCCAAAGCCCTACCAACGACGATGGACTGCAGCAGCTTAGAGGCGAACATCATGCAAATAAGAAAACGTGCTGTACTTGCCTTTTGAAACCAAAAGATACCTTCCCTGCGTGGCTGACTGGAACCATCCACTTCGTAGCATACGCTTACATGGACGCGTTGCTCTACGGGAATGAGAGAACCATTGTCCTTGGGATCTCCTCGAATGGATTTAAGACGCATCTTCATCGCGTTTGCCTTCTGCAATTGTGCCGACTTTGTACGGTTTGAGGAACTTTGTCGCACCGCCATAGGTGTATAGGATGGTCTAGCCTTTGAGAGGAGTGGCGAAAGAGACTGAGTTGGTTCACGGTTCACTTGGCTCACTCGGTTGATTAAACCAGAGCATGTGTGCGATTCCTGATGACGATGACTATGATGGTGTGGGTGAAGCAGGAACATGGGAAACCTAGAGGTCGACTTACTGAACACAGAAGGAAAGCCCGCAAGCTAGGCAACCTGCGGCAGGAGTCCGTTCGTCACCCACCCCACCAGTCCAGGAGGTGAGTAAGGGATTATTACAACCTGACAGGGTGCACCTGGCTCGTCCTGCGGTCAAACTTTGTGGAGTCACTACGGGTTTCCGGGAAGCCGTGCAGTTATGGGAATCTGGCGATATATGAAACCTGCAGAAGCTTCGGAGACAATCGCATTGAGTAGGTAAAAAATCCCGTTCATTGCAGGACGCCAGAGCACAATGCACGCCTATTGCGTCCAGGTCCATATGAGCGGTGAGCACGCCGAGTGCCAGCAGGCGACAGCAGAGTCCTTGGCAGTTACGTAATCAGCGAGCTGTAGTCCTCGCTCCCCACTCCCCGCAGCCAACGCCGTTCCAGTCGTCACCACTGTGTCCCCTATGAATATAATTGTACGTCTTTCTTTATGCTTCGCTTGTACCTGCAACGTACTCAATCCACCAGGAAACACTGTTTGGTAGGACCATTACACCTGCTGAGCGACTTCGCCAGCACCAGCGGGCCCTTACAAAGGCCCAACGAGAGCTTGACCGAGAACGAGGGAAACTCGAGCAAAGTGAGAAGAAGCTAGTTGGAGATATCAAGAGAAGCGCAAAGGCAGGCCAAATGGTGCGTGCTGTGCATCTTCCAGCGACCTCGTTTGCAATGTCCTCAAGTAGAACGCGTGTAAAGTCATGGCTAAGGACCTTGTCCGTACTCGGCGATATGTTCAGAAATTCTATCAGATGAGGACACAACTGCAAGCCGTTAGCCTGCGGATACAGACCCTCAGAAGTAATCAACAGATGGCAGAAGCCATGCGAGGTGCAACACGGGTATGTTAGGTGCAGCTTACGCCAATTTTTGTAACTGTGTTAAACAGTTTACTAGGCCATGGCATCCATGAATCGGGGTCTCAATTTACCTGCAATACAAAAGATCATGAATGACTTTGAGAAGGAGAGTTCAATGATGGATATGAAAGAAGAGATGATGTCAGATGCTGTGGACGATGTCATGGATGATGAACTTGAAGATGAAGAGGAGGAAGGGGATAAGATCTTAAAGCAAGTTCTAGACGAGATAGGTGTCGACCTTTCTCAGCAGGTAGGAAGTTGTACAAGCGAATCATCTTGCGCTGACGCCGACGCACACAGCTTACCGAAGCTCCTGTAGGCTTAGGAGCAATTTCCTCCCAAGCGACCGAAAGTCGGAGGGCGGTTGCTATTGGGGAGTCTGCTGCACCACCACCACCACATGGCGACGAAGGTATATCTGACGAAGACGCCCTCCAAGCCCGCCTGGATGCTTTACGGCGAGGATGACGATTTGATGACCCATCACATATGTTGTGCGACAGCGATACATCATCCTATATCTTGAGACCCACTATGCTCTTGGCTTCCTGGATACTTAATCTCCAGGGGACCCCTGACCCATTGTAGAACGCTTCCACATCTTCACCCTAGATGATTTCCAAATCAGACACGTCTAGGTGTGCAATGCGTTCGGTGACCTTACATTATCCAAATTCAGGAGCAACGAGATTTGCTGTAAGCGTACAAATTTCTCTCGAATATCACCGAATGTCGTTTGAGACGACAGATATGCTATGATGGATCGGAGGTCTCGATCAAAAAGCACGGCACCCAACTTGCAAAGTTATTGGATTGCCCAAAGAAGGTCTACACAGGCTCACCTCGGAGAAATGAAGCGTCAAAATATGTTTCTCCCATGGACGAAGGATGGTATCCAAGGCCAAACCAAATAATACCCGGTAGTTGTTCTCAGTGAATGTGCCCTATCCATATTGGTATAGCGAAAAAGCCTTCATCGAAAGAGCTCACTTTATAGCCGTCTGCTAACCCCTCCCAGAGTTTAGTGAAGCGCTTCCGGATGACGCCTTGATGTTCCGCATTCCCGTAATTGCTTTCGTCTAGGATATATGAAACGTCTTTGTACACATCGGGGATGAGGGTGCGCAGTTTAGTGCGCATCAGCTGGTTGAACAGTTGTTCTATGCCAGTCTAGCAGTGACCTGTCAACTACTACCCTCATAAGTGAGGAGAGAGCCTAACTTTGAGTGTTGCGGCAAATTTTGCAGTCGACCTAGACAGGCTCATTATTGCTGATTTGACTCCTTGTTGTTCAACATCTAGGTATAATTGTGTACCTGCAGGATGGGCCAAAAGGTCTTTTATCAGTCTGTCTATATGGGATAACGAAATGTCCAGGTCATTTAGCAGAATCTTCTTAGCGGGTCAAACACTGGTGGGCGGGAGGGACAACAACATACCACAAGGGACAACCGACTCTCCCGCTCGGGCTTCTCCGGACGGACAGAAGAACTGCCAGCATTGCGGTAAGTATCATCCAACTTGCTCTTTATTCCCCCTGCGTAATCCCGGTCTATCACCTCCCTCAGGATGGCTGTGGTGCTTTCGACAGTTTTGAGGGAGCCAGCTGAAAGCAATCGAGTATAGACAGTTTTGAGCATGTAGAAAACGTCATCGGGTGCAGTGGTAACTGGGGGAGCTTGTGAAAAATCACATGTGGAAAGTCGGTGAGCCTGTCAACACCACTGAGAAATCTAAACACTAGGATACGCAAGGCTACTGACTTTGTCTATAATTGCGCGAATATACCAGATCTCCAACGGGATGTAGCAAGAGGAAAGCAATTCATCAAAGTCTTTCTGCGAAGAAGTATTCTCCAATAAGCGGACTTGCTCGGAAAGTTGCATTGAGTTGCGGGGGTCCCCGTTTCCTTCAGGGACTTTCGAAAGGTCCTCAGAAAATTCCTTATGCTGTAGGCTTGTTAGAAAGGATCATGTGTACATTCGACGGAGCTACGAACCTGTAGTTGTTCCACGAGAAATTTTCGGAACAAACTCCAACGACCACACATTCCAGCTATCTCAGACAAGATCTTATCAATCTCACGTGGATTAGGGCTATCCTCCTCATTAGCAGTATTCGAGTGCTGTTTGCGAAGAGTGTTCAATGCGAGTGGGGAACTTCCTATGACCGATAACTGGAAACTTTGTAAGGTCAGAAAGCCAATCTGGGCGAACGTGTTCACCTTCTTCCCAATGGACCGGTCTTCTCGCCAACTAGATAGGGTACTTTGCACTACGCGATCACACTCTTCCAGTAGTTGTTCGACGACACTTTGCATTTTCCCTTTTCCATAGTACTTCTCAACCACTGGTTGGTGCTGGTCCACTATCATCGCCACATTCTCAAAGAGTGCAGTAAGAACCGTGACGTGGTACAGCGGAGAAGCAACTGTGTGCGGATGAGGGACACGGGATCGGAGCACTGAAGGAACTGCTCACTGTTTGCAGAAGTCGGTGCCCTAACCCGGACCAGGTCAACGACAAAGGATGCGTACGCTGTCAGACCTTCTGCCTCCCACCCGATTAGTGGGAAAAGCTTGAAGTAGCGGCTCGTGGCGGCAGCATCGCGGGAACGAGAAGCATGAGCGAACTGTTTCAAGAAGACTGACAACAACTGTTCTCTTGCAATCTGAAGAGTCTGGGATGGTGGGAGATGGTTTTCAACTGTTGGCTGGAATATGGTGAGCATTGTTGAATACGGTCGTTGCTGGGGACATACCACTACAGCTTCAGCAAAAGGGCCAGAGATGACTTCTGGAGGGAGCATCATGGCCCTAGCACAATGTCTGGTTGCTGACTCCCAATCTTGAGTTTCAATGCATGCCTGCAGTTGCATGAGAGAAGACTGAGGAAACCTGCTAAGCAACCATCTTCCAGGCGGGGAGGATAGGTAACATACTTTGAGTTCCATAACTTGTCCAACCCGGTCTACTGCCTGTGAAATGCGGCCCATTTCTTGATCCAGGGCCTTGACACGCCCGCCTACGCGCTCTGCAGTGCGGGCAGTAGATGACACCTTGTCGACAAGGCGGCTAGACTCGCCATGGAGGTCTTCCAAGGACGGGATGAGTGACTGGAACAGTTGGAGGGACTCTGTTATGGAGTCGCGATCTGAAAGCACCTCAGTCAGAGAAGCGGACAGCTCGGCCTCTTCTGACTGGTAATACGAGAGACATGACAGGATGTCCCCGAGGTTGGTGAGGTGTCTTGGATCTCTGCGCGGTGTTTGTGCAGCACTACTGGACTGTTCGTTCGCAGGTGGCTTTGATACTGCCATGGTGGACCCAAAACAAACTCTCTGGTAGTCTGGTAAGTACTACAACTCTTGCACCCTCGGCACACAAATGTCTGCCCTGACCAACGTCGCCCTTCCCATCACGAAGGCTACCATTACAGTTCGTGTGATAAAGTCGTTCAAGTATCGCACAGAAAGAAGCCTGGTCCTGCATGAACTCGACTTGCAGAAAACAACCGTCGGAGAGCTGAAGAACATCGCAAAGCAAGGTATGCATTGGCTGTTTATCAAATCCGCATGGTCTGACTCCCCCACTCTGAACCAGCCGTGAAGTCGGGGCCAGGTTGGAAAGCTTACCGCAATGTTGATCTAGGTGTTTTACATGCGCAACGAGCCTTGGACGACGTCTAACCGCACAACAGACACACTCAAACTGTACACCAAAGCGCACGGCGCCAAGGTAAGATTGTATGATAGCGTAGTCCCCAATATTCACCCGTATCACAGACTTCGAATCTGATAATCAACCTGGACCACGATGACTGGATTCTAGGTGACGAGAGCAAGACCCTGGCAGAAGTTGGTCTTGGTTGGTCCCTTTCATTCATTTTCTCGGCCACTGATCTAATTTTTTCGAGCGACGACTTACAGAAAACGAGACGGAAGTTAGCTTTTTCAACCGCGAAGCATACGAAAAGTACAGGCTTAATCCAGAAGTGAGTTGCCTTCACGGTGAGGCCTCGATTTCTGTTTCTGATGATACCTCACAGATTCGCTGGGATGTTTCTGGTTAATTAGTACATTTCTTACAATTATTGCTGGTACCTATTAAATGAGATGAAATTGCAGAACAAGATGCAGTGATCTATGGTGCCCCCAGGGTACTAGTCGTACGAATGTGAGCAATGAAAGTGTCCTAAATCCACCACGACCTCATTGGTTCGCGCACTGTACCCGCGGTTCTCCATCGTGATCCTCGTCCATTGCATCATCCGCCATTGCATTCGCTGAACGTGCATCTGGTTCGTCTAAGTCGACCTCTTCCAGATGCACGTTCTTGGGGAAGTGCGGCATCGGGTTACGTGGTGGAAGCGCCTTTTCCAGTAACCCGACTTTGGAAGAATCAATGTTATCCGGAAATTTAACGATGAATTTGACGTAAAGGTCGCCAGGCTCATGGTGCCGTTGAGACGGCATACCTTGGCCGCGGATGACTTTGACTGATTCTGAAGACATGTCAGGATACGATAACCACGTTGAACCATACGATAATCATACCGTTCTTAACAACTTCCCCCGGTATGAACCTGATGAGCAGGGCACGATCGTCGAGGTGTTTGATGGCGACTTCGCCACCACCGAGTGCGGTAAGGAGGTCAATTTCGAGTTCGGTGATGAGGTTGTTCTCTTGGCGCTTGAAGCGGTCATGAGGCTTTTCTTCGACGACGATGACAACGTCTCCAGACTCGGCATTTGGGGATTGATCGCTCTCTCCGCGGAAGGTAATTGTCTGACCGCCCTTCATGCCCTTGTCTATGTGTACCTCGAGTATCTTCTTTTCCGGAAGGACTTTTTTACCCTTGCACTGACTGCACCGATCTTTCGGGTTTATAACCTCCCCGGTACCATTACAATCGTCGCAGGAGGACTGTATCTGCTGGATCATAGGGCCCATCTGGCGAAGTGTGAGCTTGACGCCACGCCCGCCGCACCCACCACAGGGCCGGACTGCGCCTTCCTTGCCGCCTTTACCACCACACTTTGAGCATAGAATGTTGCGGGTTAGTGCGAGTTTGGTGGTCTTTCCACGATAAAGATCTTCGAGAGATACATGGACACGATGGACGAGATCTTTAGTTTTACGGACTTGATTTCTGCTGCCGCCACCGCCGAAGAAGCCGCCACCACCAAAGAGTTGACTGAAAAGATCCTGAGGGGGATAGTAAGGAGATGGGTACCAAGAGCGATGAGATCGATGTCCATACCTGTGGATCCATACCTCCCATGCCACCCTGCTCGGAAAGACCAGCTTCACCTCGGGAATCATATATTCTACGTTTATCTGAGTCCGACAGAATCTCGTACCTAAGTGAATGGTGAGGGGCGGATAACCATAAGGTAGGAGATGGCATACGCATGTGTCACCTCCTTGAAGAGTTCTGGATCGCCACCTTTATCGGGATGTAGTCTGAGGGCTCTAAGGAGGTTGCGAGAGTTGGGCGGACTTGCAATCGCTGTACAAAACGACTTACTTTTTTCTGTAGGCCTTCTTGAGGTCACTCTCGGAAGCATCGACAGGTACCTCGAGGAGGTCATAATATTTGCTAGATTGCCGAATAAGTCGATAGCGAGTCGGTGGACAAGCCTTTGTTGTTACTCACGTTTCCTTTACCATGGTGGTGAGTGCTGGACTACCGGGAAAGGACTGAGGGCAAGCGAATGACACTGGATGGCCGACCTCGGAGGGTTTTTTGAAGGGACGCCGGTCGTCAAAAGCTGTGGAAGGCCGACGAAAATGCCAGAATGTTCTGCATTGCCTTGACTTATCCCTATTTGGATCTAATACAAAACCCCTAACCACTCCTATCTACTGTGCACTGCTCACATCAGGGTACACGTCGAAACGCCTCTGTGTAGTTACAGGAATGCCTGCCCTCGCATCATACAATACCGTCGGGTCTGTACAGTTGCACTTGGTTAGTGGTCGCACATGCACGGCGCTCCCTTACCAATCGATACCTGGACGACGCTCTCGCCCTCTTCTGCTTCAGCTAGTATCTTGCCACTGAACATTCGCTCTTCAGCTACTTCTGATTCAGGGACAATCGCAAGCAACACTCACAAGGGATCCACAACCATAGAATGTCCCCACTATCCCATTTGTCAAAAAGAGATGTGGCCGCGTTTGATTACCGCAACTCACCGCGTGGTAGCGTGCACTCATGTCTCGCGCCGGGCTGCACATGGCGAAGAAAACTTGGTTATCGACCGCTCTGCATGCGTAACATGAATCCTCACAAAACCTCTTGCGGAGAAGCTCTCTCATACCGTGCACGTTGAAGTAGGCTCCAGTGAAGTGGCCCCGTCGTCAGGTTGAAAGCCCCGGGGTAAATAAGCATATGACATCCTATGCAATGACATCAGTCCCACATCGAGCGTTTCAAATGAGTCCAACCTCTCCGTGCGGATATCATGGCTAGCTCTGGAAATCTAACATCATGGCATATGCCGAGACCGATGCGTGCAAATTCTGGTCCTCAATTAGCCTGAACAGATCGGGTAGAGAGACTTGGAACCACCAGTATCAAAGAAGTTCATAGAAGAACCCCCCGAGATCATTTTGCTTTCCTGAAAGAAGGATCATTAGCGTGCGTCGTGGCGAGATCTCGCACAGCTACTTTGAGCGTTATCTTCCCTGGAATATCGATGTCGAAGAGATGAACTTTGCGGTGCATCGCTACTAGTGCACCTGGCAAAATATCGCAAGTAAGAGTCGGCGCAACGAACACCGAGATGAACTTGCCAGTTGGTGAATATACGGTACATGTCTTGTAAAATTTGTTGTCTGCATCTCCTTCCGGGATGGAACCTCAACGATAAGCTGAGTGGGATGCAGCAAAAACCCTTGTATGAAACCTACCTCCGACCAACCAGATATTGGCCTCCTTGGCGGCAGAAGAAAGCATCCTCACACTTTCACTCTGACACGTCTGGACCTCGATGTCATCTGCTTTAGTAAACCCGATGGTCTCTGCGTACTTTGAGACACGACCATAGGGCGAATTGAAACACTCCTGAGAGACTGCATCAGGAAGCAGGGCTGTGAGACGGTGGACGTACACACTGGTAATACGACAAGCGACGGCTTGGAACCAGCAGACCCGTCTCCTCCTGCCACCTTCAATACCATCTCATAGGCATGCTTTAGGTTGGCCGACTTGTCTGGTCCGATACTCCCGAGTTGGATCAGAGCAAGTTTAAACGGCTTGAAGGAGGGTGCAGTCGACATTCGACATTTCTGAAAAGGGTTTGGGAAGAAAGTACCGGGCGCTACAGTATGACTGAGATGGCGCATGAAGAGCATCCTGGGACCTAATTGGCCGTTGCTCCTTATCTAACTTGCTCTTTGAAGGCCTCCGTCAAGGTGACGTCTGTGCGCAATGGAGCAGTCTCTACAGAGAGATCTGGACAGGAATTCTTCAAGAACCATGTCCTTCCTCTCCGCGACAGTAACGGACCAACGTAGTATCGCCACAAGGTGAACCGAATAGAATCAAGCTTCGACTCGTCGAGGCGGGCTGTTAGCCTGTTCGACCCACTTCGATACTTAACAACGAAGTGTAATGGGGTGAGTTCACGAGGGATTACAAACTCACCCCGAGAACACATGAGCGATGCACGTCTTGACCTAGTGTTGCCGCACGAACCGAACTCAGTTCAAGGTAGATCGAAGTGCACCTCCCGAAGTGGTAATTTGACCCACTTCGACTCGTCCGAACTGGGACGAAGTACTAGTAGTGGCCAGTTCTGGATTTCGTGTAGAGGGATGCCACCAGGCCTTTGCGTGCAGTGCACGGAGGACAGGACCAAAGACACTAGGCACAAGGTTCTGCATTGCTCCTATTTGGATCTAAATTCTAATACATAAAACCCCAATCGCTCCTATTGCGCATTGTTCACATCAGGGTACACGTCGAAACGCCTCTGTGTAGTTACAGGAATGCCTGCCCTCGCATCATACAATACCGTCGGGTCTGTACAGTTGCACTTGGTTAGTGGTCGCACATGCACGGCGCTCCCTTACCAATCGATACCTGGACGACGCTCTCGCCCACTTCTGCTTCAGCTAGTATCTTGCCACTGAACATTCGCTCTTCAGCTACTTCTGATTCAGGGACAATCGCAAGCAACACTCACAAGGGATCCACAACCATAGAATGTCCCCACTATCCCATTTGTCAAAAAGGGAGGTCGTGTTTAATTACCGGGACTTACGGCGTGGTAGCCTGCATTCATATCACGAGCCGGGCTGCACATGGCAAAGAAAACTTGGTTGTCGACCGCCCTGCATGCAAGTCGTGAATCCACGCAAAGGTTTCTCAGATTCTTCCGTACCGTGCACGTTGAAGTAAGCTCCAGTGAAGTGGCCCCGTGGTCAGGTTGAAAGCCCCGGGGTAAATAAGCACATGACATCCTACGAACGACATCGGTCTTGCATCGAGCATTTCACAATGACGCCAAACCTTTTCGTGCGGATATCATAGCTAGCTCTGGAAATCTGACATCATAACATATACCGAGACCAATGCGTGCAAATTCTGGTCCTCGATTAGCCCCAAGGGACTTGGTAAGAAAGCTTGGATGATTACCGGTATCAAAAAAGTTCAATGAAGAACCGCCCGTGAGTGTTTCGCTCTCCTGATAGGAAGATCGTTAGCGTGCATCGAGATGAGATCCGGCAAGGCTACTTTAAACGTTATTTTCCCTGGAATATCGATGTCGAACAGATGGACTTTGCGGTGTGTTGCTACCAGTGCACCTGACAAAATATCATAAGTAAGGGTCAGCACGACGAGCTGCGAGAATGAACTTGCCGGTCGGTGAATATACAGTACATGTGTTGTATAATCTCTGATCGGATGCATCTCTTTCCGGGATGGAACCTCAACGGTAAACTGAGTGGGATGCAGTAAAGACCCTTGTATGAAACCTACCTCCGACCAACCAGACATTAGCCTCCCTGGCAGTAGAAGAAAGCATCTTCACGCTTTCACTCTTACATGTCTGGACCTCGATGTCATCTGCTTTGGTGAACCCAATTGTCTCCGCGTAGGTTGGGAAATGTGCATGACCATAAGGCGAATTGAAACATTCCTAAGAGACTGCGTCAGGAAGCAGGGATGGGAGATGGGAGATATATATACTGGCAGGACGACAAGCGACGGCTTGGAACCAGCAGACCCGTCTCCTTCCGCTGCCTTCAGTATCATCTCACGCGCATGCTTTAGGTTGGCCGACTTGTCTGGTCCGACACCCCCAAGTTGGATCAGGGCTAGTTTAAACGGCTTGAAGGAGGGAGCGGTCGACATTCGATATCTCTGGAATGGGTTTGGAAAGAATATGCCAGGCGCCGCAGTACTGAGACGGCGCATAAAGAACATCCTGGGACCCAATCAGCCACTGCTTCTTATCTGATCTTGAAGGGCTTCTCAAGTCTCTGTCGAGGTGATGTCTGTGCGCAATGGAGGTGACTGCTCGTCTGATACAAATGATAGTTTCCACAGTCCATGTCCGCTGCAGTCCTCGTACTGTACAATCCAGTCTCTGGAGACAGCACTGCAAAGGAATTCTTCCAGAACCATGTCCTTCCACGCCTCGACAGTAGTGGCATAGAGCCTTCGGCCATCGTGGCTACGGAACACGCTGGTCATGCGGGCACCGTTGTCACCGACTTCCTTCAAAAACATCGAGGGGAAGTCGTCGTCGTCCTTGGCTCCGGAGACGGTACGCTTCACGAGGTCGTAAATGCGCTGTCAGGCCATGTATTCGACACCGCTCGTACAATAACCTTCGCCCTTGTTCCATGCGGAACCGCCAATGCGCTATTCTCATCCCTCTTCCCGCCCACTTCAGAAAGCCCCGCTGTCGCGCACAAACTATTATCTTTGGATGCTTTTATCGCTCGTTCAAAGCCAAAGCCGCTGACCTTGGCACGAACTACTCTTTATGAGGGACCCACCCAACAGATCCCCTGTCACAGCACTATTTCGGTTGTCGTCACGTCTGCAGCACTCCATGCTTCCATACTGGAAGATTCGGAACTGCTGCGCAAAGAAATTCCTGGCATAGAGCGCTTCAAAGTCGCAGCCCAGCAGAATATAGCTCGATGGTACCAGAGTCGGGTCAAACTCTTCCCCTTGTCGTCGACTGGTGTCGTTCAAGTCTACGACGCCAATATGAAAGCACTCGTGCCTCACAAAGGTCCATTAGACTTGTCTGGCCCGTTTGCGTATTTCTTATCGACGGTCAACGTGGATCGCCTGGAACCTGCATTCCGTATTACTCCTCAGTTCTCAACAGAACCGCCACAGGGTGCATCACTAGATGTTGTGGTCGTTCGACCACAGCGTGATCCAGTGTTCAGGTCTGATACCCCTCAAACAAGAGAGGCATTTGCGGCGAAGGCATACGCCGTTCTCATGGCAGCTTATCAAGACGGTAATCACATACGTTTGAGGTACAAGGAAAGTGGGGATATCTGCGAGGATAGCGATGGACCAACAGTGGTGGAGTATTTCCGTTGCGGTAGTTGGGAGTGGATACCCGTCAGTTTCTCTACTCCATTGGTTGGCATCAGACTCAAGCCAGTTTAGCGGGAAGTGGATGAGAAGGCCCGCCTTGTCTGCTCAGATGGTTCGATTCTCAAGATAGCCGAAGGAAGGCAAGGCTTTCTGTGAGGCGACTGAGCCCCAAAACCTTCTGGTATATGGCTAAGCAGACATGTTTTCTATCTGAGCGTACTTGCTCCACAAGAAGAGGGTATAGACATCAAGACAAGAGCTTCCTAATGATCCCACTCGTCTCTTCATAGACCTTATCTATGGGTCTTGTACTATCAATCTATGAGAGCAGTGAAAGGCGGCGAGTCGTGAATCTCGAAGACTGGCACACATACCTCCACTAGTTTGCCGAGTTTGGAATAGTGCTCGATGACCGGCATGGTTTGATCGTAGTACGTCCCTTCGGAACAGCAAGATTACCAATGAACACGTTGGTGGGAAGTATACCTACTGAAGCGCTTTCGGATGCTTTCGATGTTGTCGTCCTCGCGTCCACTGGTCTTTCCGCGTTCCAGAAGGCGCTCAACCATCACATCCTCGGTTGTCGTGAAGTGTATGACGAGGGATGCAGGACAGACCTGGCACGATGAGATGTTTACGAGGACGTGTTAATACTGTCGATTGTCGACATACCACTTCATCGAATAGCTCAGCTTGGTCCATCTTGCGAGGAAAACCATCGATTAGAAAGCGACCCTTGCCGTTAGGCCACCTGTGACTAGATCGGCTTTGGATCTCAGCAGCCATGGCATTCTCGAGAAGCTTGCTGGTGACCTCCTTGGGCACGATGGTGCCTTCACGAATGCACGTTCGAATCAATACCCCGTACTGAGAGCCATCTCTATTCTGTTCGGCGCGGAGGAGGTCTCCCGCTACGATGATAACAACGATGACGTTGGTGACATCGAGTTAGTTTGAGGGAGTAAATACCATTCACCTGACAGGTGGCAGAAGTCGAAATCTTCAGCGAGCCTTGTGCATTGAGTGCCTTTACCTACAACTGAAGTCGGTCTCGCTGGAACCTTGTGAACGGTGTAAATTACCCGCGCCGGGGCCCCCCAGCACATAAACTACAGTGACCTTGTTGTGGTCGAAGGCCGTAGGACCGTTTGAAGTCATCGGGATCGGTGAGTATGAGAACTGTACGACGATATCGATGGTCCCACGGACCGGCAACTAGTCGGAAGCCAGTCATAAAACATTTATTCACTAACACCACTGCACAAAGTACTCGTTTGAATAATTGTGAACGTCGCGACGGACGGTCTCAGGCTTGACATCATGAACGACGTCTTGCGGTTGAATCACGGTGCAGACGTGTATGTCGTCCGTTCCTGCCATAACGAGGACGGCACCGATCTTCTCGCCTTAGGAGGGGAACATTCAGTCGAAGTTTACCAGATAGTGAGTCGCGATACTCCACGCCGCTCGTCGTGCGTCGGTACATCATAATTGATTACTACAGAGCACTGGTACTACGTCGAGGAGACTCGCAACTTTTCACGTTGGCAACAGGGTCACTGCGCTGGCCTGGTCGCCTCGTTCTGTTTCTCCTAGTCGCAGTGACGAATGGGTAGTCGAGTTTGTTGAGATTCCACTTTCGCGTGCAGGACAAGGATTGACGTGCTATGTCCAGGATTGCGGCGGCTGGGATTGACTTCGGTCTACACCTCTTGACCAAAAGTTCCTCTTCTGCAGAGACCACGTTTCAATTTGGGGGTGGCCTCAGTGGTCACCATGGGATGGTCAACGATATGTGTTTTTGTGGAGGTCGCGACGAAGATAACATGCGATACGTCGCCACTGTTTCGGGTAACCTATCCTCGCCTTCCCTGTCGTATTGCTCACTAATATGGAACGCAAGATGACAAGATGCTCATGGTGTGGGACCTAATTCCTCCACTGGATATCTCTTCTGCGATGCCTTCGGAGGGATCGTCTGCCAATGATGATTCGTCCTCGCCCAGTCCTCGTCCTCAACCCACAGCCTATGCCATCGCATTCCCTCACCCTCTAACCACGGTCGATTCACATCCTCATAGTAGTAAAGAGTTTCTTGTGGCAGATTGTCGTGGCTCTGTGTATTTAACAGACTGGAGGACCGATCCAAATCAAACAGAGCAAGGCACTTGGAGACATTCCATCGTTGCTGAGCTTACAGAACCGCGGGCCATTTCGAATTCGTTGATGGGAACGTCATCGCAGGGAAGCGGGTTCGCAGCCTGGAGACGCGACAGTGCTGATATGTAGGCAGTTCGTATCGCTGCTATTTCTTTGCGGATGACGATTATCCTCTCGACATAGTGTAGGTGTCTCCTGCGGCCCAAGGTTTGCTATCTGGGATCTATCGAAACTTCGTGGAGGCAAGCCTTTGCATGTCGGAACCAGTTTCCCTGATGGTGGATACACCTTCCGGTTTGTCTTTCTCCTTGGTTGGTCAATCATGGGTACCCAGGTCTTTGCTGTAGGTGGTGTCTGACGAACCCGGACTATTTTGCAATCTCTGCTTATTCAAATGCAAGAGGAGCCGTCATTCATGTCCACAATGTTGGATACGTGCACGCACAGCCTAGTGTTATTAATATTGCGCCTCCACCACATCGCATCCGTGATTTCGACTTCATGGCGGCTTGCGCCCAGCCAGTTTTAGCGGTGGCGCTCGGTCATGAAGTGGCAATATTTGCTATCGGAAATGACCGTTAGGGCACACACCCATCCCGACCGCAGGGCAGGCAGGACTGCATCGCAGAGGGCCAGGGGTCTGTCGGGTACCATAGATGTATTCTACACAGATGCTACAAACAGCTTTCAGTTGCCTACAAAATCATTCTGCGGAAGGATTTGTGTATGTGGATAGGTATACTGAGTATAATGCCCATTCATGCTGTCAGTGTATGACGGATTACGGAACTGCTCATTCGGGGGAACTGCGACGCTTTCATCAAGCCCAAGGTGGAACAGCATCATCCGGTAGTAGTTGTCGTCAGCGGTTGTGTAGTTAATCATGTTCATATTGGACACGGCCGGTGCAGGTCCACCTCTGTTGCTTGTGACGAAAGGAATACTCGCGCCGTTGGGTTGATCTCTTTGAGGATACGGCTCTTGCGTGCCACGTACTGGGTAATAAACCTGTAGATCATCAGGCGGCGATGTCGGCGGCTGAGCCGCTACTGTAGTAGGCCCTATTCAATCGAAGTTTGCAACAAAGGCTGATACAATCAATGACAGGCATACTTTGAATAGTAGGGTCTAAATGGACGTCTTGCTGAGTCCGCTCTTGGGAAGCACTTGACCGTGTGCGGTGCACACGAATCAGGTGCCATAAAAAACGCGCATGATAGCTTGCGGTTGATGAAGTCGGGGAGAGCTGAGCAGCTGCGTTGTATGCTTCTGCGGTCCGAGCTATTGTGTCGTAGATATCATTAGCAGCGCCATCAGGTAACTCGTTGCTAGAACTTCGGAGAAGCTGCTAATGCGCTCAGCTACATCCTACCCGTGCTATGGGTGACTCACTCTCAACAACATTATGGCGGAGTATGCTGTCATTACTGTCGCGGTTTCTTGTCCATATTGCTTTAAGGACAAACGATGGTTGGTGTGCTAACAAAGCAACAGGGTTTGCTCATGCGTACCAGAACCCCGAGTTCTCTGAAATCCTTGGAAGCAATACGGAGAACGCTCATTGCATGATCAAAACACGCCGATAGAGCTCTCGAATGATTACTTTTACGGTTCGCCTGGTGCAGACGGGCTCAACACCTCAGATTCACGGAAAGAAGACGAGTTACCTACTTGAGGGACATTGTCCTGTACACCGAAACTATTCAAAAAGAGGGATGTATAGAGCTGAAAGAAATGGATAAAGGAGAAGTGAAATGGTTCGCCATTCGCTGCACGGCGGGTTAACCGAGAGTTACTATATGCCTTGAGATGTGAGACTCCCCTACCTTTCTGCATTTCACGTTCCCATTTCAACCACCATTGCGAAAGCTTGTAATTTGCGGTGTTTAGCGCCGCGTCGATGTCCACTTGTCCATTGCCACCACTGTTGAGGCTTCTACCAGTGAGTTTGTCGGTCGTCTCAGCCTAACACCGTGCTTAACTTCCAATCTACAGAATCATTAGGTTGTACCCACCGCTGTTCGACGAAGTTGAGCAAAGGCAGCCACCACAACGTCATGGCAACGAGTGGATGCACTACCATGCAGGTGCCAGGTATCCGAATGCCTTATAAGCTCGTCCTGCCAGGGCATGTCATGATAAAGGTAAGCAAGAGGGGAAATGGTCACACCTCGGGGAGCATCCAATGACGGCCTGTCTGTATACTAAGACTTCGATCATGGATGAATAGGACAAGATACGTTCGCTCGCGGTTTCTTCGCTCCCTTAGCTGGAATTCCGTTTCGTTCGGGGGAGGTTTCGCAACGAAGCGATTGAGACCAAGCTCGACAGCCATGCGACAAGCCTTGCCATTCACACATCAGTACTTAGTCGGGTTCTTGACACACTGCTCACGTAACCAATATACGTCCACGTGCACTGCAGGAATGTGGTATGTCAGCCAGGCCCCGAGTAAAGTAAGGGCGACTCACATTGTCTTCTTGTTCTCTCCAGTAGGTCATACATGCGAATGCCTGGACCACCTCGACTCCTTTCCATGCTTTCGAGAATGCACAAAGAGCCAGTTCGTGAGCGAGGCGAAGGCAATCCTTGTAAAGGTTCGGTTCGAAAAATTTGCAGCCAGCCATCATCAGAGCAGTGAACAGGAATGGGGATTTGGATCTAACGTAGTCGACAGAGTGCAATGCCGGGTCGAATAGGTTGATGAATGGATTGAGACGCAACATGATGAGGTCGAAAATGATTCGTGCCTTTTCTTCGGTGATAAGTCCTGTTGTTATTGGGTCATCACATCCATCGAGAAGCGATGAAGGACGCGACTGCTGGTGGTTGGGATCATTTCCAGCTTGGAGCAGTATGGCGGTGTGGTAGGGGGACTTGTGCTCTGGGTTGAGTATGGTTTTGAAGAAAGAGTTTTCCCTGCGAATCATTTTAGCAGGGAACTTCTCGTCGGACCGATCGCCGTCTTCCTCTTCGTCACCGTCGGGGGGACACTTTGCTAAACAGGACAATGTTTGCGAGCAATGTCATGGAGGATGAGCTATGGAGGTACCTGACGAGCCATATTGATCGGGACGGACCACTGAGCCGCCGAAAGAAGAATCAGTTTGGGGTGAGCGGGAGTCGACGGTGTAAACAGGGGTGGTGGGCGTCTCGTTAATTTGCTTAAGCTTCGCAGCGTTCAGTCCCTTTTCGAGACGTCGCAACATCTTGGATGCTTCGGACAACCTGCACAAAAATGAGAGAGAGTAGGGTGGTATGTTGTCACAAAGGCCTTACTTCGAACCTGGTTTGCGGCCCCGTCGATGTTTTTCGAACACACATCTAGATATGTGTTTTGATAAGAAAATATTGCTAGAACTATCGGGTAATGCATACTCTGAGTTTGTCCTTCTGCATCGCTGGCAGGGTTTTTCACCGTCTTCTGCTCCGACGCATTTCATCTGGGAAAAAGTGAGCATAGACACATGCAGCGGCGGTGTATGCCACCTTGGCAGCCCGACACACAGTGCAAGCTCTAGCATTGCGTACAACTGGTTGTTTTGATCTGCGATACATGAGGCTGTCCAAAATACGCGTGGCAGAAAGCAATGTCCTAGTGGACTCACGATGACTTAGAGTGTTCGTCAAAGCCCTCTGAGGAGGTTTGCATTGCCGGGGACCTGGGGTTTTAACAGGGGCGGTTATCAACGTCAACGGTGACTCGGCGTCAGTTTATCGACCGGGGAAGATCGGTTAATTAAGAGTTAAAGTCGATGCGGGGTTCCGGCAGGGAACTCAGCAGCCGAGCAGCAGACCTCGCGAACACAGGCGAGGGGGATATGGAATGGAAGCTGGTATAGCTGGGCGACAAGCTGGAAGACGAGCGTTGGTATCGATGAGAGGGAGAGAGATGGGGGAAAGAGCCTTAGCAGCGGGATCCGTTGCAAATAAAGCCGGGCGGCAAAAGAACCTCCATAGGTTGCCGTCTTCGGCAACTACGGCAATCAATTGGATGTCCGACCTCAAGCCGCTCATTTCCAGAAAAGGTATCTGCATCCATTTGCTTCCGTGCGACCGGAAGCACCTTGTGAGCACCAGCACCACTCAGGACAGTCCTTCGCTACTATTCCAGCGGCGGACAGGAGAGGGAGAGTCCATTTACCAATCAGACTCTGTGGAAATGAAATCAGAAAACGTTGCTCGAACTTGGCCTAGCAGGATCGTAAGTAAAATTGACTCATTAATCAGCTTCCTGTTCTCCCACGTCCGTGAACGTCGTGCAGATGGCTGTGACATGTGTGATTTGTCACGCCAGCACCATCATGTAAGCGGTATTACTAATCTGGTTAGTCGTTATCTGGTCAAGGTTCACTGGTACAGAATCGACCCCAGTCGCAGCTGCGGGTGCTGGTGACAATTCGCATGGGCGAGTTCAAATCGCCGACTACTCGACCACCAGTTCACCATCGCTGCGATCTATGGGTGACCCTGGTGGGTCAGCCGTCATCGATCATCCCAGCCTCGTGGATAGTCCCCTTTGTGGTATGAATTCAGGTTCACGTCAACAGTCTGCCTAGCCTCCCAGGCTTCTCCACCATGTCTCCACTGTCTCCTGCACCGCTGGCGCACCCGAGCGCAGGCAGTCACTTGGTGCTCCCTCACTATTTCGCTACCTCTAGCAGCCTTTCGACTACCGTTCTTACACCAGCTTCTACCGCAGTCTGCGGGACCTCTGCCGGACTGTTTGTTGCCGTCGTCGCACTGCTCAGTTGGAAATGGAGATGCTGGGACCAAGGTGCGCCTCGAGAACAACCTCGTCACGTCAGTTTTACGCACGTTAGCGTTTGAGCTATCGAATGCTAATGTCGTCGAATAGCGCAGGGTCCTGACCAAAAAAGCAAAACCGCCCTCTTCTGAGGCGGAGATGGCGTCGGCATCGAGTGCCACGACCAACACATGTCGGCCCATTGTTACAGACGCAGCTACTACCGATAAGGACCAGAGTGTAGATGCAGCAACAGTGATTCATCCAACTTTGCCTGTCGCATCAAGACCCACCTCGCTCCAAATATTACCACCAAGACCCCTCAGAAGTGCAAGCTCGTATGGAGTCAAGATTTCCTCCCGCTGTCCATCTACACAGAGGTCTCTCATACAAAGCATCGACTATTACTTCTTCATCGGTTTACTCGACACAAAGCGGAGAGGAACATCAGGTCCAGGTACCTCCGTCAGTTATCGTTGCAGCTCTTGGTCCACACCTGGAGCAAGGCCTCTCAGCTGATTACCAGGGCCTAGCCTTGACGCGTCGCCCAACCTACGGGAGTAGCCAACTGGCAGCAATCTCCAAAACGCCAAATGAAGCAGGCCTCTCCCCGCAGATGAACCGCTTGTCGCATCTCAGTGCTGAATCTTTATATCTCAATATGCAGCTTGTGGATCCAGCTTTGATGACGGTTCCGATTGGACTTGCCTACGGTGGGGAATAGGACTGTTACTGACACATACTTGTACGATATATGCAACGCATTCAGGACACTTGACAGAAGCATTTAGTACTGCCACAGGTGCTTCATTATTCGGGGCTTACTTCCCTATTTACACACCTAGCGCAGTGGACTGTATTTGACGAAAGTGCTCAAGCATAGATTTGTAGCCAATGAAAATGGTCGTTCCTCTTACTCATTGCATATCCAGCCTCGCGTCCAACGATTGTACAACAGAAGCCAGTTTCTAGCTGAAGACCTGCCGAATGAATAGCGCAGTTCACGCACCCCGACCGCCTCGAAAACTTGCACGTGAACCCCACCCTCCTCCACGACCGCCCGAGTTGCCCCTGAAACCCCCGCGGTGAACACCTCTCGTGTTGGGCATACCTCTGCCGCGACCTCTGCCACGCTGAGGTCCTCCTCGCATAGCATTGCCTCCTCGCCCACGGCGGCCGACTCCTGGTCCGGTCCCCCTGGTCCTTCCTGCAAACAATGAATGTCGATACGCCAGGAGCTGCTTGATGTGCCATACCTATAACTTTCGGTTTGGGAAGAAAACGCTCGACGGGAAGTAGTTTGTCGCTTCCAATGTAGACTTTGTCGCCCTTTTTAAAACTACTTGCGATCATGCCTTCATTCATTTTGATGGAAAAGTACACCTCGTTGATGGGGCCAAGTATTTCGTCGACCTTGCCGATAGCTGATTTATTTTGCAGGTAAATGGGAGCATTGAAGTAAGGGACTTTGTCAGGTATCAGAGAAGCGCAGAGCATCTCATCCTCCACCGCATGCATAAAAGAGCCTACTTCTACTCGCAAACGTCGGTCAGAAAGCCACTCCGAGTATCAGATTCACTTGCCCAGAACTGTCTCTGGTGGGCCCTGTGGACCCCCACCGCGCCCAAAACCTCTCCCACCCCGTGCAGCACCTCTTGAGTACCCCCGATTCATTATGCGTGAGGTTGAAGATCGTCGCTTATGTAATCCCACACTCCGAGAGAATCACATCACATCTACTCACCAGCCTCACTGGCTGTCTTGCATCGGCATGAGCCTCTTCTTCAGCAAGCCTATCACAGTGAAAGTGGAAACCCTACCGGAGGATCCGCAAACTCCGGGAGCGGTTTTTCTTGGACAAGACGTCTGGTCTTCCTTGTACTTGGGCGATTCGAAAGCGGCGATATGGATTAGACCGACCAGCGGTGGTGTCAGCAAGAAACAGGCTCAGGGTCTACTGTGTTGGGCTACTTGCGATCCAAAGGTGAGGATTCAACCTGTCCCTCGTCAGGATGTTCGTCTCATTCAGATACAAGGTGTCGAGCCTCGCGGTTGGGCCGTCCTGGTTTTTAAGAAACTCGGGTATTTTCCAGCCACCCCAGACGCATGCCGGTGCAACTGTTGCAGCATGCGTGGAGGTCACAAAGGCAGAGCATGGGACCTTGCAAGAAGTTGTTTTGTCTGCATCGACTCACGAAGCGTTCATGGTAGCGTCATCGGAGGGCCCAGCGCTTGAAAACTGGTTTTTCGAGCAGTCTACAATCATTCACGATGGCGAGGACATTTCTCTTCCGCTTTCCGCGTTCTCCGCTAGTGGCTCGTCGCCAGGCGGACCACCGTTCTACTCTTATCAGGTATATCTTACTCTACCTGGACGGCAAGGTATTGCGACGCGGGGGGTTACACGTATAATGGTAATTGCCCCGCGGACCGACCCTGTTGTGGAAACCAAATCGCTTTCCGGCCAGGACAGTTGGCAAGAAAATTTGGAGATTAGTGAATCGTTTCTGGTTTCGTCGACATTGGCTGCGCCCCCAACAACGTTACGCGATGCTGGTGAGCAAGGTGCAAGGTCAGGAGGGCTTGGCTATGGTTATCTTAAGATTTTTCGTCACAGATCCTCCCGGAGTGACTTTTTTTGTCAAGCCTTTACCAAGTCCTGTCAATCCGCAGCTGGATGACCTCTCCATTTACATTCGTACCAGTGATTTGCGCCTCCTTGGGGTTTTGACTCGTGACTGGGTATGGATCATGTTTTATTGTCGTTGTCGTCCCTTGACCAGTGACTAGGCACTCGTACAACATGTTGTGTCAGGCACAAGTCGAATGGTCCGTGTCTGCGCTCTAGACGGGATGGAGTCTGCACAGTAAGCCTCCGACAATCTCTTTTGTGATGCTCGATTGATTTGGCCTCAGGCATTTCGCAATGTTGTCGCCCTCCATGCTGTTTAACCTGTGCCCATCGTTTTCTGATCACACTGTCGTTCGTGTGTTTCCATTGGGAAGTGAGCCCCTCGTTGTCCCAGTTGCGAAGTGCATATCTCTCTCCCGCATACTGTCCCCGCTTTCCAACAGCCGGAAGTATGAGCCGTCCTATATCGCTGCTTTACGATCGTATTTCACCGCGTCCCGGAGACTAGTAAAACAGGGCGACATCATTGTATTGTCTATTAATGTAGATTCTGCCCTGGATCCGTACTGGGTGTTACCCGAGAATCAGTACGTGCCCGTCGTCGTTCGTTGGACTTGCCGTTGAAAGTCTGCTCTAGTCATGGTCCTTGTCATCTTGCAAGCGCGCTGGTGTATTTCGTCGTCCGGTCTATGGAATATGACCCCATTAAATCCGGGGTGGCTCAGCTTCATGGCAAGGACGTGCCGACCCCCGCTACACTTGATATTGGTTGCTTTGTGGATGTAGAGGGCACACGCATTGTGCAAGTTGGCGCCCACTCTAGCCGTATTCCGGATATGTGTCATTACCTTGGGATTGGTCGGTTTTTCCCCTCGTTTCACCCAATGGTCTGACGAGCTACCTAGGTCAACCTATATACTCCGACCCTAGCAAGACTGACCAACTTTCTCAGTTGTCAAATGCAAGTTCCCTTGGAGAAGCCATCAAATCAATACATCCGTCTATTCTCTTAAAAGGCGCACGAGGAGCTGGCAAGTTCTCTGCTGCCATGGATGTCGCTCGGAAGCTAGGCTTACATGTCGTAGAAGTTGGTGCCTCATTTCTGTCTGTCTCATTTATTGATCGTGGTTCTAGGTCAATTGCTATGAACTTTTATCGGAAGGTGAACCTGGAGTGGAGAGCCTACAGGCGTGGCTAGGGGGTGCTCTTGACCATTCACCATGTGTAATCATCATACGTCACTTCCATGCTCTGCATCAGTTAGTCCATAGGATGGGAGAAGGTGTGCACAGATGGGTCTTTGATTACATTTAATACTTATGCATTTTTGCAGGTGGGGCTTTGTGGCAACCCTTGCAGAAGGTCATGGACAGTGTGTCAAACCAAGCTATTGTAATTGCTACAACGAGTGACATGGCTGTCGCGCCTGGCAGTGTTTCTTTTGTCAGTGAGATGGAGGGGGAGGTAGGGCTTCATGTGTCTGATGAGAATATGGCTCATTACTTTACCTCCAGGCCCTTGATGAACATGCAAGGCTCAACTTACTGCTGGAGCAACTAGATGATGATAGGTTGATCCATGTTCTTGGACAGGATGTATCTATCACATCTCTTGCAATTCAGATGGCTGCAGTGGTTGCATCTGACATTGTCCACCTAGTGTTTCGAACTAGAATCCTTTCTGTGGCCAGGTTAGTTCCTTGTGTTCTACCTGAGATATAGGGTTGACTCTTTATTTGTACAGCACTTCATGCATGATGACAGAAACAGTCTTGCAGGCTGGGCACTTTGAAACTGTACTACATAGATTGAGGGCATCCTCAGCCCAGAGTATGGGTATGCCAAGTATTCCAAGTGTGCGATGGGATGATGTAGGTGGACTTGCTGGTGTTAAAACTGAGATTCTTGATACAGTTCAACTGCCTTTGGATCATCCTGAGCTGTTTGAGCAGGGACTTAAGAAGAGATCAGGTATCTCATACTTTTTTTCAGTGTTCCTCATTTACATATTTTTTAGGTGTTTTGCTTTATGGCCCTCCAGGAACTGGAAAAACCTTGCTTGCCAAGGCAGTGGCAACATCTTGTTCACTGAACTTCTTATCTATTAAGGGACCTGAACTTCTGAATATGTACATTGGTGAATCAGAAGCCAATGTTAGGAGGGTTTTTCAAAAAGCCAGAGATGCCAGGCCATGTATCATCTTCTTTGATGAACTGGATTCAGTGGCACCCAAGAGAGGCAATCAAGGGGATTCGGGAGGTGTTATGGATCGCATTGTTAGCCAGCTGCTGGCAGAATTGGATGGGATAGGTACTGGAGAGGCAGATGTGTTTGTGATTGGTGCAACCAATCGACCTGATCTGCTGGATTCAGCATTGCTTCGTCCTGGGAGGTATTATCTATTTTTTGATGTCCTTACCCTTATTGAAATGTGCTGGATAGATTTGACAGGATGATTTATTTGGGTGTCAGCAGTGATCATAATGCACAGCTGGCAATATTGCAGGCATTGACTCGCAAATTCAAGCTGCATGCTGACATGGACCTTTATGCCATTGCTTGTCAATGTCAAATGACTTATACAGGAGCAGATTTTTATGCCTTGTGTGCAGATGCAATGCTGCAAGCCCTGTCAAGGAAAGTTCAAGTGCTGGAGGACAAACGAGGTAAGATTTTTCTGCATCTGAATATGACAGTTAGATGTGATGCCTTGAACAGCCTACCTGAATGCTCTGCAATGCTCTCAAATTTCCTCTCAGTTCTACATCTCAGAAATGGTGTCTGCAGGAGACATGGAGGTTAATATTTCCATGGAGGATTTTATGGTTGCCTTACAGGAGTTAACACCAAGCATCAGTGAAGAGGAGCTGGATTATTACATTAATATTCAGAGCAGGTTGCATTCAGGAGATTAACACATATCTGGTTCCTAGTTCTAGAAATGTTTGAGTGACTTTGTCCTGATGTTGATAGAAACTGTCAAGTCCACAGTCCAATGATCTCCAATGTTGCACAGCTCAGAAGAGCTGAATAGAATGAGATTGATGTGTGTCTGTGTCACATACATGACTCCTGGACTCAAGCCCAGTACAGTCTAGACTCACAGCCCCTACCTCTGGCCACACCAGGGTTAGGTTACCTCCTATCTGGTGTAAGGTTGTAGGACTCTTTTGGTATCACCAGTGAACACAACCAAAGTATGGTATTCACAGTGAAGGAAAAAAGAGTAGTTTACATGTGAAATCTATGCAACCTACAGTGGCTCAAAAAACTGTCCACATGTTTCACACTAGTTATGACTAAATGCAATAACCCCTAACCCTAGTCCTAAACCATGAGTGTATGAAATAAAGTACTTACTCTTGGCTTTCTATGGGTCCAAGAATTAAATGATTTGGATAGGAATTGATAGAATAGCAACCATTTGAATATGACATGTCATGCAGACAGTTTTTTGACTTTATAAAAATCCAACTATCTAGTACTTGGTGTGAGCTCCTTTGGCCTTGATAACTGCTTCAACCCTTCTAGGCATGCTTTCTATCCATTTTCAACCTCTTCCACAGAAATCTTCCCCCACTCCACTACCACCCTTTCCCATAATTGATGAACTCCTGTAGGAGCACTCTCATAACCTGAGAGAGATCTTTTGAGGTGATTCCAAGTGTGTTCAATTGGGTTGAGGTCTGGAGATTGTGCAGGCCAGTCTAGAAGCTTGATATCCTGCTCTTCAAACCATTTCTGGGCTCTGCTAGAGGTATGCTTGGGGTCATTATCTTGTTGAAAGATAATGTCATCTTCTGGAATTCCAGATTCCTCCATGCTTTGAAGCAACCCTTCCTGCAAAATGGCCACATACTGTTCAGCATCCATCCTTCCCTCAACCTCACTCAAGACCCCAACACCATTCCACCCTATATGTCCCCAAACCATGAGTGAACCTCCTCCAAACTTGACTGTACCTTTGACCTCTCTGGAAATAAGCCCTTCATCCTTCTTTTTCCACACATACTCTTGTCCATCTGACCCAATCCTGTTGATTCTGGTCTCATCTGACCATATACAGTGGCTCACAAAATTGTCCCAATGTTTGCATGTTTTTCATTAATCATGGTGTAGCAAGTGAACTATCATCATTGAGTCCAAGGTGTTGGTGGATGGATCAAAGCAGCTGGTCATGGCTCTCTGATGACCCATATTACATAATATCTGAATAGAAACTGATGATGGAATATCCAAATGAAAATGAGAGCTCATTGTGACAATTATGTAACTTTGTGATATACTGGGGATGTAGTCCTTGGGAACATATATAAAACATGGTGAGATGCTCACCAATGCTTACATAATGTATCACATGGTCTACTGAATGATTTGTCAACAAACAAACAATGCCAAACAGTGATTTTGCACCACTAAGCCTCCTTGCTTTAACACAAGTTAAGAAATCACCATTCTGGCTCATCAGGGACTTTCCCTCAGGGAAACCTCAGCAAATGCTGGGGTACACTATAGTATAATCAATAGAATATGCTATCAGCACCATTGATCTCTTCAGAAACCTGCTGGCAGTCATCTCCTGCACTGTTTCCCCACCAATGCCCCATGTATCCTGGAACTAATCAGTACTGTGAGAGCTGAGAATGATGTGGAGGTCCAATCTGGCATTCATTCTATCATAAACAAACCATTCACCAACTAACTAGTACATCTAAGCTGAAGAAAAGCCTGCCTGAAGGCTCAGGTGAAGCACAACCCTCCTGGGCACTCCCAGTACCATGGGAGGGTTGGCCAGACTGTACTCTGAGCTGAACTGGGGATCACTGGGAAGGAGTTATTTGGTCATATAAGACTAAGGGAAATATCCAGTGCCAGATAGAAGGCCAGGAATGTGCAACCTGGCAGCTCAGTAGCATATCCTTCCCATGGTACCTGGAGTGAGAGAGGGTTTAGCTTCCCCCTGACCTCCATACCAGTTTCCCCTTCACAGAAATGCACTAGTTAATGGGTGATTGGTTTGTTTATGATAGAATGAATGCCAGATTGGACCTCCACATCATTCTCAGCTCTCACAGTACTGATTAGTTCCAGGATACATGGGGCATTGGTGGGGAAACAGTGCAGGAGATGACTGCCAGCAGGTTTCTGAAGAGATCAATGGTGCTGATAGCATATTCTATTGATTATACTATAGTGTACCCCAGCATTTGCTGAGGTTTCCCTGAGGGAAAGTCCCTGATGAGCCAGAATGGTGATTTCTTAACTTGTGTTAAAGCAAGGAGGCTTAGTGGTGCAAAATCACTGTTTGGCATTGTTTGTTTGTTGACAAATCATTCAGTAGACCATGTGATACATTATGTAAGCATTGGTGAGCATCTCACCATGTTTTATATATGTTCCCAAGGACTACATCCCCAGTATATCACAAAGTTACATAATTGTCACAATGAGCTCTCATTTTCATTTGGATATTCCATCATCAGTTTCTATTCAGATATTATGTAATATGGGTCATCAGAGAGCCATGACCAGCTGCTTTGATCCATCCACCAACACCTTGGACTCAATGATGATAGTTCACTTGCTACACCATGATTAATGAAAAACATGCAAACATTGGGACAATTTTGTGAGTCACTGTATGTATGTGCCTGTAAGCTAGAGGGATCTACCCAATTCCAGCTTCATCTGTGCCCACTGGACCTGGTCTCAGCCCAGTCTGCCTCTACTGGCCCTCCACCAGACATGGCTGGTGTACCAGAGGACTATGACAACTTTGCTGATGTCTTTAGCAAAGCCAAGGCATCTACTCTCCCACCACACTGGGAGTATGACCTTAAGATTGAACTGGAAGAGGGAACTACACCACCCATAGGAACCATCTACTTGCTATCCCTGGTCAAGCTGCAAGCTCTCTGGGCCTTCATTGATGAAAACCTGACTACTGGTTTCATCTGGCCCACCTCTTTCCCCTATTCTGCACTGGTCCTCTTCATAAAGAAGAAGGACAATTCACTCTGGTTATGTGTTGACTTCTGGGGCCTCAACAAGCTCACCAACAAGGACTGGTATCCCCTACCACTAATCTCAGACCTCCTCAACTCACCTAGCCATGCCAAAATATGCACCAAGATTGACCTGAGGCACACATACCACCTCATCTGGATTGCTCCCAGTGATGAGTGGAAAACAGCCTTCAGAACATGCTATGGGTCATATGAGTGGTTGGTGATGCCCTTCAGTCTTACCAATGCACTGGCCACCTTCCAGCAGTTTGTCAATTCAATCTTTGCAGATATGTTAGATGTCTGCATCATTGTCTACCTTGACAACATCCTGATCTATTCTGGAGATGGATCCTCTCATAAGCAGCATTGTCCAGGAGGTCCTTTGCTGGCTCCAGTTGCATGGCCTATATGCCAAACTGGAGAAGTGCAAATTCCACTCAGACTTGGTGGAATATTTGGGTTACCACTTGTCTCCAACCAGCCTTACTATGTCTTCAGAAAAGGTCAAAAGCCATCTGTGACTGGCCCAAGCCCCAGAAGGTACAGTGAGGGACAAAACTGTTGCAATGTTTGCAATATGTGCATTGTTGATGATGTATGTAACTCAGGCAATTTTGCCAGGGGAGTTGTGATACATATACCATTGGAAAGGGGTGTCTCCCAGCTTTCCAGAACACTAAGGTATATACCAAACAAAGCCATACATGTCAAGATATAGATATACCATATGATCTTCCAGATAATTTGTCAGCATGTAAACAATGACAAACATTGAATTTGTACTATTAAACCTCCCTCTTTTACCACAACTCATGAAATCATCTCTCTGGCTCACATGGTCATTTTCTCAGGGAAATATTATCAAATACTGGTGGCCACTACTGTACCATCAGTATAACATGCTCTCAGGACCATCAGTCCCTTAAAAAACCTGCTGTCAGTCATTCCCTGGACTGTTTCCCTACCCATGGCTGATGTGTTCTGGGACTAACCAGTACTTGGAAGGCTGAGAATGTCATGGAGGTCAATATGGCACTTCAGAACATGATGGACAAACTAATCCCCTCTTAACCAATGTATTTCTGGCACAGAGACACTTGTATGGAAGTCAGGGTGAGACACAATCCTCTTTACCCTTGGGTGTCATTGAAAGGATATGCTACTGAGGTGTGATGGAGCAGAATCCTGTGCTTCCATCTGACCCTGAATATTGCCTTTGGTCACATGTGACTGCACAACCCTTCCCCAGTCATCCACAGATCAGATCAGAGCAAGATCTAGTAAACCCTCTTATAGTGCTTGGAGCACAAGGAGATTTTGTCTCACCCCAACTTCCATCCAAGTGTCTCTGTGCCCAGAAATATATTGGTTAAGAGGGGGTTAGTTTGTCCATCATGTTCTGAAGTGCCATATTGACCTCCATGACATTCTCAGCCTTCCAAGTACTGGTTAGTCCCAGAACACATCAGCCATGGGTAGGGAAACAGTCCAGGGAATGACTGACAGCAGGTTTTTTAAGGGACTGATGGTACAGTAGTGGCCACCAGTATTTGATAATATTTCCCTGAGAAAATGACCATATGAGCCAGAGAGATGATTTCATAAGTTGTGGTAAAAGAGGGAGGTTTAATAGTACAAATTCAATGTTTGTCCATTGTTTACATGCTGACAAATTATCTGGAAGATCATATGGTTTATTATGTAATCATATTTTCCCATCCCTCATGTCCTCAATACCATCAAAAGGTGACTTTTCACTATTTCACCAGTCAGGAACACAAGTGTTGCAATGCACCTTCTAGAAAGAATATGGTACATCTATATCAGCAGATTCCAAGGATACTGCATCCACACCATTGGAACCAACAGGTGAGTTTCACTCCTTCAATCAGTGTTCCATACCTCCCAGTGGAAGCAGGATGAGCAGCTCACTTGGATCTTGGCCAGATTGCATAGAACCAGTGTCCATGGAAAGCCATTGTTGAGCAGATTCCATGGATACAGCATCTGCACAATTGGAACCCACATGTGAGTCGCAATCCTTCAATCAGTGTTCCATTCCCCCAGTCAAAGCAGGATGAGCAGCTCACTCAGAT